CCTCCTCATGCCGTTTGTGTTTCCCAACCTTGGGTCGTTTGCGACTGTCTCTGACCTAGCCACTCACCTGCATTCCCTTGTCACTAGCTACCGTGCGGCATGCACTGAGGCTCAGCTTCTCCTTGCCCCCCCTCCTGTGTGGCTCACCATTCACTGGTTAGTCACTCGCCTCCCTGACCGCCTCTCCTTTGCCCGTGACGCGCTTCTTCAGAAGCACCCCAGTGAGCGTACGATCGATCTTCTTGAGACAACTCTCGAGAAGATCGAAAGTAACCTCCTCTCTGTTGCCTCTGCCACTAACGCAGTAGCTCCCCGTCTCTTGCAAAAGCTGCCCTTACGCTAACTGCAGGTGCAACACATGAATATTTCCTACCCCACTAGTTTGGAGTGGCACTGCGAGAGGTGCACGGGTGATCATACGCATTACACATGCATATACAGATGCAAAACCCGTGGCATTAGTCCCACAATGTCGATAAAGTTGCTATTATCAGTGCGCTCCGTGATTCGCATCTCGCACTACTTTTGCCACTCGTCTGCTTCTTCTACCAACTATCTCCCTTGCTGTATCTCGATGCGGGCTTCGGCCACTCTTATTTGCAGCCGCTATGCATCCAGCTCTTGCGGAGACGGCAGCGGCGTTCCCATCGGTGGTGTGCCTGGCATACGCTGACGGCGTCATATTCATGGGTGACGAAGCGGCGTATATGGCTGCTTTCAACCACTTCAGGAGGGGCCTCTCTAACCTTGGCCTTAGACACAACCCATAGAAGTGCGCGGCATGGTCCCGAGCAGCTATCCCTGGACACGCCCTTCCCTAATGCGTACCACTAAGCGCAGGCGGCCTGAAGGTTTTAGGCAGTTTCATCATGGGGGAAGGCGCCACCTCGTCGTTCCAGTGGACCAGTCTTGACAAGATGAGCGAGCAAGTACCGCTGATCGCGTGAATGGAGCCGCAATTGGCGTCGCTACTGCTTACCAGACGTCTCGCGCCGAGTATCTTACCTCGCTCGCACCACGCCTCTGACGAACCTCTCCGATATGGCACGGTCGGACCGGGGGCGCCAGCTACTAGACACGCCCCTCACAACCAGCAACATACGCAATCCTTGTTGCGAGGCCGAGATTTCGCGCACCTGGGCCCAAGCATCGCTTCCCGTCTCGCTCGGGGGCCTTGGTCTGGCGGATCCGTCGGTGGAAGGGAGGGGAGGTTTCCTTGCCAGCTGCTCAAAGGCGCAACATTGCTTGACTCCCTTAGCGAAGCAGACATTGTCCTATTGGCAAAGACATGGATTCACATGCGGGGACCGTACACCGATGCCCCGCCTCTACCTGAGTGGCTTGCGGACTGCGAAACCCACTCCCTGAAGATGCGTAGGAGCTGCTGCAGTCAGACCGGGCCAAGCCGCAGGGAAGCTGCAACACGGCCTGGCAATCATTGTGTATTGTCGCCGCTATCCCGAACACGTGGAGGCCATTAAAGCCACGAGGCCAAACCCCAACAACGGGCATAGCCAGCGCCTCCTTTCCCTGTCATGGTATGGGGCAGGTGATTGGCTGACTTCAGTGCCCGTTGTCCCTTCCCTAACACTTGGGGCTCCTCACTTCGCTAACGCCATCCGCTTTAGGCTTGGTGTCCCCTTTTCGGCCCCATGTGCATGCGACTACCGTATAAAGGTGAAGATAAAAGACAAGCGGCTTACCAACCACCTGCTGCGCTGTGACACTGGGGGGGGGAAGAACAAACACCCACAACTAGCTCATGGATGAATGCGTTTGGATGGCGCAAGACGCCGGCTCCATCGTGCATAGGGAAACGGCAGTTTTCTGCCCGGTTGACAGCCGCAAGGCAAACCCGGCAATCAGAGATCGGTTCTCAGGGGAAGTATGGGTATGTGATGTGACTTTCACTGACCCAATCAGCGCACGGGACCCTAAGAAGCAGCGGCAATCAAAGTTTCCATGTACCGCGACTCAACGGCCCCTTACGTGGGATTCTACCCGCTTGCCGTTGAGACGTATGGCTGCCCATGCGACGAAGTCCCAATCTTCCTCAAATTGCTTGCCGAGACGGCGGCCCACAGACACTTCAACGCCGACTCATCATCTTACCAGGCAGCGAAGCTCTTGCACCAGTTTCGCCAGTGCTGGTCGGTAGCACAGCAACGCGGGAAATCGCTAAGCATAGCAGAAGTGCAACGAGGCGGCTTAGGCGGAGAACCCGCCTGCGGGCGCCCCAGGCGAAGGCATGTCCCTGGGGGACTGCTTTGCCAGCATAGAGCCCGCCCTGTAGCTCCCGTAGGTGGCCTGTTTCTGATGTTGTTTGTCGTGTCCAAACCTGTTGATCCCTACAGGAGAACGATCATGCATGCTTGAGAGAGAGAGAGAGAGAGAGAGAGAGAGAGAGAGAGAGAGAGAGAGAGAGAGAGAGAGAGAGAGAGAGAGAGAGAGAGAGAGACCTTGCACTATACCCTGCATGTTTGCTTTGTTTGTTCGGTTGTCAACTTGGCTAGCTAGACCTTGCACTATACCCAGCATGTTTGTACTTTCAACCTATATCAATACACGGACCATTAGAGAGAGAGAGAGAGAGAGAGAGAGAGAGAGAGAGAGAGAGAGAGAGAGAGAGAGAGAGAGAGAGAGAGAGGGAGGGAGAGAGAGAGAGAGAGGGAGGGAGAGAGAGAGAGAGAGAGAGAGAGGGAGGGGGAGAGAGAGAGAGAGAGAGAGAGAGAGAGAGAGAGAGAGAGAGAGAGAGAGAGAGGAGAGAGAGAGGAGAGAGGAGGGGGAGGGATACCGGTAGAATCGATGGAATATGTAGGGTAGTAAAGTAATAGAAAGGCTTGCTTCAGCTGACAAACATTCAGAAATCTTACATATACTTCTGTTGGGCGTGACAGTTTGCAACTGTGCCAGAGTGAACAATCCTGTTGACATTCATGCATTTCTACTGCAACAATAATGCAGCGACATTTCATTCCCTTCATTGGCTGACCGAGGTGTCCATTCGCAGTTACTCCCCAAGAGTCGGTAGAATGCAAAACCGGAACACTTGAACTCAAACGTGGTTACGATACAAGTCAGCAAGTACTGTTGAGCGTATGTCGTCAAACTACAAGTGCCCAGGGCCTGGTTCTTTTCTAAACAATAGCACAGACGGATGCCAATTTGCCACCACTGGATGGCTTTTCCATAACTACATGAAGATCACACACTTCTAATGCATTCGCTACAAACAGTGCTTTTCATACGTCTAAACTGATAAGGTTTGAAGTAATAAGTTGGTCGATTTCTGATGCGAGCCTGCGGAACAAAAAGGAGGTTGGAATCGGATAAAAGTTAAAAAGGGAGATTCTGTTAATGCAATCCTGTAGTTTCTCCTGAGCATTACAATAGCTGCCAAAATCATCATCCACTGAAGTAAAATTTGAACATTCGGCAGTCGTGATGACAACTACCTGCTATAAACGCTCACCATTTCAGTCACCATCTGTTGTACGCACAACCTGTTAGGCCAGCCGCAATTCCATGACACAAGAGTAGCATCCATGTAGTCACAGCTCGCTATAAGCACTCTCTCTCAAGCCTCCCACGATATTGAAGTAACACCACTTGACATCGTCATTAACCGCGATAGCATTACCTGTTGAGCTGACAGTCCCAAGAAATTGAAGTAGCACTAAAATGGACACCACTCGGCATATTAATTACCTGAAATAGCACAAGCCTGCTGAACGGACAGTTCTATGAACAGTTCCAGACCGATACACTCACCATTAGATACACTCATAGCATGCTATAATCACTACGGCATTCCCGTAATATTTAAATAGCACCTGTGCAACAGCTTCATACACACCCAAAAGCAGCCCCTATATTCCTTACGCCTCTGCCTTGTCCACGATGATTATAACGATAAGTGATTGTTGAGTGGGTGGCAGTCCCATGGCATTGAAGTAGCACTCACTTATGGTTTTGAGACGTCTCAAAACTATGGTTCCAACATAGACACCCCGTGATAGAAGTAGTGTTTTGAGACGTCTCAAGACGTCTCAAAACTATGGTTCCAACATAGACACCCCCCCAGCCCCTGAATCCCCCCCCCACCTTTGCGCACTGCTCTCCATTATTATCATCACCCATTACACTCACTACCTGCTAAAACAACTCGTTATAATCACTACCTACAATCACTACCTGTTGAGTTGAGTGGCAGCCCCATACCATTGAAGTAGCACCCGTTGATCGCCTTCACCAGACACCCGCCCAGCCCCTGAATGCCATACCCCCCCACTGCCCCCCCCCCTCTCTTCTCCTTTCCCTCCGTCGATATTTCCACGTGCTCTTTGTAACAATGATCGACCCAGTATCATCTGCTAACAGCTATAACTCTTACTCGTTATAATCACTACCTGTTGAGCGGCAGAGCCATGACGTTGAAATAGCCCCCATTGATCACCAGACACCCCCACAAGCTCCTAGATCCCTTACGCCCCTCCTTGCTGCACTGGCTTACACTCACCGCCACTACCTGTTAAGTGGCAACCCCATGACGTTGAAGTAGCACCCACTGATCGCCCTCACCAGACACCCTCCCAGCCCCTGAATTCCTTCTGCCCTACCTTCAGAACTCGTTTTGATTGATACCTGTTAAGAGGCAGTCCCATGACGTTGAAGTAGCACCCGCTGATCGCCTTCACCAGACACCCTCCCAGCCCCTGAATGCCGTACCCCCCCGCCTTGTCCATGGGCTCTCCTGTCGCTACGTATGCCCTCTAGCTGTCACAATCACCGCCCACAACAATCACCACTCGTTATAGTCACTACCTGTTGAGTGGCAGTCCCATGACGTTGAAGTAGCACCCACTGATCGCCTTCACCAGACACCCTCCCAGCCCCTGAATGCCGTACCCCCCCGCCTTGTCCATGGGCTCTCCTGTCGCTACGTATGCCCTCTAGCTGTCACAATCACCGCCCACAACAATCACCACTCGTTATAGTCACTACCTGTTGAGTGGCAGTCCCATGACGTTGAAGTAGCACCCGCTGATCGCCTTCACCAGACACCCGCCCAGCCCCTGAATGCCGTACCCCCCCGCCTTGTCCATGGGCTCTCCTGTCGCTACATATGCCTCGATCTCTGCTTGCGACAATGATGCAAACTCCACCTGCCGGGGGGGAAGAGGGAGCATGTCGGCACGAGGAGAGAGTGGGGCGGTGGGGAGAGCTGGGGATCATGAAAACCCCTGGCTTGTCCACAGGTTCTTCTGTTGCCACATACGCCTCGATCTCTGCTCGCAACAATGCTGCAAACTCCACCTGCCGGGGGGTGGGAGAGAGTGTGTGAGGGAATGGGGAGTGTGAGGGGGTGGGGAGGGCTGGGAAACATTATACCCCCTGCCTTGTCCATGAGTTTGCCTGTTCCCACATACGCCTCGATCTCCCCTCGCGACAATGATGCAAACTTCAATTGCCAGAAAGGGAGAGAGAGTGTGAGAGGTGGGAAGGGAGTAAGGGGGTGGGAAGAGCTGGGGAGCATGGGACTCCCTGCCTTGTCCATACGCACTCCGCACCACCTCACCCTCCCTGACTTGTCCATAGGCTCGCCTGTTCCCAAATGCGCCTCAATCTCAGCTCAGGACAAGGATGCAAACCCCACCTGCCAAGGAGAGAGAGGGAGAGCATGAACGCACAGGGTCAATTGGAAAGGGGTGGTAAGAGTTCAATCCTTGCTATGCCTGAGTGCACTGGTCGTCTTAGGAACAACCCAGACACAATAGGGAGTCAAACAACCAGACACACATGCCCTTGGCTGAGATGAGCAAGTCAAACGCACCTGAGTGCACTCATGGAACGATTTCTGAGGCGCCTCAATTTTCGAGCCAAAATTTGTAGTCGATTTTTAAGTCGACTCAAAAAGAGGCGCCTCAGTGCACTTGGCTGAGCTGAGACGATGAAGTCAAACGCACCTGAGTGCACTCGTGGAACGAGCGGAGAAGAGGCGACCGGCCAATCAGAGGGTCTGCTTGGGAGAGCAGGGAATGCAGGTCGAGAGGAGACAGGGGGGTACAGGTGGGGAAGGGAGAGGAGAGGAGGGAGGAAGTAGCATCAGAGGGAGAGGGTGCATAGATGCGGGAAAGCGTGAGAGGGAGTGATGGCACAGTAACAGACGGAAATCTCTTGCAGCAAGAGGTGTAGCATGAGCCACTGGAAATATCCAGCACCTCTTTTCAAAAGATCATACAGTTAACACACGGTTCACTGTACAATATAACGATCATATTGTGAAATCAGCACCTTCGGTCAGGACCCGCAGAAATTACTCGCAAAATTTCACCCACAAAATTGCAACCTGCTAGTGCAACACGTACCAGTAACAGCTGGCAGCACAAGAGCGACACCTGTGAAAACCCGGTGCTTGCGGCCTGATGGGGGAAAGGGGGTGGGTGGGTGGATGATGCAGGGATAAGGGGGGGATAATGGGGAAATGATGAGAGAATGATGGGAGGATAATGGGGAATGAGGGTGGTGGGTAGGTGTAAAAAAATCCCTGGCAATAGTTAACAGGGGAGTGGGGGTGCTGGGGCACTTGAAAGAGCATGAAGAGTGATACCTGAGAGGAGAGAAATCATGCGAATTGCATCCTCCTTAGAAGCTGGCTTCTCTAAAAGCTCGCCCTGAAGGGAAAACATGCATGGATTGGGAAAATGGCTGGTAGGGATAATGGCAGTCCGGAAGATGGGAACACTGGATGGTGGAAGGACCAATCACAAGCTGACAGATGCCACAAGCTGACAATTGTCAGAAGCAGACAAATGTCATACGTGCTATCTTAGGAATGTTCTTACATGACAAGACTCAAGTGAGAACGGTCCTAAGATAGCATGTATTTCACCTCAATTGAAAGAACTATTTCTTTTAAGAGTGAACAAAAGGTGAGATCCCCGTTTCTTTCAAAAATTCTGAAACCGCGAAACTACTGTTTCTCTGCACCCACGTATCCATCACCACAAAACCGATTACTCGCTTCACACCTTTTTCCGCATGTTCACATCCACTGGAGGTGTGGGTGGATTGACTCCCTCCCAGTCACCCCTCTCCCAATCCACTCACAACTCTTCCCTCCCACTCACATCTCTTCCCACCCACTCACATCTCTTCCTTCCATCTCTCCCACTGACATCTCTCCTCCATCACATCCCTTGCCACCCACTTACACCCTTCCCCACCCACGCACATCGATCTCCACCACAGTGTCAGCAGCAATCACAAGCATTGGTGGCTCCTCCCCACTGGCCTGTGAGTGACTCCCCAGCACGCACCTGAGCAGCACGCACCTGAGCAGCACGCACCTGAGCAGCACGCACCTGAGCAGCACACACCTGAGCAGCACACACCTGAGCAGCACGCACCTGAGCAGCACGCACCTGAGCAGCACGCACCTGAGCAGCACGCACCTGAGCAGCACGCACCTGAGCAGCACGCACCTGAGCAGCACGCACCTGAGCAGCACGCACCTGAGCAGCACGCACCTGAGCAGCACGCACCTGAGCAGCACGCACCTGAGCAGCACGCACCTGAGCAGCACGCACCTGAGCAGCACGCACCTGAGCAGCACGCACCTGAGCAGCACGCACCTGAGCAGCACGCACCTGAGCAGCACGCACCTGAGCAGCACGCACCTGAGCAGCACGCACCTGAGCAGCACGCACCTGAGCAGCACGCACCTGAGCAGCACGCACCTGAGCAGCATGCACCTGAGCAGCACGCACCTGAGCAGCACACACCTGAGCAGCACGCACCTGAGCAGCACGCACCTGAGCAGCACGCACCTGAGCAGCACGCATCTGAGCAGCACGCACCTGAGCAGCACGCACCTGAGCAGCACGCACCTGAGCAGCACGCACGCACCTGAGCAGCACGCACCTGAGCAGCACGCACCTGAGCAGCACGCACCTGAGCAGCACGCACCTGAGCAGCACGCACCTGAGCAGCACGCACCTGAGCAGCACGCACCTGAGCAGCACGCACCTGAGCAGCACGCACCTGAGCAGCACGCACCTGAGCAGCACGCACCTGAGCAGCACGCACTTGAGCAGCACGCACCTGAGCAGCACGCACCTGAGCAGCACGCACCTGAGCAGCACGCACCTGAGCAGCACGCACCTGAGCAGCACACACCTGAGCAGCACGCACCTGAGCAGCACGCACCTGAGCAGCACGCACCTGAGCAGCACGCACCTGAGCAGCACACACCTGAGCAGCACGCACCTGAGCAGCACGCACCTGAGCAGCACGCACCTGAGCAGCACGCACCTGAGCAGCACGCACCTGAGCAGCACACACCTGAGCAGCACGCACCTGAGCAGCACGCACCTGAGCAGCACGCACCTGAGCAGCACGCACCTGAGCAGCACGCACCTGAGCAGCACGCACCTGAGCAGCACGCACCTGAGCAGCACGCACCTGAGCAGCACGCACCTGAGCAGCAAGCAGGGCCTTGGAGGAAACTTCTATAGCCTTGTGCGTGGCTGTCTCTACTGCGTAGTCTGCACCGGGGGAAAAGGAACGGAGGGAGAGGGATAAGAGGAAATCGCTTTTGGAAATACTCAGAGATGCGGGGAGGGATCTGAAGCAGGGGCCTTCTATGGCTCTGTGCGTGGCAGTCACTCTGCTGCGTACTGTGCATTTGGGGAGATGGATGGCGGGGAGAGGGAGGAGGGAGGGCGATGGGGTGCAAGATGCAAGCTGGGTGTTTTTAGTCGACCAGGAAAAGGAAGGAACGGCATGCGGGTAGAGGGATGGGAAACGCAAAAACGCGGGAGAATTAGAGTGGGAAGCCGCAAGCAAGGGGGGTGCAGCAAGGAAGAAGGGGTGGGGAGGTAACGACCGGGGTGGTGCTGTGGCTTACCTCCTGCGCTGGCGAATGCTGCTTTATTAAGGTCCTCGTTAAAGGTGCTCGGGATGACGTCAACAGTTAGTCCCTGGGAGCAACGAGCGCGGAAGAGGCGGGGAAAAGGGGAGAGAAAGAGGCGGGAAAAGGGAGGGACAGACGCAGGGAAAGGGGGGAAAAGTCCTAAAGAGGCAGGGGAAGAGAAACTTTTGAAGAAAGGCTCAACGTTATTAACGAGGCACAGGAAGAGAAATCTCAGAACAACAGCCTACCTACTACGAATACTCCTACCTGCTACGAATACTCCTACCTGCTACGAATACTCCTACCTGCTACGAATACTCCTACCTGCTACGAATACTCCTACCTGCTACGAATACTCCTACCTGCTACGAATACTCCTACCTGCTACGAATACTCCTACCTGCTACGAATACTCCTACCTGCTACGAATACTCCTGCCTGCTACGAATACTCCTGCCTGCTACGAATACTCCTACCTGCTACGAATACTCCTACCTGCTACGAATACTCCTACCTGCTACGAATACTCCTACCTGCTACGAATACTCCTACCTGCTACGAATACGCCTACCTGCTACGAATACTCCTACCTGCTACGAATACTCCTACCTGCTACGAATACTCCTACCTGCTACGAATACTCCTACCTGCTACGAATACTCCTACCTGCTACGAATACTCCTACCTGCTACGAATACTCCTACCTGCTACGAATACTCCTACCTGCTACGAATACTCCTACCTGCTACGAATACTCCTACCTGCTACGAATACTCCTACCTGCTACGAATACGCCTACCTGCTACGAATACTCCTACCTGCTACGAATACTCCTACCTGCTACGAATACTCCTACCTGCTACGAATACTCCTACCTGCTACGAATACTCCTACCTGCTACGAATACACCTACCTGCTACGAATACTCCTACCTGCTACGAATACTCCTACCTGCTACGAATACTCCTACCTGCTACGAATACTCCTACCTGCTACGAATACTCCTACCTGCTACGAATACTCCTACCTGCTACGAATACTCCTACCTGCTACGAATACTCCTACCTGCTACGAATACTCTTACCTGCTACGAATACTCCTACCTGCTACGAATACTCCTACCTGCTACGAATACTCCTACCTGCTACGAATACTCCTACCTGCTACGAATACCCCTATCTGCTACGAATACTCCTACCTGCTACGAATACGCCTACCTGCTACGAATACTCCTACCTGCTACGAATACTCCTACCTGCTACGAATACTCCTACCTGCTACGAATACGCCTACCTGCTACAAATACTCCTACCTGCTACGAATACTCCTACCTGCTACGAATACTCCTACCTGCTACGAATACTCCTACCTGCTACGAATACTCCTACCTGCTACGAATACTCCTACCTGCTACGAATACGCCTACCTGCTACGAATACTCCTACCTGCTACGAATACTCCTACCTGCTACGAATACTCCTACCTGCTACGAATACTCCTACCTGCTACGAATACTCCTACCTGCTACGAATACTCCTACCTGCTACGAATACTCCTACCTGCTACGAATACTCCTACCTGCTACGAATTCTCCTACCTGCTACGAATACTCCTACCTGCTACGAATACTCCTACCTTCCAGGCCTGCTAGCATTGGTTGCTGCCTTTACGTCCCTTGCCGCCCCGCCTGCTAGCTTCCACCTACCAGGCCTGACAGCAATTCGCGTCGCCTAGGGGATGCCGACGCGAGTACGATCCGACGCTTCGACAGTGCTGCCACTGTTGGTGCAACCCTACGGTTTGCACTCGGCTTGTTGTCCGTGTGCGTGAATGTGTGTGTGTATGGAATGGTATGAGGGCATGGGATAATATATATATTTCATGCTTATAATTGTGTGTGAATGTTGAGTCATGATGTCGAGTGTGTGTGTCGAGTCAATAGCGAGTTATCGCTAGACGCGTGTTACGCGGTCGTTTGTGTCTCGCGCGCGGTTTCTATTTTGTCGTGCGCGGTTTCTATTTTGTCCTGTGTCGAACGTTCGGCGTGTCGCAGGTGTGTGCAGCAGACCCATCAAGAACTCAAGGATGAGTTTGTGATGAAGAGCCCGAGCCTTGGTGTCAAGCCTCAAGTGATTTCGAAGCTCGCCAAAAGGGTACACCTCAAGATATTGAAGATAGTTACATTACTTTGTGTAGTGTAACATTTCACTTGGTGTAGGCCCTAGTGAAGGGTAGTTTCGAGACCCTTCGTGGTTGGGGACAGTGTGGCACTGTTCCACATCACTGTACCTCGGCTCTTGGGGTTTGTAGGAGCTGGGAGTCATTCCCAACTCGTAACTCTTCCTATCTTGTGTTCTAAGACTATAGTGGCTGCCATAGTACCGTTCGTTCAAACCGACGCTGTGTCGTCAATTCTTTATCAAATCGTGCAATCTAAATTGATAATTGTAGATGACGTGAAGACGCTCCAGATCCAATTTGAATCAAGTCATTTGCAGCTGTGAGCAGAACGCTATCAACGTTTGAAGCCGCTGTGCAGAAATCCGTCTGTGCTCTCTATCTTTCGTTTTAGGCACATTCAAGCCTATTGTGACTATAACAAGTGGTATCAGAGCCCCTTGGAGCAGTTTCGACAATGTCTGGACCTGAGGAAAGGGGTGGCAGAGGTGTTGGTGGCAGTGGAGAAGCTCAAGCTCAAGGCCAACCCCGTGATTCAGCCATGGCGCCCATGCAACCAAGTCTTGGCCCACCTAGGGATGAGCCTAGGGTGTTTGGGCTTGACAAGTTCAACGGTGACAACTTTGCTGAATGGTCCTTCAAGATGGAGAACATCTTTGACCACTATGACCTGCTGGAGGTGATGGAAAGAACGGAGAAGCGCCCCGAGAACGACCCGGAGAAGAGCCCGTGGGTGCGGAAGAGCGCACAAGGCTATCTCTTACTTGGGCAAGCGTTGGGGAGCAGTCAGATCCGTCACATCAAGCCATTCCAGCGTGAACCAGAGAAAGGACCAAAGGCATGGGCTGCTCTCAAGGGTGTACATGCTCCTGCAACAGCGGCGGTAGCGGTGGTGTTGGAACGGCAAATGGCGGCACTACGAATTGAAGAAAACGAAGCGGTTGAAGAAAGGGTGCAGAAATTCTTCGACTTGTTGACGCGGCTTGAGGGAGCTGATTTGAACTACAGTGAGCTCCAAAAGAAGACCAAGTTGCTGGCCTTACTCCCAGAGTCATGGTCCTCGCTCATCATCAACCTTAATCGCGACTTGCCCCGCCTCTCGCTTGAAGACGTGAAGCGAGCTATCCTTCAAGAGGATTTCCGCCGCCGTGAGTTGGCGAGTGCGGATGGCGCTGGGGCAGCGAGCATCGGCCGTGGATATGGTCGAGGAAGAGGCAGAGGACGAGGGGGAGGAAGGTTTGGTGGCAGCAACTTCGGCGGAGGCCGCAGGAGTGGCGGTTACGGCAGCAACGACAAGAGCTACGGACGCGGTCGCGGCCGATTCGACGGCGAGTGTCACTATTGCCACAAGAGCGGACACATGTGGCGCGACTGCTACAAACTCCCTGATGGTTGGACCCCTGCTCAAGGCCAAGAGGGTAGAGGAGCAGGAGGAGGGAGAGGACGAGGCCGTGGAGGCCGTGGCGGTCGCGGTGGCGGAGCTGCAAACATGAAGAGCGGAGACAACGACAAGGACCCGAGCGACGATCGATACCCGGGTCTATTCTACTTCGTGTCGACGCAAGTACCGGCTGGTCCAGAGAAGGATGAAGGCTTTGAGGAGCCAGCAGCTGTGGGGAAGGTGACCCTACACCCCCTGGACTATTGGGTGATTGATAGTGGCGCTACCTATAGCATGACACCTCGCCCGGACTTGCTCACCGAACTCGAGCCGTCACCGGTGAAGCATGTCACATCGGCTTTGGGGCAGCGAGCAGAGGTGAAAGGCATGGGCAAGGCCATGTTCAAGGGTGCTGATGGGGAGATGGTGGGCCTCAAGAACGTGCTTTGGGTGCCCAGCCTTGCTGCAAACCTGATTTCCGTGCGGCGGTTGGCAAAGGCCGGCATGGACACGAACTCGAAGGGAGCCAAGACCTACACCGCAAGGCTTGGCGATCGAATTCTTTGGGACCTTCATGAGGACAGGGATGTCTACAACGAGATGTGGCAGATCCCAGTGGTCCCTATGCCTAAGGAGAGGCAAGTGGCAGCAAGCATCAGCACCAAGGATGGAGCGGTCGGTAGCGACGATGGCGCGAACGGTCGCGCTAAGGAGAATGAGCTCAAGAAGAGCAAACCTGGAGGGACCAGCAAGTTCAGTGAACCTAAGGAGAGTGGTGCAGCAACCAAGGAGCAGCAAAAGGGTGAGGAGAACCCAGAGGCAGCAGCGGAGGAGGACTACGGAGAGAGTATGTGGGGCGCTATTGCGAGCGCGGCATTCTCCAATCCAACTTCGGCTACGGGGGAGTGTGATTGGCTCACCTTGCATCGGCGCATGGGGCATGTGGCCCTGCCCATCTTGCATCAGCTAGTGAAGAATGAGATGGTTGCTGGCATACGTGTGAAGGGGGAGCCCGATGAGGTGCTTGGCTGCCCGACGTGCATTCAAGCCAAGTTCACCCGGTTTCCGTTCCCTAGTTCGGAGGCAACGGCAAAGGCACCGCTTGATGAGGTGGTGATGGACGTGGTGGGCCCCCTGAAGCTTGGAGCTGCTGGAGCTGAGTATTTTCTCACCATTGTCGACGTCTACACCCGCATGACTTGGGTGTACGTGCTGGCCAAGAAGAGCGACGTGGCTGAAACGTTGAAGACGGATTGGTTCCCGATGGTGGAGCGGCAACAAGACCGTCTAGTCAAGTCAATCCGCACCGATCGAGGGGGAGAGTTCCTGAGCAAGGAGTTTGGGTTGTGGCTGAAGAAGAATGGTATTCGGCACTCCCTCACCATGCCATACTCCCCTGCAATGAACGGCATCGCCGAGCGAGCGAACCGCACAATCACGGAGGCGGCACGCGGGTTGCTCATTGAAGCCGGGCTACCCGACTATTTCTGGCCTGATGCGGTGCGGAGCGCGTGTGTGGCCAAGAACAGAGCCTTGACCCATGTGGGAGCAGACAAATGGGTGCCCTATGTGGAGTGGCTAGGAAGGAAGCCAAAGGTGGATATGCTTCGGGTGTTCGGGTGCATGTGCATGGCGCTCGTGCCTAAGCATCTTCGGCACAACAAGCTTGGTGCCAAGGCGGTGTGGGCCGTGCACTTGGGCATGGCTCAAAACAGCAAGGGATGGCTTCTTTGGGACCCATTCACCAAGAAGTTCTTGGTGAGCAGGGACTACAAGTTCATGGAGAACTTCATGTACAAGGATTGGAAGGCGGAGAATGAGGCGAAGATAGGCGTGCGGTTTGGGGAGGTGAAGAGTTCCGGTTTGGAGCATGTGGAGCTGCCTTTGGAACTGAGCAGCGACAGCACAACCACAAGGCAATCCTCCCTTGTGAATGGGGGAGAGGAGGCCAATGATGCAGAGGAAGAAGAGGAGGAGGTGCAGCAAGTGAGCGAGCGTGCACCGTCACTTCCTTCCCGTACTACGAGTGCTCCACGGATTCGAGCCACACCGCAGCAACGCCAAGGCCTTCAAGTCCCTGCAGCTGAGGAGGAAGGAAGGGGGAAGAGGAGAGTTCAACCCCCTAATAGGCTGACCTATGATGCGCCGGGAAAGCAGGGCAAGACAGCCCTGGCCGGAGCGGCAATGATGGTCGGAGACGACGAGGAGAGTGACTACGAGGAGTGTGCCTTCGCGTTCTTCTCTCCGGTGGAGATGCCGGGAGAACCAGCAACTCTCAAGGAGGCTTTGGAGAGTAGTGATGCTGAGGAGTGGAAGAAGGCCATGGAGAGTGAGCTGAAGAGCATCGAGGAGAATGACACGTTTGAATTGGTGGAGCTACCGGAGGGGCGTACGGCGATAACGTCCAAGTGGCTCTTCAAAATCAAGTCGGATGCCGACGGCAAGATCGAGCGCTACAAGTCTAGGCTTGTAGCCAAGGGGTACCAGCAGAAGGAGAAGGTGGACTTCAAGGAGCTGTTCGCCCCTGTGGTGAAGCCGACGACGCTGCGAACCCTATTCGCGGGAGCCGCCATCAAAGGATGGGTAGTAAAGCAAATGGACATCGTAACGGCATTCCTTAACGGCATCCTTGAGGAGGAGATTTTTATGGCGCAGCCAGAGGGGTTTGATGATGGTAGTGGCAGAGTGTGGAAGCTGAAGAAGGCCCTCTATGAGCTGAAGCAGGCCCCTAGGCAATGGTACATGAAGCTGCGCGAAGTGTTGGAGGGGATCGGCTTCACTCCCTCAACGGCCGATCACTCCTTGTTCATGCTTGGCGAGGGGGAGCAGAGGAGTTTCATGGTGGTTTATGTGGATGACATCCTCATTTTCTCACCCTCTTCTGACCTTGTGAAGGAGGTGATGCTGAAGCTTCAAGACAAGTTCAAGTGCAAGGCCCTTGGTGACGTGAGCTTCTACCTTGGGCTCCACATCGAACGAGATGTGGAGAAGCGGTGCATGCGGGTGCATCAACGAAAGTACCTGGAGGCATTGGCTGCCAACTTTGGGCAGAGTGAAGGCCATGTGGCTACACCCTTTCCCTCTGGGTTCAAGTGTGTGAAGGGACCAGAGGAGGAGAGCGTTGGTGAAGAGGAGAGGCGCCGATTTCACTCGTTGGTGGGCAGCCTCATGTATGCGGCGGTAAACACCCGACCGGACGTCGCGTTTGCTACCGGGCAGCTGGCTAGGGTTGTGCAATGCCCTAATGAGGAGCAGGTAGCAGCTGGAATGAGGGTGGCCAAGTATCTTGGCCAAACACCGACCGTTGGGCTGCAATACTCGGCGGCGGCACAAAGGCGCCAAAAGGGCGCGGATGGTGTTGAACCCGGGCGTTTGTTCCTCACCGCCTACTCGGATGCTTCATATGCATCAGAACCAGAGGACATGACAAGTGTGGGAGGCTTCATATGCTGTGTTGGTGGAGGCCCAACTGCTTGGGAGAGCAAGAAGCAGGTTGACCAAGCTTTGAGCTCGGTGGAGTCCGAGTACATGGCACTCTTCCGTGCCGTACGGGAGATTGTGTGGCAGCGGCGTTTGTTGGCTGAATTGGGGGAGGAGCAGCAAGGACCTACCCCACTGTACTGTGACAGCCAGGGTGCCATTGCTCTTGCTAAGAACCCTGTGTTGCATGGACTCACGAAGCACATGAGAGTGAAGTGGCATTGGACGAGGAGCATGGTAACCGCGGGTGAAGTTGAGTTGCGCTACGTGAAGACCACGGGGCAGCCAGCTGACATGATGACCAAGAGGCTGGTGGAGCAGCAGCATTGGAAGTGTTGCAAGCTGGCTGGGATGGCTCTGAACTGAGAGAGCAACATATCCTAAGGCCAACAATCCGAGGGGGAGTTTGTTGGTGCAACCCTACGGTTTGCACTCGGCTTGTTGTCCGTGTGCGTGAATGTGTGTGTGTATGGAATGGTATGAGGGCATGGGATAATATATATTTCATGCTTATAATTGTGTGTGAATGTTGAGTCATGATGTCGAGTGTGTGTGTCGAGTCAATAGCGAGTTATCGCTAGACGCGTGTTACGCGGTCGTTTGTGTCTCGCGCGCGGTTTCTATTTTGTCGTGCGCGGTTTCTATTTTGTCCTGTGTCGAACGTTCGGCGTGTCGCAGGTGTGTGGAGCAGACCCATCAAGAACTCAAGGATGAGTTTGTGATGAAGAGCCCGAGCCTTGGTGTCAAGCCTCAAGTGATTTCGAAGCTCGCCAAAAGGGTACACCTCAAGATATTGAAGATAGTTACATTACTTTGTGTAGTGTAACATTTCACTTGGTGTAGGCCCTAGTGAAGGGTAGTTTCGAGACCCTTCGTGGTTGGGGACAGTGTGGCACTGTTCCACATCACTGTACCTCGGCTCTTGGGGTTTGTAGGAGCTGGGAGTCATTCCCAACTCGTAACTCTTCCTATCTTGTGTTCTAAGACTATAGTGGCTGCCATAGTACCGTTCGTTCAAACCGACGCTGTGTCGTCAATTCTTTATCAAATCGTGCAATCTAAATTGATAATTGTAGACGACGTGAAGACGCTCCAGATCCAATTTGAATCAAGTCATTTGCAGCTGTGAGCAGAACGCTATCAACGTTTGAAGCCGCTGTGCAGAAATCCGTCTGTGCTCTCTATCTTTCGTTTTAGGCACATTCAAGCCTATTGTGACTATAACAGCCACGTGTTGGATGAACATTGGACCACGCTTATTCCCTGTTTGCGCGCCTTTCTTTTGGAAAATCTTATGGTAAAGCGGCGTGATTCCTGTGAGTAACTGCCCTCGCGTCAATTCCAATTAATTCAATTACTTCCCTCGAGAACGGACTATATAGACGTCTCTACAGACAAGCAAACGGATTCACGCGAGTCGTCAACGAGATTCCACCGTTCTACGCCAACATGGTGATCGTACTCGATTTTAACCGACTCGGTTGGGAAACGTAATGAACATTGTACTGCTGCAAACAACTCACGAATGCTTTCAAATAAAAGATGAGCCAAGAAACTTCACCCACTCATGTACCGTATAACAAATCACCCACCTTAGGCCCTTTTGATCCCTGCGTTCTACTGTTACATAAAACCCTCCCGCCACTAAGTACCAATCTTGCTTGCTTTTCTTTTCCCTTTACCCGCTTTTCTCCCTCCCCCACTCCCCTCCTTCACTCCTCCCCCGCCTTTCTCGCCCTCGCCATCTTCCCTTTCAACCTTTTGCTTCCCTGTCGCAGACACTGCCGACCCTCTCCCCTGCTCCAACCCCTTAACCGAATCCTTCAACTTCTTCCTTTTTTATGCTTCTCACCACCACCACCACCACCACCACCACTACCATCAGCAGCACCCCCTTCACATGATCGTGCAGCACTGGCAGCAGCACCGCTCACGGTTCCATTACCACCACTCGCCTTTGCAGCTCCACCCTTCTTGACCTTTCCTGACCTAGCTGCGCCCGAAGGGGTCCCAGCCGCCACAGCCACACCACCACCACGACCATGACCAGCAGTAGCAGCAGCAGCAGCAGTAGGTGAATCACCATCACCATCACCAGCGGCTGCAGCACTCAGTTTCTTCTTCTTCTGCTGCTGTAGCTGCTTCCGGCGCTGCTGCCTCTGCCTTCCACCATCCCCCTTTTGCTTATTGCTCCCCCCTGTACCAGCAGCAGGTGTTGTAGCAGCAGATTCTGCTGCCGCGGCCGCAGCTGCAGCAGCAGCAGCAGCATCGGCGACAGCGGCTGCGGCAGCAGCTTTGGTGCGTTCAAAACGTTCAGCGTGGGTTTCCCCGATGGCCTCCACCTCCCCATCGCTGTTCACCACCACCTGTAGCTCGCCCCTCTCATGCCTTCCCACCGCTGCCACATGTTTCTGCAGGGACGCACAGAGGTTGGGGGGGAAGAGACGGGGAGGGGGAAGAGACGGGATGGGGGGAGAGAAGTATGTTTGCTAGCATATCAACTCTTGACACTCCACCCGCCCCATCGCTGTTCACCACGACCTGCAGCTCGCCACGCTCATTCTTCCCCACTGCTGCCACGTGTTTCTGTTGGGGAACGGAGGAAGGAGAGAGGAAGGAAGGAGTCAACACTGGGATGTAAGCAGACCTGGCACTTGCCACTGGCCCATCACTGTTCACCACCACCTGCAGCTTGCCCCTCCCATGCCTCCCGACTGCTGCCATGTGTCTCTGTGTGGGGACCATAGGAGAAGGGAAGAGAAGGGGGGGGGGGCTGTGTTGGTGGTGGGAGAATAGGTATGCATGTAATCAGATCAACCCCTGACACTCGGCACTGGCCCTTTGCACTGTCTGAAGCTGGCCCCTCTTATGCCGCCTCACTGCTGCCACGAGTTCTGTGGAGAGAAATGGGGGGGAACGAGGTGGGGGGCGGGCATGGCGCCATGTGAGAGAGGCAGGCAGGAGTCAACACTGGGATATAAGCAGGCATAGCACTCCCCACTGACCCATCGCTGCTCCCCACCACCTGCAACTGTCGCCTGCCATGCCACCCCACTGCAGGGAAGCATGGGAGGAAGTTGGCTGGTATGGCGCAGGGCAGTGGTGGGGTTTCAGGTTCGGGGTTTCGGGTTTAAGGTTCTGGGGTTAGGAAGGTGTTAGTTCAGGTTACCTTGGACGCCAGGTGTTTCTTCATGTTGTCACTGTTGACACAGAGCACTCGAGGGCACACTCTGCACCGCAGCACGCCCCCTCCCCCCCCACCTCCCTGCCCCTCCACTCTCACAACCATCTCTCCCCCCTCCCCAAAATCCATGTCTTTGAATGCCTCTCCAGTCCCCTTGCCTTTTCTCTTCCGCTTCCCCGCTTTGTTCCCCCCCGCTTCCCCCTCCTCTCCTTCTTCCTCACCCTCCTCTCCCTCCTCTTCCTCATCCTCCTCCCCATCCTCTTCTCCCTCCTCCCCCTCCTCACTGCTCTCGTCACTTGTGCTGCTATCGCTGTCGCTGCTCCCACTCTTCCGCCCCTTCTTCCTCCTCTTCTTCCTCCGCTTCTCCTCCTCTCTCTCCCTCTCCTCCTCAGAAACAAGCTCCTCCAACTGAGAAGACACCCCACCTGCTCCTCCCCCCCCCTCCTCCTCCTCTGACTCCTCCTCTGAGTCACTCTCACTCTCACCCCTCTCACTCTCACCCCTCTCACTCTCTCCCCTCTCACTCTCTCCCTCCTCGCTCTCCCCACCACCCCCCTGCAGCTCCTGCTCTTCCTCTGCACTCACAGGAGGGGACAGGCGAGGACAGGGGAGAGGACGCACGCAGACAAGTGGAGTGTGAGAGCGGGCGGAGCGTGAGCGAGGGAGGGTGAGAGAGGGTGGAGGGTGAGAGGGGGTGGAGGGTGAGAGGAAGTGGAGGGTGGGAGCGGATGGAAGGACGTCGTTTGAGGTATTCCCTATAGCAAGCGGATCACAATTTTGACAGCCGTGGTGAGAAGTGCCAAGGCAAGCAGAAAGGCAGGAAAGCAGAGAAGCAGGGAAGCAAGAAAGCAGGGACGCAAGAAAGCAGGGAACCAGCTCCCAGACCCGCTTTCCCTACTTTCCCTGCTTCAGGACCCGCGAGATGCCATTTGAGTCGATTCGAAACCCTATAATGAACAAAACACCTTCGTCGGGGCGCCGTCTAGTCCGGACATACGGCCAGCTCGGTTTCATGCCGCACGACGCTTGAGTTTAGCCTCAGTCGCCCACCTGACGAGGCGACATTGTCGTCGTCGTCGCTCGACGAGCTCGAGTCGTCGCTGGAGGCGGCCGCGGGGCCGTCTTCGCTATGAAGCATGCGGTAATCGCGTCGCTTTATCATTTCGACCCTGTCCCGAAGGTACGAAGGAAAAACAAGTCGGTTGAAAGTATTACGGTGGGGATTCAAAGGAAGCTGCAGCCGCAGCAGATAGGGCGAACAATCAGTGTCGCTTAATCACCAAACGCCAAGTATCGTCCGAAAGAGTCTCACGCGAGTCGACTGGGGACTAGGAATGGTGAAAAGAGAGGGGATTAGGTTCCGGGTTTTGTGCGAAATTCTCAAGAGCTGCAACTTAAAGCCCGTAGTTCGTGATTTTCAGGACAATTTTGCTCGAGGCAACTGTTCACACTTTCCTTCCGCCTTTTGTGGTAGCCCCGTAATTCTCGAGGTGGCGAAGGAATTGTCAATTCCGCTGACGTTATGTGGAAGTTTCTGTCTGGGTTCGCGAAAATCTGTAACAGATGCAAAAACTCTCTTTGTTTTCGCCACAGCCAATCCCGTCGTTTTCTGCTGATAGGAAAGAAATCAAGCGGCGAGACAATGTTTCGCCAAGTTCCAGCCGACCGCTTTGCCACCAACAGAGTTCGCTTCGCAAACGGAAAGCCTAATCTGATTGGCAACTGATTCCACAGCTTCTGGTGGTCTGGACGTCAGTCAGCCAGCCAATCAGTCAGTCTTACGGCGGTTTCACCGCCGCCTTTCTGCTGACAATTTTCTCGCACCCATCTTCTCCGTAGTCCTTTCACGGCGAAAGCTCGAAACAATTCGCGAAAGCGGGTTTCCGGAGAGCACATATCGTTCGTCCCTTCGGTATAGAAGTGAAGCACTACTGACTGTCTCTAACAGAGGCAGCAGGTGGAAGTAGTAATCCCTTGGTTTCTTCTGCGTGGCTCTTTGAAAGCCACAAGCAATTTCCCTGATTCCGTTTCGTCCTTCGTCTCCCTCCGTCGTCCAAGCAATGGCGGCGAGTGCAGGCCTGCCTGTATTGGACGTCAATATCGACCCGGGTAGTCCTCTGGAAGAGAGGGAGAAAGCCGTCAGGTAGGCTACTTTTGAGAAGTCTCAAAAAGCAATGGTGGCGAGTGTAAGCCTGCCTGTATTGGACGTCACTATCGACCCGGGTAGTCCTCTGGAAGAGATGGAGAAAGCCGTCAGGTAGGCTGTCAGGTGTTCTTACGCGGAGCCTCAGGTGATATTCCAGGTAGAATGTCAGATGTTTTCAATCAAGGATCACGTTAGCGTCACCATTACTATGTTTTTTTTTCTGCCTTATGTTCCCCTCTTAGTTCTTTAGCACACACCCATAGCACACAGGGTTACCACTCGCATAGTACATTGCACGCAGCCTTATATGAGTCTGATCCCGCCTTATGTGGGCCTGCCAGAAGCTCTCTTTCTTCCCCCTCCCTCCTCATGCCGGGATGGCAGCATTGCAGGAGCAAGAGCTGGAGGTTACTACCATCTCTCTCTCTTCCCCTTTTCCCATCCCCAGGGACATAGCACGCAGACTCATGCCAGCCTGGCAGCATCTGGCAGAGCAGGAGCTGCAGGTTGCACCGTTACCCACATCCCATCATCTCTCGCCCTCTCTCTCTCTATCTTCCCCCGTCCCCCGTACAGGGACATTGCACGCAGGCTCATGCGTAGCATTTCCTAACGGAACAAGAGCTGCAGGTTTCACCATTAGCCACATCCCACCACCTCTCCCTTTCTCTCTGTTCCTTCGCCCTCCCTCGTCTTCAGTGACATTGCACGCAGGCTCATGCCAGCGTGGCATTTCCTAACGGAGCAAGAGCTGCAGGTTTCACCATTAGCCACATCCCACCACCTCTCCCTTTCTCTCTGTTCCTTCGCCCTCCCTCGTCTTCAGGGACATTGCGCGCAGACTCATGCCGGCATGGCAGCATCTGGCAGAGCAAGAGCTGCATGCTTGAACGTTAGCCAGATCCCATCATCTCTCCCTCTTCCCCTAATCTCCTTCGCAGAGACATTGCGCGCAGGCTCATGCCAGCGTGGCAGCATGTGGCAGAGCAAGAGCTGCAGGTTACTACCATCTCGGGCGGAATCACCAACCTGAGTGAGTCTAAGGACGTCCTTAATCGGCAGCATTGCATACTAGGAACTGAATAGTTCACAGGCAGCATCTATTCCCAACCCCCTCTCCCCCTACCGCCCTCCTCCCCTCCCCATCCATATGGTCCTCCTATTCGTCGTAATTAGGATCCCACCCCCCATTCCTCTGAGACTTTTGAGACGTCTCAAAAGCCCTCTTCATCCATATGGTCCTCCTATTCCTCTTTATTAGGATCCTAAGGGCGTGTTACATTTTCTTTTTAGCCGTTTTGTCCAGACGATGGTCCGTGGACGGTACTAAATACGCGTACGGACGGTTCGGGCCTCGCGCTCGGACGAGGTTAGTCCGGTCGGGGAATCTGGAACATTTTTTCCTCTCGAAATTGGGAACAGTGTTTTAGTGTAACACTGGATAGTGGTTACTGTGGTGCAATCAGGGGAAATCCACGTCGCGCGACTTCTGATTAGGTGAATGTATTTCGATAAAACGTCTCGTCGGCCAATCAAATGACGGTTTGGTTGCACTGTCCAGCAGACGGACGGGAGTCGTTTGGACGGTTATGTACAAGGAAAATGGTAAAATGTTTCATTGGTGGTACGTACAGCTGCGACGTCGCATGGTGACGGGCGAAACGTTTAACGATGCGCAACGAAAAACGTTACCCTAAAAATGTCCGGACGGCCCACGGTACGGACCACGGAAGTGAGAAAATGTAACACGCCCTAACCCCCATTTCTCTGGGATTCCTCCTTCAACGTGTACAGTGGGGATTTTTTTATCTGTTTGGGTCTGCGTTCCCTGCATCGACAGTATTTAAAGTGCAGCAAGCGAAGAAAAGCCAGCAGCAGGAGCAGCAGAAGGAGGAGGAAGGAAATGGGAATGACCGAAACGGGGAGGCGTCATCCGAGAAAAGGGGAGACAGCAGCCAATCAGAGGCGATCACTGTGCGCATCTACGGGCCAGATACGGACAAAATCATCAACCGGAGCAGAGAATGGGAGGTGAGGTGGGCATGGGGATGGGGCATGGACATGGGCATGGGTATGGGTCTTGCATGGGGACATGGGCATGGGCATGGGCATGAGCATGCGCATGGGATGGGCATGTTTATGGCATGGGCACAGGAATGGGTATGGGCATGGGCATGGGCATGCCATCCCACACTATGCCACATCTCTCACCACACTACACCACACTGCACCAAACCACACCAAACCACACCAAACCACACCGTACCATGCCACACCACTGCACACCACGTCACATCACGCCACACCACCCCCATCCCCTGCCCTGTCAGGCACACAGGGCGTTGTCAACAGCAAACTTCGGGCCTCGCTTAATAGGGAGCTTCACCAATGGAACCGTGCAGACATACCTGCCTGGCCGCACCCTTACTCCACCCGGTATGCGCTTTGATTCTACACAAGTGTTTCCCTGTCAAGCACTCAGGGCGCTGTCAAGAGCAAGCTTCAGGCCTCGCCTGATAGGGAGCTTCACCAATGGAACTGTGCAGACGTACCTGCCTGGCCGCCCGCTCACCCCACCAGGTATGCCCTGTCAAGGCCCTGCTATACCCTTCTACTCAATTGCCCGTCAAGCACTCAAGACGTTGTCAACAGCTAACTTCGGGCCTCGCCTGATAGGGAGCTTCACCAATGGAACTGTGCAGACGTACCTGCCTGGCCGCCCGCTCACCCCACCAGGTATGCCCTGTCAAGGCCCTGCTATACCCTTCTACTCAATTGCCCGTCAAGCACTCAAGATGTTGTCAACAGCTAACTTCGGGCCTCGCCTGATAGGAAGCTTCACCAATGGAACCGTGCAGACGTAATGCCTGGTCGCCCGCTCACTCCACCCGGTATGCTCGCAATCAACCTGGTATGGTGTGTTCACTCTATGCGCACTCTTTCCCTCCTCCTGCCCTCGCCCCCCTCCCATGCCTCCCCTCCCCACTCCGTGTATCCCGCGCCCTCTCCCCACCCCCCATGCATAGATGTGTCTCCCTCCTGCCCCGCCGTAATCTCAGCTGATAGCGGCACAGCTGCAGCGCCTGCACCATCTGATCTGGACGGGCCAGTACGTCCGTTGCACTATCCATGCATGTACCCATATCTTAAAGCCCGCAGTCACTCCCCCCCCCCCATGCAGAGATGTGCACCCCGCCGCTGTCACACCTGATAGCGGCACAGCTGCACCGCCTGCACCATCTGGACGTGCCTCTTGGGCCGAAGGAGGAGCGCAAGGAGGGACATCTTTGGCACGCCTTGTTCGACATGCTCGATACTGGTGGGTGCTTTCACACTGGTGGTTGTTCGTGTTCTGATGGGTGTAGGAGTGCACGGAGGGAGGGACACAGCTGCACCGCCTGCACCATCTGGACGTGCCTCTGGGGTCGGAGGAGGAGCAGAAGGAGGGGCATCTGTGGCACGCCTTGTTTGACATGCTGCACACTGGTGGGTGCTGGGTGCTTGGAGGATGCTTGGTGGGTGCGTGCTTCCACGCTGTAGTAACACAGGGAGGGGCACAGCTGAACCGCCTGCACCATCTGGACGTGCCTCTGGGAACAGTGGAGGAGCGAAAGGAGGGGCACTTGTGGCATGCCTTGTTCGGCATGCTCGATACTGGTGGGTGCCTTGCCTTGGTGATTACTGGTGTGGGTGCTGGCACTTGCGGTGCATGCGTGCTTGGTGCTTTGGTGCTGGGGGCGGAGGAGGAGCACAGGGAGGGAGGGCCACCTGTGGCATGCGCACCTGTGGCATGCGCTGTTCGACATGCTCCATACTGGTGGGTGCTTGCCATTGTGTGCTGGAACCTTTGATGTGTGCTGCTCGCCTGCTGCTCTGTATCGATCCACCGGCATTATTATGATCATGATCAGATCCGATTATATCATCATATTCTGAAGCGCTGTAGACGCCAGTGCCTGACATTCCAGGATCTTGTTTCTCTGCACCGATTCCATCGCTCTCCATCGGTGAATCAGCTTGTGATGACAAAAACAACATTGTTTTTGTATCCATTGTTGTGTTGTTATCATTGATCATCAGGTTCTGAGGCGCTTCAAAACTGAACATCAATGTTGTCGCGTTGTCGTCGTCGTTGTCAATGTTGTTTTTTAGGCGCCTCAAAAATTGTCTGTGGTTGATTGCTTGACATCTGCTGACCGAGCTTTCCCTGCCATGCTGTGCTAGACTGTTTGTACTCGTTATTGCGTGCCCCCGTTCCCGGTCAGAGCGCCTTCAGCCGAGAAGCTTAAATACGACGACCAGAAGCTGCAGACTCGGTTTGAATCCATTGACTTTGCGAAGTTGAGAAGCGAGATACAAGAAGCAAAGGTGTGTGAAGCTTTCCAAATGTCTGATCATTGAAGGTATTCAATGTTGCATGACGTGCAGCAATCATTGCATGTCTGTAGGCGCAGTTGCTGGAATCGAAGGTGTCTATGTGGAATGCAATGAATCCTGTGGTGTCTTGTCTATCGTGCCCCTTTTCATGCGAGCGTGACAAAGTGTGGGTGTGAGTGAAGTGAACGTGTGTCTGTGAGGATGTTCGCCCATACCTCTTTCCCACAACAATTCTATTGTTTTTCAAACATACATACATGCACGCATGCCACTCGTGTATGCCTCTTACCATGCCATGCTTCTCTCTCTCACACCACACCCACCAGGAGCTGACAGACCGTCTGCACTCGCCCATAGTATTTGCCCACAACGACCTTCTTGCTTACAACCTGCTGCTGGACGAATCACAACCAGGTATCTCATGGTAACTGGTAACATGCGGTATCTTGTGGTAACATGCGGTATCTTGCGGTAACATGCGGTATCATACGGTAACATGTGATATGACTCATGCCCATAGTATTTGCCCACAACGATCTCCTCGCTTACAACCTGCTGCTGGATGAATCACAACCAGGTACCGTGCGGTAACAAGCGGTAACATGTGATCTCGTGCCTGGTGGTAACGTGGTGGTAACGTGATGGTAATGTGGTGGTAATTCGTGGTAATGCTGTGCTAACGTGGTGGTAGCATAGTGGTTATGTTGTGGTAACATGCAATAAGATCTGATACCATACCAACATTGACATCACCATTCCATGTACCACGCCAGTGCCGACGCCACCCTGCCATGTGTGTGTACCATGAAATCCCCCTTCCATGCTCCACTGATGCCCTGCAGGCGCCTTCATGATGCATGCGATTGACTCTAAATAAGCAGCGTACAACCCCCGGGGGAACGACTTTCCCCTTTCATGCTTCTCTGATCCCCTGTGTGTGTGCAGGCACCCCCACCATGCACGTGATTGACTTTGATTATGCACTGAAGCTGTGAAGAACTTCACGTCTCTTATTCATCTTCACGCCCCGTTTGCAACTTCCCTCTGCTCCCCTGTGTGTGTGCAGGCGCCCCCACTATGCACATGATTGACTTTGAGTACGCGGCGTACAACCCCCGGGGGTACGACATTGCAAACCACTTCTGTGAATATGCCGGCTTCGAGTGCGAATACTCAAGGTGGGATAAGCCAAGGTGATACGATGCACCATATGACACACTATGTGAGACTACGCCGGCTTCGCTTCGCACTATAGTCTACTTATGGTCAGATTATACTCCACATGCTATGAACGATTAAGAGTGCCCACCAATAGGACTTTTTCTGCCTCTGCGTCACTACACCTTCTCTGCGCCATCCTCTCCCCTCTCCCCTTTTCCCCCCCAAGGCCCACCAGCAGGATTTCTTCCACCACTACCTCGGCCCAATTTGAATCTATCTAACGTTCTCCCCATTCTTTTCCTGCATCTCCATCTCCCCCTCTCCTCCTCTCCATCTCCCCCCAGGTTTCCCTCCAAGGCCCACCAGCTGGACTTCTTCCGCCACTACCTCTGCCCCAATGCTCCCACCTGTCTGCCCCTTCTCCTGCACCTTCCTTCTCCTCCCCGCTCCCCCCTCCCCCCTCTCCCCCTCTCCATCCCCCCCCAGGTTCCCCTCCAAGGCCCACCAGCTGGACTTTTTCCGCCACTACCTGCACCCCACCGCTCCTGAGAAGGTGATTTCTGGGGAACTGGTGGGAGTCATGCGGAGGTAGGCAGGTGGGTGCAAGGTGGGAAGAGAGATGGTAGCAAAGGCCTAGCCCTATCACCAGCTGGACTTTTTCCGCCACTACCTGCACCCCACTGCTCCTGAAAAGGTGAATTTTGGGCAGGTGGGGGTTGTGGGGAGGTGGAGTGAGCAAGATGAGAGGGAGGAGGTGGGGAGTGGGAGCAATGGCCTAGCCTTATCACCAGCTGGAGCTTTTTCGCCAGTACCTGCATCCCAACGCCCCTAAGGTGACTCATGGGGAACTGGGGTGGGAGGAAGGGAGGCAGGAGGGAGCAAGGTGGGAAGAGAGGTGGGGCCTAGCACCATCACCAGCTGGACTTCTTCCGCCATTACCTGCACCCCACCGCTCCTGAAAAGGTGACAAATAGGTAGATGGGAGGGATGTGGGAGGGAGGTGAGAGCAGCGTGGGTGCAAATTCCTTCCACCTGATGCTAAACCACTTGGATGCCAAGTATCTGAAGCCACCATGGCACCTTCTGTGCCCCTCAGAAAGAGTTGGGCAGGTTGTATCTAGCGGTGAACGCAATCACTGTGATTCTTGAGACGTCTAAAAAATGCTCGTTTATCACGTGACCTTCTGTGCCCCTTGGACAGAGCTGGACAGGTTGTATCTGGCGGTGAATGCAATCACTGTAATTCAGTCAGTCAGTGCATCTGCTGAAATGGCTGTATCTGAACAAGAGTTCGTTCACCCTCCTCTCTTCGATGACTGATGGCACCTTCTGTGCCTCTTCTTCCCTCCTAGTCATTGTGTTTGCGCTGTATGGCAGGCCTCTCAGGCGGCACTGGACAGGCTTTATCTGGAGGGGAATGGTTTCCCTCAGTTTTTGTCATTACTCTTCCTCTGTTGCTTCGATTCTTTCTCTGCCAGGCTTCTCAGGTGGAACTGGACAGGCTGTATCTGGAGGTGAACGCTTTCACACTTGCCTCTCATTTCTTCTGGTGCCTCTGGTCCCTCCTTCAGGTAACTGCAGTGTTCTTTTGTTGAAATCTTGCCATAGCATTTTCCAGCAATTCCCTATTCATGAGTTTTGCCACCAATGCCAATTCTGAATATTATTGGAAAAAAACCAACACTAAACACAACAAAACAAAACAAGGTTTGCGGTGATATTTGACCCCGGCCTTGCTTATACTTGCGCTTTCTTCCTTCTACCTCTTCATTGTGTGTACTCCACGCACCCTCACCTCGCAGGCCAAGTACTCAGCCATTGATTTTGACTACATGGACTATTTCTTTGTTCGTTACGGCGTGTATCAAAAGCGAAAGGAGGAGGATGTAGCGCTTGTAGAGTCTTATCTCAGCAATCAAAAGATGCAAACCAGCTTTGTGATTTGATCACCTGACCTCAGGTTGATATGGAGGTCTGAGTAATCAAAAGATGCAAACCAGCTTAGTGGTTTGATCACCTGACCTCCATATGGGCTTAGTGGTTGCCCAGCGGATTGATTGTAGCACGTTGGTTTACCGTATGCAAAGGGGGGCTGCTCTTTCTTCTTAGAGGGAGGTTCTTGCTTGGTGCCTTTTCATGATGCCATTATGAAGCCTGGCTAACTTATAATGGAGGTGCTTTCCATTCCCCTCTGTTTTATGGCATGATTAATGGGAAGGCAATCAGGGTTTCTGTGGCACATTACATGTAAGGATATGCACGCAGACAGCTCATGTCGCCCCCTCAACTTGCTAAAGATTCTAATATAGTGGGAATTCTCAGCTTCCCCAGCAGCAGCTTCTGTTATAGCCACCATAAATTAACAGCTTCATGTCAGGAAAATGCGAAGTGTAATAGGGTAATTGAGATTTCTTTCTGGTAGATATTTCACCTCCACAAGCAAAGATCCCCACGTCAGGTAGCGGCATCCCAGATGTCGTGGAAAGCGGCCCAATATCCCCCCAAAGCCGATGGGACATGGATGACGTGTTACCAATCAAAAGTCGCATATGCGACAAGGGGGCCAAGATCCGCTCCTCTATTCTTGCTGGAAGTGCTGACAGGGCAAGGGAGGCTACAATGCGCGGCTGCGGCAGTGAACTGCCTTCCCAGCGCCATGGCGACTGGTGGCGCGGAACATGGAGTCAACGCAGGGAGATGGTGTGCGAGAGCCCCCAGCTGGGAACTCCTCGTAGGCAGGATGGCGCAAATCAACTCGCCGTGGTGCTTCTGTTGCGGAACTCTCGGGGGCATCTCCAAGATTCTGGTTGGGCGGAAGGGGGGAAAGTGGGGAGGGCGGAGGGCAGAGCGGACCGAGAAAGCAGGAGGGTCAGGAATCAGAGAATCCGCAGATGAACACACAGCTCTGCAGGCACAATCCACTCAACCGAAACCAAATCATTCCAACCCATTCCAACCTAGCTCAAGCTCAAGGCAATGCCATGTCCTTGTGCTGCAGAGTTCTCTATGTGCTGGCATTCTGGGACGACATCGTGAGAATCTCCGCTGTAGTAAATCCTCCAGGCGACATTCTGTTTCTGTGAATCCATTTTTGCGAAGAGCAATTTCATCCTTTTCTTTTTACCTCCACGCTTGCAGCACCTTGCTGCTTCCGCTGTCTTGCACAGCTATACTGAATCCAGGCTTCGGCGTATTTTAGTCGAACTTTATTTTACGAGCAGCAGCAGCCATGGTGCTCAGCGTCGCGTTACCCGAGGGCCTCGATGCGTCGAAGCTGTCCAAGGACATCTCCGCGTACAGCGAGCTGCAGCAAGCTCGCCTCAAGTTCCGCCCGACGCTCCCCTCCATGCTCGACGGGCCCAGCGTTGTCGAGAAGGGTCCTCCCACCAAGGCCGCCGGCAACGATGGTACGCGTCGCTGACGGATTTTATATCACAAGTAAACATGTGGTGCTCGTTTGAGTCGACTCGAAAGTCACCACGTGGTGCTCGTGTGTGCCGACTTGTGACGATGCGTTTTGCGAAGACCATTCTTAATGGCAGCATTAGGTTGGATACTTTTCTACACGAACAGATCCAGGTCAAATGTTTTCCAGGTTTGCATGCAAGAAACAGTTAGTGGTGGATTTGCCGTGCTATTTTGCGTAAACAGTGATGCAAGGGAACAGGAATCCGTACTAGCAACAGATGCTTCCGGTAGTCGTTATCGAGACGTCTCTTCATTGCCGTGTGGCGCGTGGTCGTTCCAAATGTAGGCTTTCCTTCTTTTAAGACCGTTCCCTCCTCTCCTGGTCCGTTTGGCCAAGCTATTCCATTAGCATTGTTTTTTTCAGAGAAGTTCGCGAAGCTCTTCCCCTTCGCTCTACGGCCAGCCGTCCTTGGAACTTCGTTCTGTCATTCAACCTTTCCGCTTCCACTTCCTCTGACTCCTTCTCATCTGCCTCCCTTGCTGTCGACCTACCAGAGGAGATTGCCAAGCTCTTCCCGTCGCTCTACGGCCAGCCCTCCGTGAAGCTCGTTCCGGCCGGCGCATCCGCCGCAACCCCCACGCCCATCACCGTCGGCGTCGTGCTGTCCGGAGGCCAGGCTCCCGGCGGCCACAACGTCATTGCGGGACTTTTCGGTGAGTCTTTTCCTGGTTTTGGCTATGTTGCTCTTGCTTTTGGGTTGAAACCTGTCGTTACTGTCACGTTTGAATCTGGAAGACTTTCTTTACAGATCCAAAAAGCCGGTCCTCATCCACACCTAATCATCAGTCGTTGCGCTTAGCGACCCTTTTCGAGCCCTTTGTGGGTGGATGTGCTGCTCAGCAACAATGTATCCATGTTCAATGTATAGTTCAGTAACCTCTTGGAATCCATGTTGCAAGTTCCTCGTTTCCTGATGCTCTTAAACCTGGCATTGACTCTGCCAAACAACAAGCGGAGATCACGGCCGCGTTTCTAACTCTCTATCCTTCTCACTGCTCCGTCCTCCCCCATGCACCATCTATTTTCCACCATCAGACTACCTGCAGGAGAAGGTGCCGGGCAGTAAGCTGTTGGGGCTCCTGGGCGGGCCAGCGGGAGTGATGAAGTGCAAGTACGTGGAGATCACGGCGGAGTTCCTCTACCCCTACTCACGTGCCTTGCTCCTTCCCTTCCCTCCATCACCCCTTCTGTTGCGCACCATCAGATTACCTGCAGGAGAAGGTGCCAGGGAGCAAGCTGCTGGGGTTCCTGGGCGGGCCAGCGGGAGTGATGAAGTGCAAGTACGTGGAGATCACGGCGGAGTTCCTCTACCCCTACTCACGTCCCTTGTTCCTTCCTTCCCCTTGTACCCGCCATCTGTTTGCCGCCATCAGACTACCTGCAGGAGAAGGTGCCGGGCAGCAAGCTGCTGGGGTTCCTTGGAGGCCCAGCGGGAGTGATGAAGTGCAAGTACGTGGAGATCACGGCGGAGTTCCTCTACCCCTACCGCAACCAGGGCGGCTTCGATATTATCTGCTCCGGCCGCGACAAGATCGAGTCCCCCGAGCAGGTACGGCCGGCTCTTGATCTGCTTCGATGGTGTGCCTTTCGCTGCGTCGATATCGTCGATTCGTAAAATGCATCGCTAAATTTCCTTCTTATTTTTCGTTCCGGCTCCTCTCTGCTCGTTCTCCGTCGTTCGCAGTTCGCCATGGCCGTGGCATCAGCGGAGCAGCTCTCCCTGGACGGGCTGGTGGGCTCCAGATTTGAAAATGTCTGTCCCCCTTTTCGTCGCTCCTGCTCCCTTCTCGTGCTATCTCCCTCTCCCGCGCGCAGTTCGCCATGGCCGTGGCATCGGCGGAGAAGCTCTCGCTGGACGGGCTGGTGGTCATCGGCGGAGACGACTCCAACACCAACGCCTGCCTGCTCGCCGAGCACTTCCGGTCAGTGCTGCTCCTTGCCTCGCCCTCCTTCATCCGAGCACTTCCGGTCGATACTTTTTTTTTTTTTTGTGTTGCATGGACCACGTGTCTATTGCAAGCGTCCTGTTGCGTTTCAATTTGTTTTTTGTTTCCATAGCCTCGTGTCGAATTCCGACTGTCGTGGTTGATGTTTGCGGCATTGCATATGATCCCATTCACACCCCAACGTTTTTCCATTTCAAGCCTCTATTTTTTACCACAGCTCATCGCGTTCACCGCATTCCATCCCATCCCACCTCGTCGATCCACCGCAGCGTCAAGGGCCTGAAGACGAAGGTGATCGGGTGCCCCAAGACCATCGACGGCGATCTCAAGGCGGCGCAAGTGCCCATCAGCTTCGGCTTCGATACCGCGTGCAAGGTGAATAAGGGAGTGCATGCAAGGCGTGTAAGGGAAGAGGTATGAGCGTGCAAGGTGGGGGGGTAGGGGAAGAGGTATGAGCGTGTCAGAGCAAGGCGGCGCAAGTGCCCATCAGCTTCGGATTCGACACCGCGTGCAAGGTGAACACAAGGGAGGGCGCAGGCGGATGCACGATCTCTGTGTATGTTGGGGTGGGGTGGGAAGGGAAGAGGTATGAGCGTGTCAAAGCAAGGCCGCGCAAGTGCCCATCAGATTCTGCGCGCGAATGCCTCCGCTTATGCCTTATCTATCTTCACCCGACTTCCCTTGCGCGCGTGCGTGCGCCCGGTTTCCTGCGCAGGTCTACTCCGAGACCATTGGGAATGTCATGACTGATGCGCGGTCCGGCGGCAAATACTACCATTGTGAGTACATTGAGAGGGCAATAGGCGAAGATTGGGGGAAGGGGGGAGGGAAGTGAAGGAAGTGCGATAGGAAGGGAGGAATGGGGGGGATAAAGGGAAAGAAGGGATGAATGGGAGAAGGGGAGGGGTTGTCTGCTTGCCGATTCTGCATTTCGCGCTCCTATGGACGTGGCACGATGCATGCGTGGATCTAATTGGGCCTGATTTTAAGGAGAGCTAGTTCTATCTTCACGTTCCGCTTCCCACCCTGCTTTGTCCCTTCGCTTCATTCTCCCCCCCCTATCTCGCACTTCCCAACGATGGCGTGTGTGTTGGCGTGCGCCTCAAAAAACTCCCACCCTGCTTCGACCCTTTGCTCCCTTCTGCCCCCCCACCCCCCCACCTCATAACAATGGCGCGTGATGGCGTGGCGTGCTGGTACACGTTGGTCCACGTGGCGGCGTGTGATGGGCGCATGGGACGTAACCTGGTCCACGTGGCGGCACGGCAGTCGTGCGGCTGATGGGCCGAGCGGCGTCGCACATCACCCTCGAGTGCGCGCTGCAGACGCACCCCAACATCACGCTCGTTGGCGAGGAGGTTAGTACGGTTGAATGCGGTGGGGTTAGATGCCTTCTGGTTAGGAGTGATGCGGTTGGATGCGGTGTGCATAGAGTGCGCGCTGCAGACGCAACCCAATATCACGCTCGTCGGCAAAGACGTCAGTGGGAGGAAGCGGGCAGTGCGGTTGGCAATGCAATCAGGTGGTTGGCTGCCGTGGTAGGAGTTGTGTTGCGTTGAGAGGCGCGGTTTCCGTGTTTCTCCGTCTATTCCTCCTCTGTCTCTGCTCGCCGTGGCCACGCCCCCTCTCGGGCGTGCCATGCGTATCATTCTCTCCTCAGCTTGGTTCTGCACTCGCTTTCCTTCCCCCCCTCCCCCTGACCGTGGCGCATCCTGGCGTGCCAGGTGTTCGCAAAGGGCATGACCCTGGGCCAGGTCACCAACCACATCGCTGACGTCATCTGCCAGCGCGCCGAGGCGGGCAAGAACTTCGGCGTGGTGCTTATTCCCGAAGGGCTCATCGACTTCATCCCCGAGGTACTTCATAGGAACGTTTATCTTGCTACCGCCTGTTCTCAGGTATGCTGATGTCGCTTGCCACATCCCTGCCTCTCCTTCGGCGTGGTGCTCATTCCCGAGGGGCTCATCGACTTCATTCCCAAGGTACCTCTCAGGTTTCTTTAGCCCTCTCCTCTCAATTCCCTATGACTATGGGGGGATTGCTCATTCCCAATGGGCTCATCGAATACAATCCCGAGGTACTCTTTGCATCTGCTTCCGGGTACTGTGATCTTGAATGTCCAACCCGCCTCCTCTCCCTCAACACACCGCGCAGATCAAATCCCCATCTCCCAGCTGAATGAGATTCTCGCCAAGGCGGCGGTGGACGCCTTGCAGCCCAGCGCAGAGGGTGCACCAATGCCCATCTCATCTCACTCCCCCTTCCCTTCCGCCCCTCCCTACCCACTCCTCACAGATCAACGATCTCATCTCCCAGCTGAATGAGATTCTCGCCAAGGCGGCGGTGGACGCCTTGCAGCCCAGCGCAGAGGGTGCACCAATGCCCATTTCATCTCACTCCCCCTTCCCTTCCGCCCCTCCCTACCCACTCCTCACAGATCAACGATCTCATCTCCCAGCTGAACGAGATCCTGGCCAAGGCGGCGGTGGACGCGGAGGGCATGTACGAGTGGAAGGAGGGGCTGCAGCCCAACACGCGCACGCTGTTCGACTCGCTGCCCAAGGACATTCAGGACCAGCTGCTGCTCGAGAGAGACCCCCACGGCAACGTGCAGGTTAGTTGGCGCTTTTAGTGCTAGGCAGGCAGTGCGAGGCGAGGTCTGTACACTCGAGGCTAGGCAGTGCTTGTAGCGCTTCTTATCCAAGCACAGCAGTACAAGGTGTAGTGTGTGCAGGAAACGCGCACACTGTTCGTCTTGCAGGAAATGCGCTTTCTTTTGGGCCCTCACCTAATATTTCTTACCTCCACCTCACGACACAACCCTCCCACCCGCCCCCCCCCCCCCCCTCCATCCCCCACTCACGCGCCACCCCCCACACCCCCCCAGGTGGCGCGCATTGAGACGGAGAAGATGCTGATCAGCATGGTGGAGGAGGAGCTGGGGCGGCGGGCCAAGGCGGGGCAGTACAAGGGCGCCTTCGAGGGCCGCTCGCACTTCTGCGGGTGAGTTCTGGGCGAGGTTTCGGGTTAGTGATCCGGCACAGTGAGAGGAGGTAAGCGGAGGAGAGAGGAGGTGGGAAGAAGGGTGTAGATTGGGGAGGTGAGGCCTTGATGAGAGTGCTGAACAGAGAGACTACGTCCGCCATTGCTCTTGCCAGCTGTCTCGTAGCACAAGCTATCGGTCCTGAACACTCCCCACCTGCTAGCGATTCAAGTCCGCATCCCTTCCCTCCCCGTTGCTCTGCTCCTACCATATCTACCCCTGCAGCTACGAGGGGCGGTGTGGCATGCCCACGCTCTTCGACGCCACCTACTGCTATGCTCTCGGTTCCGTGGCAGCAGCATTGGTGCAGGCGGGGGAGACGGGGCTCATCGCGTCCGTGGGGAACCTGACTGCTCCTCCCCAGGAGTGGACTGTTGGCGGCACTGCTCTCACTGAGCTGATGGTTGTGGAGAGGCGCAAGGGTGAGTGTCAGAGGGGCAAAGGCGAGTGGTAGGAAGGGGAAGGGGCGCACGGGTGAGTGACAGAGGGAGGAAGGGAGAGAGATGAGGGGGAGGATGAGTGGGGAGAGGAAGAGGTGGTTGTGGCAGCAGCACTGGTGCAGGAGGGGGAGACAGGGCTCATTGCGTCTGTGGGGAACCTGACTGCGCCCCCCCAGGAGTGGACCGCGCTCACTGAGCTCATGGTGGTGGAGTGGCGCAAGGGTCAGTGGTGGGGAGGAGAGGAGGGAGAGGTTTCATTGTGTCCTCAGCACCAGGTTGTTTGTAGCACAGTCTCTCAAGCGTTGAGTTTCATTGATCCTGTGGCTCGTGCTGCTGTGTGTTTGCTACACGTGTGCATGTGAGCAGGCAAAAACAAGCCGGTGATCAAGAAGGCCATGGTTGAATTCGAGGGTGCGCCCTTCAAGAAGTTTGTCTCAGTGCGTGACGACTGGGCCCTCAACGACCGCTACAGAAGCCCAGGTGCGGCCTTCCCTTCTTCCTATCCTCTCCCCAACCCGCCTTCCTCAACCCCCTCTTTTCCCATCCCCTTCGCCCCCATCATTGGTTCATCTTCCTTCCCTTTTGAGTTTGATGCTGCCCTTGCTGCTGGTTGTGCTCTAGTTTGTCTTGATCTCTTTCAACCTTTCTCTGTGCTCCTCCATTCTGCACTGTGCAGGCCCCATCCAATTTGAGGGCCCTACTGCCTCCCAGCCAAACCTCACACTGCTGCTTGAGCAGGGCGTGTCCGTCTAGAATATAGGAGCTTGTTATACTCTAGAGAACATACCCGTATCTGCTGTGAAAGTTTGGGATTATCTGTTTTGGTCGGGAATGTTTTGATAGGTTTGCCATGGTATGGCAAGATAGTGGAGTGTTTTGCTGTGGAGTATCTTACGATAACACTAAACCAGCTTGGCATTTTCCATACAATGAATGGATGCCATTTCACTCAGACACTTCACAATTGCAAACACCATCCGAGAGTTCTGGAAATCAGCATATAGTGAAACCTCGATGTAAGCGCTGTAAACACGGACCAAGCCGCGAACCGCTCTGGTTCAGGCTTTCCCGCGAGACTGCTTTCAAAGTGAAGCTGACGTCACTCATAAATTCGTCTGTCTCAAAATCCCAACCTCGAAGAAACGACCAACCCTCACTGCATCATTTCCAGATTGACTGGCCTGAATAGCCGCTACACCAATCGATTTCCGGCGTCCGCCATGGCAGCCACTAGCGTGCCCGCGGCCCCGAGCTTCGACGTGAATGTGCGTTGGTAGAACCGTAAATTGTATCAACTGGTAGATCCTGTTATTGGAAATCTACGTGCGTTGGTCAATCGCTGCAACATTACCAAGTTAGCGTCACTCCCGAAGCCCAGTTTCCGTTCCAGGTAGTAAGAAGTTAGCGTCATTCCCGTCCTCTCCTGTGTTCGCCTCGGTCCGTACCCGCTGCAAGTCTAGGTTGATAGCGTCAATTTCGACGTGTAGTCTCTGGTGGTAAGAATTTAAGCGTCATTTCCGTCAGCTTGAGACATCTCAAGAGTCATCTCCTGTCCTCGCCGCTGTTCATATCGCATTTGGACTGCTACCATTTGAGCGTCACTCCCGAAGTGCTTCCATCCGTCCGACTAGAACCATTGCCTTGAGAGAGTTTTATTCTCCAAAGTGTCTGTCATTGCATTCCTCGGCCTCCAGTCTCTACACCTTGGGTACTTGTGCTTTCAGTCTCGTCCTGTTCATTGGCAGAGTGATGTGCTTTTGAGTCAGACTAAAAAACGAGGTGACATATAGGTCAGACTCAAAAACCTCAGGCCCCAAACCCACCCCCCTGAACCTCGTGACTCGTCTGACTGTCCAAAGGGAGAGTGTAAAGCTTTTTGGTGTGCTGAATTTGATACGATTCTGACGTGATTTGCAGTGCTGAATGCGATACGATTGATGTGGGTTGCAGTGCTGCTTGGTATTCAATTCGATGTGGGTTGCAATGCTGAACCGAATCCAATCTGATGAGGTTTGCACTGCTGAGTGTGATTCAAAACTGCTGGGGTTCTCCCCTTGCCCCCACAATCCACAGCTAAGGCCAGGCGAGCATTTCTTCTTTGCAGCGGGGCCGAACGTCATTGAATCTGTTTCTAAAAGCGCATCAAGAACTGACTCCTGTCTCCCCGTTGTCCCCCCTTGCCCCGACAATCCACAGCCACATCCCGGCGAGCCCTTTTTCCTGATAGCGGGGCCGAACGTGATCGAATCGGAGCAGCACACGCTGCACATGGCACGGGCTATCAAGGAGGTCGCTGACAGGTGGGGAGAGGCTTGGGGGAGGCTCGGGGGAGGCTTGACAGGCCCGGGGGGGGGTGGGGGGGAGGGGTTGGGGGTAGCGAGGGGCTGGATGAACGTGGTTGAGTCGGAGCAGCACACGCTGCATATGGCGCGGGCTATCAAGGAGGTCGCTGACAGGTAGGTTGGTGGAAGAAGGGGGGGAATAGATTGTGGAAGGTGAGGGGGGGGTTGAAGAGGTTGGAAGGCCGTGATTTAATCAGAGCAGCACACGCTTCACATGGCGCGGGCAATCAAGGAGGTCGCTGACAGGTGGGGAGAGGCTTGGGGGAGGCTTGGGGGAGGCTTGGGGGGTAGAGGTGAAAGGGGGGGGGCGGGGGAGCTGGAAGGAGTTGATTAAGTCGGAGCAGCACACGCTGCATATGGCACGGGCTATCAAGGAGGTCGCTGACAGGTGGGCAGAGGCTTGGGTTGGAGGGTACAGGCGAAGGGGGGGTCGGGGGGTTGAAAGGATGTGATTAAGTCGGTGCAGCACAGCACACGCTGCTGCTTAAGGCGCGGTCAATAATGTGCATTGCGCTAAAGGAGCACACCCTCTTTGTGTCTCATCGCTTGATGCACGGTAGCACCAACTTAGAAGTTAGCACGCCCTCTCTCTCACTCTTGTACAACGCACACCGAGCGACCTACTCAGTGTTTCCCTTCATATTCCCTCTTTCCCTTTTGGCACTGCGATTGATCCATATCAGTCTCGGTCTGAGGTTCGTTTTCAAGGCTAGCTTCGACAAGGCCAATCGCACGTCACTGAATGCGTTCAGAGGGCCGGGGATGGAACAAGGGCTCCAGGTGAGTTGACGGGGCCAGGGTCAATTGAAGCGCGATGTCTAATTGCCTGCCATTCTCTCAATTCTTACAAGCTTCCGAGCCTGGGCCAGCTCCAGTCGTTTTTCGCATGTCAGGTTTTGTCCTCTTTTATTTTCCGTTCAATTTGGCTCACATTATGCTGTTGTTTTACCTCTTTTGATTCTTCCGTTTAAACTTCAAGCTCACATTCTCCTGATTCTTCCCCTCCCCACCGCCTTTACACCCCCCTACCCCTCTCCCTGTTCTTGTATGCTCTGTCTGGGAGTGGTGCGTCAGATTCTGGAGCAAGTGAGGCAGCAGGTTCACGTGCCAGTGCTCACTGACGTACATGAAACGAGCCAGGTGAGATGAAACGGGCCAGGTGAGATGAAACGAGCCAGGTGAGATGAAACGAGCCAGGTGAGATGAAACGGGCCAGGTGAGATGAAACGAGCCAGGTGAGATGAAACGGGCCAGGTGAGATGAAACGGGCCAGGTGAGATGAAACGGGCCAGGTGAGATGAATCGGGCCAGGTGAGATGAAACGAGCCAGGTGAGATGAAACGAGCCAGGTGAGATGAAACGAGCCAGGTGAGATGGAATGGAACGAAGCAGGTGAAACGGACCTTTTCATTCGCCTCCTCCTCTTCGCCATTCAAACCCAATCCCTGCTACTCCCTTTCTCCTTCCTCTCCTTCCTCTCCTTCCTCTCCTTCCTCTCCTTCCTCTCCTTCCTCTCCTTCCTCTCCTTCCTCTCCTTCCTCTCCTTCCTCTCCTTCCTCTCCTTCCTCTCCTTCCTCTCCTTCCTCTCCTTCCTCGCCTTCCTCTCCTTCCTCTCCTTCACTCCTTCCTCTCCTTCCTCTCCTTCCTCTCCTTCCTCTCCTTCCTCTCCTTCACTCCTTCCTCTCCTTCCTCTCCTTCCTCTCCTTCCTCTCCTTCACTCCTTCCTCTCCTTCCTCTCCTTCCTACTCTCCATCCCCCCATCACCACACACGCAGTGCGAGCCAGTGGCCAGGGTGGTAGACGTCATTCAGATCCCGGCTTTCCTCTGCCGACAGGTGAGCCTTCCTCAGGTGGGCCTTGCTTAGGTGGGCCTCGCTTAGGCGTTTCTTTGCAGTGGGGTGTGCCTTCAGATGTTTCATCAGGTGGTTCTTATCTTTCAGGTGGTTCTTCAGGTGTCCGTTGCCAGGTGGTTCCATGCCCCCCAGTCCTCCTCTTCTTTGCATCACACATGTCGATGCCACCCTGTCGCTTTGCCACCCCATTACTTTGGAGCCCCATTGCTTTCGAACCTCCCTCCCTCCCTCTCTCCCTCCCTCCCTCCCTCCCTCCCTCCCTCCCTCCCTCCCTCCCTCCCTCCCTCCCTCCCTCCCTCCCTCCCTCCCTCCCTCCCTCCCTGCCTCCCTCCCTCCCTCCCTCCCTCCCTCCCTCCCTCCCTCCCTCCCTCCCTCTCTCCCTCCCTCCCTCCCTCCCTCCCTCCCTCCCTCCCTCCCTCCCTCCCTCCCTCCCTCCCTCCCTCCCTCCCTCCCTCCCTCCCTCCCTCCCTCCTCCTCCCTCCCTCCCTCCCTCCCTCCCTCCCTCCCTACCTCCCTCCCTCCCTCCCTCCCTCCCTCCCTCCCTCCCTCCCTCCCTCCCTCCCTCCTCCTCCCTCCCTCCCTGCCTGCCTCCCTCCCTCCCTCCCTCCCTCCCTCCCTCCTCCTCCCTCCCTCCCTCCCTCCCTCCCTCCCTCCCTCCCTCCCTCCCTCCCTCCCTCCCTCCCTCCCTCCCTCCTCCCTCCCTCCCTCCCTCCCTCCCTCCCTCCCTCCCTCCCTCCCTCCCTCCCTCCCTCCCTCCCTCCCTCCCTCCCTCCCTCCCTCCCTCCCTCCCTCCCTCCCTCCCTCCCTCCCTCCCTCCCTCCCTCCCTCCCTCCCTCCCTCCCTCCCTCCCTCCCTCCCTCCCTCCCTCCCTCCCTCCCTCCCTCCCTCCTCCTCCCTCCCTCCCTCCCTCCCTCCCTCCCTCCCTCCTCCCTCCCTCCCTCCCTCCCTCCCTCCCTCCCTCCCTCCCTCCCTCCCTCCTCCTCCCTCCCTCCCTCCCTCCCTCCCTCCCTCCCTCCCTCCCTCCCTCCCTCCCTCCCTCCCTCCCTCCCTCCCTCCCTCCCTCCCTCCCTCCCTCCTCCCTCCCTCCCTCCCTCCCTCCCTCCCTCCCTCCCTCCCTCCCTCCCTCCCTCCCTCCCTCCCTCCCTCCCTCCCTCCCTCCCTCCCTCCTCCTCCCTCCCTCCCTCCCTCCCTCCCTCCCTCCCTCCCTCCCTCCCTCCCTCCCTCCCTCCCTCCCTCCCTCCCTCCCTCCCTCCCTCCCTCCCTCCCTCCCTCCCTCCCTCCCTCCCTCCCTCCCTGCCTGCCTCCCTCCCTCCCTCCCTCCCTCCCTCCCTCCCTCCCTGCCTCCCTCCCTCCCTCCGCTGCAGTAGACGGATCTGCTGACAGCAGCAGCTCGCACAGGCCGACCCATCAACATTAAAAAGGGGCAGATGTGCAGCGCTGAGGTGAGGTGCAGTGCAGTGCTGTGCCGTGAGGTGAGGTGGGGTGAGGCGAGGTGAGGTGAGGTGAGGCGAGGCGAGGTGAGGCGAGGCGAGGCGAGGCGAGGGGAGGCGAGCGAGGCGAGGCGAGGTGTGGTACATCGAGGTTAGGAGGTGAGGTGATGCATCCATCCATCCATCCCTCACACACGAGGTGGTGGTGGCAGCAGCAGAGACGGTGAAGGTGGCTAGCAATTCCCATGAGTACCCATACACACACAATAATGCATTGATCAATTTATTCTTCCAACCGCTTAGATAATCACATGCATCCATGCACCCCTCCCCACACACATCACGTGGTGGTGGCAGCAGCAGAGAAGGTGAGGGCGGCGGGCAATCCCCATGAGTGTTTGGACACACACTCATGGATGCATCTAACATTTGTTCTTTCCATCCACTCTAATACAAGGCATCCGTCCACCCATCCCATCCCCCACACCGCACGCACACACCAGGTGGTGTTGGCGGCAGCTGAGAAGGTGAGGGCGGCCGGCAACCCCCATGTGATGGTGTGTGAGCGGGGCACCATGTTCGGATACGGAGATCTGATCCTGGATCCACGCAATCTCGTTCAGATGCGGGCGGCAAACTGCCCTGTGGTTGCTGACGCCACCCACTCCCTGCAGCAACCGGCTCAGCGGCAGGTAGGGCCTCCAATTGTGGATTGACACGTGGCTACTGCATGTTATTCTTGTTGACTATTGCTGACCCCGATTGACTCTTGCTGACTTTGCATTGTCTAGATTCGTGTGGATTTGCACCGACTCAATTTGGCTCGATTCGATTTTTCTTCTGTTGACTTGCTTTCTGATACTCGTGTTGACTCAATCTGTGTTGACTAGCATTGAATTTCCTTTACTTGCAGCTGCCAGGGGGGTGGCTGGCGAGTGGAGGGTAGAGCCACCTCATCCTGCTGACTCCTCATTGACTCCAGTTGACTTGCATTGACTTCCTGTGACTTGCAGCTGCCAGGGGGAGGCCTAGCAAGCGGAGGGCAGAGGCATCTCATCCCGGCTGTGGCGCGAGCATGTGTGGCGGTGGGGGTGGATGGCATTTTCATGGAGGTAGGTACTGTGATGTGTTTCGAGTACAAAGGCATTCATGTCATGAGTGCATGCATCAGTGTGCATGTGAGGATGTTAGCATGTGTGTGGCGGTGGGGGTGGACGGCATTTTCATGGAGGTAGGTACTGTGATGCAGTGTGAGAAGGCAGTGAGGGCTTAGTATAAAATGGTATAGATGGTGTGCTGGTGCGGTGTTCTGTGCCTTCACGCTCCTCTCTGCCGCCCATCGCCTCCCCCTGTGATCACCACTTCCCCCTTGCCGCCACGGCGCCACGTGGCAGGTTCACGACAATCCCGAGGCTGCTCCTGTGGATGGCCCGACCCAGTGGGTGAGTGGGGGAGGGTGAAGGGTGATGTGAAATCAGGAAAGGGATAGTGAGGGGTAAAGGGAAGGGTGAGAAGGGAGAGTAGGGCGAGGTGAAGAGGGAGTGAGGAAAGAGAGGAAGGCGGGTATGGGGAGGCGTGAAGCAGAGAGGTGGATGGGAGATAGAGGTGGGTAGCAATATTTGAGAGGTCTGGGAAGGTTAAATACGAAGTATGGGTTTCCAGCCTCTTACGTTTTCCCATTCACACCTCTCTGTCTCCCATGTCCCCTTTGTCTCCCGTCCCGTGTCGCCAGCCACTTCATCTGCTGCGGCCACTGTTGACAGAACTGATCGCCATTGCCGTACGTCTAACTCCGCTTGAACTCCTTTATTGATTTATTTATTCATTTCTTTTTTTTTTGAATGGCAAAGCACACATGTGCATTACCGAGACTGGTTGTGCCGTGTGTTTGTATGTTGTGCTAAACCAAGAGAGTTTGGTTTTGTGGTTGTTTACCGTGTGGCCAGGGTGCTAGCAAAGGGAGAGAAACTTCGTACTTATGAGATTATTTTGTGTACAGCATTGGTCAGTGTTCAATGTGATGCACACTTAACGAAGTGATGATGGAGGAGGTGTCTTCCTCTGTTTAGTATATGTAAGTAATTTTGTATGGGTCGTGAACTGTATTTTCATCAAACGTCTTTCGTTGTGTCACGCTCCTTAGATGACTCCAATTGACGGCTTGATGACATGGCACGGGGTGCCAGCCGTCCATACTTTCAATTGCAGGTTCAGCGGGGCGGTTTGTATCTTGCCCCGTGTACAGCATTTTGTTCGCACACCGTTTCGCCAAGTTTCTGATCGCACCGCAACTCTGCGACAGGATATGTTGGCTTTCGGGTCTGACCTGGGGGCACCACACAAACCCCCTGCACCTGCCTGTCACTTGTGACAAGGTGCCATTTTGGCGATGAAATGTCGGTTGCCGCCAAAACGCGAACTCGGTAGTACTGTACTCAAAACCTTGAGGTCGTATCTAGCGTTTTCCAAGTCTCGCATTTGAGCGATTAACTGTCATTTACAGTGTCTTTTGGAACCGTACAACACCCATGCAACCCAGACGGTACATTCTAGACTCACTTTGAAACGCGTTCCCAGGGGTACATTGAGATTGGTCTCAAGGATCAGGTTGCATTTTTGGGATAGGGGGGTTGATCTGTGTGGGGTGTGGGTTGGAATTGCGATTCTATGACGTCGCTTTTTCTTTTCAACCCTCCGTCACCTCCTGCTACCTCCTCTCACTTTTCTTCACCTCTTGTAACTTCGCTTCACCTTTTCCAACGACCACGCAGGTGGAAGTGACAACAAACCTCAACCCTCGATTTTCTGACTGGTGATTTCCCTCGACGAATGTGACGGGCTGTCGACTCGACATCCACTTTTCTTCCCTCTCCCGAACAAAAGGAGCTCCAGCATCACTGTTTGGACAACTTCAAGGCTTCTTTTACATGAAACAGCTTTAGCGTTCTTTTCGCGCTTCGATGGAAGTTCCTTGCAGAGCTCTTCCTGGCCTGATTTTACTTGGACGTCTGCTCTTTCCCATCTGTCCCTCACTACTAACCATCCTTGATAGTTAGGTCGTGCATTTGCGGGTTTCTGATTCGTTGTTGGACTCCGCGTTTGAAGCATTTAGACGCTTGACGGGAAGTTATTCAGTCGGATCGCGAATCCAAAGCAAAGAGCATCTCGTTGTAGTATCCGAAGCTTCGCGAGGTATCATCATACTAGATAGCGTCACCTTGGTCCATTGTCCTACTATCCGAGGCTGCGTGATAGCCAGTCCGTGTCTTAGGTTTCTGTAGGCATGTCCAGATAACCCTAGTGAGCGAGTTAATCCTCCAGGGGTCTGCGGAAACGAATTTCAGCTTTAGAAATGGCGAGACCACGCGTGCGAGCTCCACTGAGACTGTTCGCCGTGATCGCCCTCACCGCTACGATCATGCTTTGCAGCCACCAGTCTGGTCATCCATGTGAGTTCTTCTCCCCGTTTGTGGCCCCTAAGAAACGCGTTCACATCACGCGTTCCGCTGAGACCGTTCGTGCTGAGACTGTTCGTAATCTCTCTCTCCCCACTTTCCAATTTCCCACCTTCCTCCTCGCCCCCCTGAAATTTACCGCTGAAATGTTCAGTCTGCACGCCTATCTTAAGGCTGAGACGAACTAGACACGTCGATTTTCCTTGAGGTGCTCCATAAGTATACGTGTGTATCTTCAGGTACGGATAATGACTTCGGAGAATCTCCACTGCTTCCTTCGTTTCTCCCCTTCTTCCCCTTCTGCCACTGCATTTCCCCCTGCCGCCCTTCCCCCTTCCCCACCTCCCCCTCCTCCCCGCCCCTCCCATCCCCAACCACCTCCCCTCCCCGCGCCCCCTTTTCTCCACTCATCAGCCGCAATCACCCCAGCGCACGCAATTCAAGTCGACATGGCGAAAACCAAGTTACCACTATCTCCGTGGGAGCAGGCTCGCGAGGCGATCAACCTCGCGAAATCCAAGCTACCCAAGTTACCACTATCGTCGCCGTACGAGCGCGAGTGGGCGAAATATCGCCAGCGCGACGGGCTGCTTTCGCTGGACTATGTGAAATCGCTGCAGGCGAGGACGAACGCAGCCAAAAAGAAGAGCGGCAGCAGCGACGTCTTCAAAGTCGTTTTCGTAAGTAACCACACTGCACCGCACTGTTCTGCGCCTTTTCTCCTCTCCTTTGTCTGTCCCCTTCCCTGATTGCCACCTCTTCCTATCCTGCCACTTCTGCGTTCTCCAGGGTTCCCCCGCGCCCTCTCCCCTGGCAGACGAGGGAAAGTCGTTTCTTAGCTGCAGCATGGGGCAGTGCTGCCTTTGAGTCAACTCACAAGCGTTCCCCCACGCCCTCTTCTCTGGCAGAAGAGGGAAAGTCATTTCTTAGCTGCAGCATGGGGCAGTGCGTAACGCTTCTTCGTCTGCTGTTGAGCACGCATTCGCTTCTGAGGAAACCCAAGAGCACGCATTCATCTCGTCTCCTCCTCCTTGACTCCCGTCCTTTGCCTTCTCCTCCCCGCCACGCCACCCACTCTCTCTACGTCCTCCGCTCTCCCCTCCCCTCCCTCCTTTCCCCCGCCCTCCTCTCCCTCTTTCCCCCCTCCAGTGTTCCCCCACGCCCATGCCCCCCGCCCAGGAGAGAAACCTCATCATCAACCCCATGGACCAGGGCACCACCGCCTGGCAGGGCTTCTGTTATTTCCTCTCCTTAATCCCCTTCCTCCCCTCACCCTCACCCTTCCTTCTCTCCTCCCCTCCTCCCCTCCTCCCAGTGTTCCAACACGCCCACGCCCCCTGCCCAAGAGGGTAATCTCTTCACCAACCCCAGCATAGAGAACGGCACCACTGGCTGGCAGGGCTTTGGCTGACTCCTCCCCTTCCTTGTTTCACTCCCTTCCCTTTTCCCGGCCCCCAGTGTTCCAACACGCCCACGCCCCCCGCCCAGGAAGGCAATCTCTTCACCAACCCCAGCATAGGGAACGGCACCACTGGCTGGCAGGGCTTTGGGTACGCGCCGATCAAAGCCGTGGTCAACGCTACAGCGCCCACGCCGTACTCGTACCTGGTGGCGTACAACCGCTCGTACACGTATGCGGGGCCCAAGCAGAGCTTGCGGGACGTGCCTGCGGCGGCTTATGAGCTGGCGATCTGGGTGAAGCTGGATGCGGGTGACCGGCAGTATGTGACTGCGTCTGCTAAGATCAATAACAAGTGAGTGTCATACAGGCACTTGTGAGCTTGTGTGCTGGCCTCTGAGCCTCTGAGCCTCTGAGCCTATTAGCTATGAGCTGGGTGGGTCGGGCTTATGAGCTGGCGGTGTGGGTGAGGCTGGACGCGGGTTAGTTGGTTGGCTGTGTGGGTGGGTGGGTTTAGCACTATGTAACACGACATGTCATGTCCTGTTGCGTTTGTTTGTCTGTGATTGTCTGTTTCGGGCAGGTATCTGTGCATTGGAGGGGCGAACGCTCGGTCCACGTGCTGGACGAAAATAACAGGGGGATTTACCCTGCACGAGCCGGCTGCTGAGGTGGCAGTGTACGTGCAGGGCGCAGCAGTGGGGACGGAGATTTGGGTGACGTCAGCATCGCTTCTGAAAGTAGATATGAGCATGTGGCGGAGCCGACAAAATGAGAATATCAAGAAGGTGAGGAGAGGGGATTGTGAGAAGGTGAGGAACGGAAATGTGGTTTTGAGTTTATTACTCAAATGTTACCTGAAAGTGGATATGAGCATGTGGCGGCGCCGACAACACAGTACAGTTACAGTACCACATGCGGCCAGTGCGGCTGTCCATCCAGGGCCTGGGGCTCAGCCTGGTGTGGCATGTGCGTTTCACTCAACAACTGCACCGCATATAGCACACATCCTCATGTACTCTGCCGTTATGCCCCATGCCCCATGCCCCATGCCCCGTGCCCCCTCCCTCCACCACAGTTCCGCATGCGGCCTGTGCGGCTCTCCATTCAAGGACTGGGCCTCAGCCTGGTGCCAGCGCGCGTGCAGATTGACCAAGTCGCATCGGACTTCCCCTTCGGTGCCAATGTGAACGGCGCTATTCTCTACGACACAGCGTATCAAGAGGTGAGGCGAAGTGGTGGTGTCAAAACTGTAACCAGCTTTCGTCAAAGTACACTAGACAGGGCCAACCAACTAACCAACCAACCACCAACCAACCAACCAGACTTCATTGATCTTTGCAGCAGTAAAAGGGCAAATGGTAGTTCAACAGGAAGAGGGAGAGGGGTGGTGAACTTTTACAGTGTAACCGGGCAGTATTTAACAACGGGGTCAAGTGGTATTTCCATGAGAGGCGGGAGGGAGTGGAGGACTACAGTGTGACTGTTGCCCTGGTGGAGTGGTTCACCCCCTTCAACCCCTTTTCCACCCCCTTTCTACCCTCTTCCACCCTCTTCCACTTCCTTCCACCCCCTCCCATCCCTGCAATGGTTTCTGAACAGGTTCAACTGGGTGGGCGGTGTTCAACTATGAAGGCAAGTGGTACTTCAACGAGCGGAGGGAGGGCGTAGAGGACTACAATGTGACGGATGCCCTGGTGGAGTGGTTCATTTCTTTAAACCCCCTTTCCACCCCTTCCTACCGCTTTCCATCTCCTTCGACTTATCTCCACCCCCTCCCATCCTTCCAGTGGTTCCTAAACAGATTCAACTGGGCAGTATTCAACAACGAGGGCAAGTGGTATTTCAACGAGAGGCGGGAGGGCGCAGAGGACTACAATGTGACGGACGCGCTGGTTGATTGGTTCACTCAGAGGAACGTGAGCGTGCGCGGTCACAACATCTTCTGGGCTGTTGAGAAGTTCGTGCAGACGTGGGTCAAAGTGAGTTGATCTGGGTCAACGTTGGTCAAAGGGGGTCAACGCTGGTCAAGGTGAGTCAACGCTGGTCAAGGTAACCGATGTTGTAATGCCGGTCAATGCAATGCAGGTCTAAGAGTAAGTGCGTTATCTACCTTATTGTTGGTACTAAAAGTAAGTGCGTTACTTACCATTATTGTTGGTACTAAGAGTAAGTGGGTTACTTACCCTTACGGTTTGTACTAATAGTTACTGCATTACTTACCCTTATTGTTGGTACTAGGTGTAAGTGTGTAATTTACTCTTATTGTTGGTACTCAGAATAAGTGCGTTACTTACCCTTATCGGTGATACTAAGAGTAAGTGCGTTACTTACCCTTATGGTTGGTACTAAGAGTAAGTGCGTTACTTACCCTTATGGCTGGTATTAAGAGTTTGTGCGTTACTTACGCTTAAGGTAAATACTCGTAAGTACGTTAATTACCCTTACGGTTGGTACTACGAGTTAGTGCGTTACTTACCCTTATGGTCGCTACTAAGAGAAAGTGTGTTACTTACCCTTATTGTCAGTACTAAGAGTAAGTGCGTTACTTACCTTTATTGTTGGTACTAATATGTTTTTTTTTTTTTTTTTTTTTTTACTCTACCCTGTTTTCCGAATATAAATAACACTGCTCTATTGGCAGCCATGCAGAAGCGCATGGCAAGTGCAGTGATGCAGTACCAGGGCAAGGTGCAGCATTGGGATGTGATCAACGAGCCTCAATGCCTCATTGCTCTCGTACCCATTTGCCCCTTCACCCATTCCCTTTCCCCAGAATTTGAACGACAATGCCCTATGGCCGGCAATGCAGAGACGCATGGCCAGTGCAGTGACCCGATACCAGGGCAAGGTGCAGCACTGGGATGTCATCAACGAGCCTCATTGCCCCTTCTCCCTTTTGCCCTGTCCCCCCTTCCGTTTCCCCAGAACCTCAACAACACTGTCTTGTGGGCGGCCATGCAGAGGCGCATGGCCAGTGCGGTCACCCGCTACCAGGGCAAGGTGCAGCACTGGGATGTCATCAACAAGTCTCTGCATGGCAACTACTACGGGCAGCGCCTGGGGGAAGACATACACTCGTCACTCGTGGACTCTTTATCCCCTCTTCCCCTCTCCTCCTCCCTTTTCCCCTTCTCCTTTTACCCCTCCCTTTCCTCCCCCCCCTTCCCCATCCTGTTTCCTTTTTTAACAGAATTTGAACGACACTGCCTTGTGGGCGGCAATGCAAAGACGTATGGCCAGTGCGGTCACCCGCTACCAGGGCAAGGTGCAGCACTGGGATGTCATCAACGAGCCTCTGCATGGCAACTACTACGGGCAGCGCCTGGGCGAGGACATACACTCGTGGATGTTCAAGGCTGCCCAGGCGATCGACCCCAACGTGCGGCTGTTTCTGAATGACTACAACACGGTGGAGCAGTGCGACCGAGGGGCCAACCCAGAGGTGTACCTCGAGGTGAGAGGCGGTTTAGTGCGGTGAGAGGCGGTTGTTCCCAACGTGCGGCTGTTTCTGAATGACTACAACACGGTGGAGCAGTGCGACCGAGGGGCCAACCCAGAGGTGTACCTCGAGGTGAGAGGCGGTTTAGTGTGGTGAGAGGCGGTTGTTCCCAACGTGCAGCTGTTTCTGAATGACTATAACACGGTGGAGCAGTGCGACCGAGGGGCCAACCCGGAGGTGTACCTTGAGGTGGGTGGGAGGATATAGGCAAGTGGAGGAGGAAGAGAATCAACTTAAGATGCGGTTGTTTTTGTACCTCGAGGTGAGTGAGAGGCGATTTGGTTTGTTGCAGTGAGTGGGAAGGCGTGTGCTGTGAGTGGGAAGGCGTGTGCTGTGAGTGGGAGAGGGTGTGTGCTGTGAGTGGGAAGGTGTGTGCTGTGAGTGGGAGAGGGTATGTGCTGTGAGTGGGAAGGCGTGTGGTGTGAGTGGGAGAGGGTGTGTGCTGTGAGTGGGAAGGCGTGTGGTGTGAGTGGGAGAGGGTGTGTGCTGTGAGTGGGAAGGTGTGTGCTGTGAGTGGGAGAGGGTGTGTGCTGTGAGTGGGAAGGCGTGTGCTGTGAGTGGGAGAGGGCGTGCATTTTTGGATGTTCAACCAACTCTCCCCTTTTTCCCTCTCTGTCTTCTACCTCTCTCCCTTGGCGTTCGAGGGCAGAAGGTGTTGAATCTACTTTTGAGACGTCTCAAAAGTCGAGGGCAGAAGGTGTGGAATCTCAATGCAACTTTTGAGTCGACTAAAATATCACCTCTCTGTCCTCTACCTCTCCCCCTTGGCACCCAAGAGCAGAAGGTGTGGAATCTCAATGCAACTGGGGCACCAGTCACAGGCATAGGCGTGGAGGCTCACTACAGTGGAGAGCCGCAGCTGGTGAGTTGAGGGGGGTGGCGTGGCGGTTTGAGAGATTGGTGTGAGAGAGTGGAAAGAAAGGGAGAGTGAAGCACAATGGAGTGATGGGCATAGGCGTGGAGGCACACTACAGTGGGGAGCCGCAGCTGGTGAGTGGAGGGGGTGGGTGGAATTGAGAGAGTGGAGCGAGAGAGTGGAGTGAGAGAGTGGAGCGAGAGAGTGGAGTGAGAGAGTGGAGTGAGAGAGTGGAGTGAGAGAGTGGAGCGAGAGAGTGGAGTGAGAGAGTGGAGTGAGAGAGTGGAGCGAAAGAGTGAGAGGAGAGAAGGAAAGGGGTTGTGTATCTTGTCAACAGAGAAAGCATGACCTGAACCGCTTCCTTTCGTTTCCTCATCATCCCTCTCTCTTCAGGTCCGTTTGAAGCACGACCTCAACCGGTTAGCAATGGCCAAGCTCCCCATCTGGCTGACCGAGCTCGATTTCAGCGAGGTGGAATCTGATGAACAGAGGGCGGATTATCTGGAAGCGGTGATGCGAGAGGCCTTCGCACATCCCTCGGTGGCCGGGATGGTGCTGTGGTCGGCAGGTTGTGTGACTCCGCTCTCCTAGTACCCATGGGCCTTGCCCTCATCTCTCCACCTCCTCCCTTCTCCTCATCTTCTCTCCCGTCAGGTTCGCTTGAAGCACGATCTGAATCGCCTGGCAATGGCCAAACTCCCCATCTGGCTGACAGAGCTGGACTTCAGTGAGGTGGAATCTGACGAACAACGAGCGGATTATCTGGAAGCGGTGATGCGAGAGGCCTTCGCGCATCCCTCGGTGGCGGGCATGGTGCTGTGGTCGGCTGGGCGGTCCACGTGCGAGTTTTATAAGGACATTGACTCGGGCATGTGCAACGCCTGTGATGCGTGTCTGGCCGATTCGAGCTTCACGGATAACGAGGCGGGGAAAAGGTGAGCTTTGGGAGAGGGTTCGTAGAAGATAGAGAGCAGGGCAGCCCAGCCTCAACATGGTGCTGTGGTCGGCTGGGAGGGCCACGTGCGAGTTCTATAAGGATATTGATTCGGGCATGTGCAACGCCTGTGAGGCTTGCCTCGCAGATTCGACTTTCACAGATAACGAGGCGGAGAAAAGGTGAGAGCTGGGAGTGGAAGAGCAGGGCAACTCAGGCATGGCATGGTGCTGTGGTTGGCTGGGAGGGGCACGTGCGAGTTCTATAAGGATATTGATTCGGGCATGTGCAACGCCTGTGAGGCTTGCCTCGCAGATTCGACTTTCACAGATAACGAGGCTGAGAAAAGGTGAGAGCTGGGAGTGGAAGAGCAGGGCAACTCAGGCATGGCATGGTGCTGTGGTTGGCTGGGAGGGGCACGTGCGAGTTCTATAAGGATATTGATTCGGGCATGTGCAACGCCTGTGAGGCTTGCCTCGCAGATTCGACTTTCACAGATAACGAGGCGGAGAAAAGGTGAGAGCTGGGAGTGGAAGAGCAGGGCAACTCAGGCATGGCATGGTGCTGTGGTTGGCTGGGAGGGGCACGTGCGAGTTCTATAAGGATATTGATTCGGGCATGTGCAACGCCTGTGAGGCTTGCCTCGCGGATTCGACTTTCACAGATAACGAGGCGGAGAAAAGGTGAGAGCTGGGAGTGGGAGAGCAGGGCAACTCAGGCATGGCATGGTGCTGTGGTCGGCTGGGAGATCCACATGCAGGGAGTTTTTTAGAATTCTCGAAAACTCCCTGCAACGTTCTACAAGGACTTTGACTCGGGCATGTGCAACGCGTGTGAGGCTTGCCTGGCGGATTCGAGCTTCACGGATAACGAGGCGGGGAAAAGGTGAGAAGTGGGAGAGGGCACGTAGACGATAGAGAGCAGGGCAGCCCAGCCACGGCATGTGAGTTCTACAAGGACATTGATTCGGGCATTGAGGCTTGCCTGCGGATTCGAGCTTCACGGATAACGAGGCGGGGAAAAGGTAAGTGATGAAAGTGGGTGAAGAGGTGAAGAATTGGTCCTGAGTGAGGGGCACAGGCACGGCACGGCACGGCACGGCATTGTGCTGTGGTCGGGTGGGTGGGTGGGAGATCGACCTGCAAGTTCTACAAGGATATTGACAAGCGTAAGTGCTGTACCCGTTTCCACCACATCCCCCTCTCCTTTTAAGGACATCTCATTTTCCAACAAATTGACTTGCAAGTTTTTTCTCAGAAAAAAAAACCAGTGGTTCCCGTTCCAAACACCTTTGCTTCTTTCAACACCTCACCGCTTGTCTTCCACCCATCATTCCCCTCCAGGTTCGTTCGCCTGCGCAAAGAATGGAGCACCCACCTAAGCAGAGTGATCTGGCTCGGCCGAACCATGAAACTCAGCCCATTTCCCAAACCAAGGTACACACGAGCGAGCACTGCTCTCTGTACCATGCTGTTCCCCAATGTCTAACTTGTTCCTTCCATCTCCCCCTCCCACCCACCTCTCCTCTCCTCTTCTCTCGTCTCCTCTCCTCTCCTCTTCTCTCGTCTCCTCTCCTCTCCTATCCTCTCCTCTCCTCTCCTCTACTCTCCTCACATCTCTTCTCCTCTCCTGTCCTCTCTTCTCCTTTCCTCTCCACCACTCCTCTTCTCTCCTTTCCTTCCTCCGCTTCCCCTTTCTGCACTTCCACCTCCCTCCCCCTCTTCCCTCTCCTCTACTCTCCACTCTACCCTCCTCCGGTCACCCCTACAGGTACCAGGCGCTAAGAGCAGAGTGGAGCACCCACTTGTCAAGGCGATCCCGGCTGAACTCGCCCCTCTCCTTCACAGCGTTCCACGGCAGGTGGGTGGCTCAGCATTGCACGGCAGGTAGGGTTAGGTAGTCTGATTCAGCATTCATGGCAGCGAGTGTGGTTGCTCATGCCAGGCAGGCAGGTAGCGTGCCCTCCAGGTACCAGGCCTTAAAGGCTGAATGGAGTGGAGCACCCACTTGTGAAGGCGATTCTGGCTGAACGCGCCCACTCCTTCCCAGCATTCCACGGCAGGTAGGTAGGGTTTAACAAGAGTGCTGTTCAATGTTCCACAGCAGATAGTGTTGTTGCTCAAACCAGCCAGGCAGGTGGCACACCCACCAGGAGCCTTGGTCTTGTTCAGAGGCCAGCAGGTGGAGCGCTACTTTGATGTGCCCAAGGGCACTGGCAGGCTGAACGTTGCCATCTAGTTGTGACATGGGGCCTTGGAACCCTTCCAATGTACACTGTACCCTCCCATGCATCCTCCTTTTTGCGTCCCTGTCAACCTTCCCTTCAGGTACCGGGTGAGAGTGTCCTTCCGGGGTCAGCAGGTGCAGCGGTTTTTCGACGTGTGCTAAGGCAGTGGCTGACTGAACTTTGCTGTCCAGTTTACCCTTCCCTTCACATCTCTCCCTTCACATCTCTCCCTTCACATCTCTCCCTTCAGGTACCGGGTGAGAGTGTCCTTCAGGGGCCAGCAGGTGGAGCGGTTCTTTGATGTGCCGAAGGGCGCTGGCAGGCTGAACGTTGCCATCTAGTTGTGACATGGAGCCTTGGAACCTGAACCTCTCCAGTACGCCCCCTCCTTTCCACGTCCCTGACACCTCTCCCTTCAGGTACTGAGTGAGAGTGTCCTTCTGGGGTCAGCAGGTGGAGCGTTTTTTTGACGTGTGCAAGGGCAGTGGCCGGCTGAACGTTGCTGTCCAGTTTACCCTTCCCTTCATGCCCTTCCCTTCACACCCCACTCTTCCAGGTACCGGGTCCGAGTGTCCTTCAGGGGCCAGCAGGTGGAGCGGTTCTTTGATGTGCGCAAGGGCGCTGGCAGGCTGAACGTTGCCACTCGGTTGTTCAGCCCTGAAACCTCTCCCATACACTCTCCTTCCCTTACCTCAACCCTTTTCTCTGTATGCCCTTCCCTTCAGGTACTGGGTGAGAGTGTCTTTCAGAGGCCAGCAGGTGGGGCGGTTCTTTGATGTGTGCCCAAGGGTGCTGGCAGGCTGAACATTGCCGTCCAGTTTACCCCTCCCTTCACATCAGTTTACCCTTTACCCTTGTGTTTGTTTCGCATCGTTCACTCCATTCCTTTCAGGTACCGGTTGAGGGTCTCCTGCAGAGGGCAGCAGGTGGAGCAGTGGCAGGCGGAACGTTGCAATTCGGTTGTGGAGCCTTGGAACCTCTCCAATACACCCTTCTCTTCACGCCCCTTACATTAAACTCTTCTCTGTACACCCTTCCCTTCAGGTACCGGGTGAGAGTGTCCTTCAGAGGCCAGCAGGTGGAGCGGTTTTTCGATGTGCCCAAGGGAACTGGCCGGCTGAACATTGCCGTCCAGTTGTGACAGGGAATCCGCGTGTGGTGAGACTGTCTTTTGCAGCGCCGGAAAACATACTTTCACTTTTGTTGACTTCTGAGTCGACTCAAAAGAATCCGCGTGTGGTGAGACTGCCTTTCCAGCGCCGTAAAACATACTTTCACTTTTGTGACATCTCAAAGTGTCTGCAAATTTGTCTCGTCATACGCGGATAGAGGCGTCGGTTGCGGGGTGCGATTTTGCCATCCACTTGTGACACCGGCCTATTCTCAAAACACAAAAGGATGGAGGGAGGAGGGGGGCTGCCTGCAGCTACACACCTTGCAAGCAAGCCAGTGTGGTATTGTACCGAGCAGCCATTCTTTTTTTATTCTTCAGTCAACGGGCCTGTTGACTGGTCCTACTTACCATTCGGCGATGCTGCTGGAGCGAGTTAAGCATGCAGCAGCAGGGGGTTCCCGCGCTGTTCAAACAACAGCCTGCAGCAGCTGGGGCTAGAGTCTAGATCAAGCCGTATTGGAGGGTTGGAGCCACCAGCCAGGTTAACGTTCTTCAGCAGCAGGTGCAACATTCTTCAGCAGCAGGTGCAACATTCTTCAGCAGCAGGTGCAACATTCTTCAGCAGCAGGTGCAACATTCTTCAGCAGCAGGTGCAACATTCTTCAGCAGCAGGTGCAACACTCTTCAGCAGCAGGTGCAACATTCTTCAGCAGCAGGTGCAACATTCTTCAGCAGCAGGTGCAACATTCTTCAGCAGCAGGTGCAACATTCTTCAGCAGCAGGTGCAACATTCTTCAGCAGCAGGTGCAACATTCTTCAGCAGCAGGTGCAACACTCTTCAGCAGCAGGTGCAACGTTCTTCAGCAGCAGGTGCAACACTCTTCAGCAACAGGTGCAACACTCTTCAGCAGCAGGTGCAACATGCACTCTACCTACTGCAGGATTGTGCCTCCAACAGCAGGCAACCGCAGCCATGGGAACGAGCAGCAAATGCACCATGATTAAAAGAATTAGGAGCTGTTACCCATAGATATGCATGCACCACACCAGGTACCATTTCCTGGTGTCAGGCAAGCAGCAGCAGGTTAGCGCCGGCTCATCAGCCCGGGGTAGTGAATGCTCACACGCTTCTGGTCAGCATCAGCAGCACCTTCATTCAATAATTTTAATTCTCTAATATGGCGGGCAGTGTCGTGTTGGCTGTATCCTAGAACCACCATGAGTGACTTTTCCCCTCTTGCTTCATTCAGCAAAGATTACCGTAACCAGGCAGAAATGTAATCTGCAGCACCTCCTGTCAAGCTTTCAAGCCTGTATTTCATTTGAGTCTTCCGGCCTAAAGCCTGGTATGTAAGTAAAATACGAGTCCAAACACATGGTCTGACGTTCTTTAACACAGAGTGGTAAAGTTGAAAAACACATGTCCTGTACACAAATAGAGAGCGTAGGCTCTACATCTAAAGAAGAGGTGCGTGTAAACTGGGCACGTCTAAGGTCATGGTAGAAAAAGGGAATGGAATTCGCCATGGACTAGCGTGCAGAGCTGGTTGTAGTTGCTTTGGTCTGGAGGAAAGGATGTGGAATGTGAAAATGAGAGGAAAAAGGGGACGAAGAGTGGGGTAGGGGGTAGGGGGCAAACAGGGAGGACAAGGGAAGGGGGAAGTCATGGTAAGATGAAAGTCTTGAAGCTAATAACGAAAATTAGGGGGAACATGCAACATGAATTTATACTGATGAAAGAGGGGAAGTTGACTGGTCGCATCGGCACACATGTTCGCCAACAGGTCTATCCTCACATCCCTAACGCCTTTTTACGCCTGCCCTGAGACGTCATTGAGAGGCGTGAAAAGGTGAGCCAAACTGATCTCTAAGATCGGCTCCTGTTAAATCGGGCGTCGACACAGAAATCACCTCCAACATCGGTTCTTGAAGGAAACGAGAGGCGACATCCATGGCCAGACTGCAAATCTTCGTCACATCATACGAAACAGTGATCGAGATTACCGAAGTTATTTCCGAAAGCTGTCGATGACTCTTCGCGAATGGTCGTGTCGTTCTCGGGAACACCGATCACCTCGACGAATTGCGAGTTATCCCACGGCGAACGAGTCAGCGCGCGGACTGTGACTGTAGCATTGTCGCACGTCTGAGCTGTGATCATACCGGGGTCCACTCGCACCACTTTCAAGACCGTCCGGACCTTACGACCCACGAACCGTCGCATCTGCTCTCCATTAACCATCGGAGACGGGTCTGACAAATCCATGATTGTCGCTAGTCGAATTTAAGCGCGTCGCCTTCTACAATTATAAAATTTGGGACGGTAACCCTACGTAAACTCGAATCTTTGACTGAGGTCCTGGTCCCACACAGTCGGGATGAAAGATGGAGTGTCTGTGAAGAGTAGCTTCTAAGCTGCTATGAAAAGCTGACGACTGGATCAATCGGTCTCAATTCGACGAGGTGGAAGATCCTGAAGAAAGCAGATGGTGAATATTTGAATATTTAAAATATTTGAAATCCTAGTCCAGGGGGTGGGGAGAATGGTATTTTGTCGTTTCAAACTCGACCCGGCAGGTCGAGTTCGAACACATGTAATGCATTTTTGAAGATTATTGAACCAGCGAGATCAGTTACCACGGTTAACGATGGTTCATCTGTACATTTGGGGCTGTGCAACATGGTCGGCCATTGCCAGAAGCACCGCAGTTACGGTTCCAGCGATATTTGCGAATAGAAATTTGTTTTCAGCGACTGTGGTTACCGACCTGGTTTCAGAACATCAGCCAAAATCCTGACGTCCGTCTCTCATGAGGGTCGAGATGTTTCACAAGATGTTCGGTTTGGGCGACGAGTGGTTTGGAAATTGGGGTGGTGTCGGGTTTCGCAACCTTGCTTGGGGTGGCTTCAAACGAGTTGGCTTCAGCTTGAAGCTAGTTTCCCTCCCAAGCTGTATACATTCGCCTTGTCTCGTGTGACGTGTCATGTATTCCCCAAGCAAGAGGGGCGCGTTTGTGCAGCTCTGCCTTGCTGTAGGCAGGCACCCGTTTCGACTTGTTTCAGTCACCACGATGCCTGTGAGAGCGACGTCAAAACTTGACTGGGCGATAGTCGCGTTCTGTTAGGGAAAGTACTCCAGAAAGTCCTCTGATTCGTTGACGACGCGTAACGAGCCACGCACGAACCAGGTGTCTTCCTCGGCTGTCTCCCTTGTATTTCAAAATTGTATTTCTGCCAAGCCTAGCCTCCAGGCCAGGGCCCTTACCTCCCTTCGGCAATGTCGGTGTTGTTTGAACAACAGCATTCAGGTCGAAGCGCAAGTCCAAGTGGAATGCATTTCAGGTTGAAAAACGCTTGAGTGTCCAAGCACCTCCATCCAACCCTTGAATTAAAAACCTCAACATGCTAAAACAAAGTTTTGTTTATAAAAATGGATTGCAGATCTGGCTGAAGCTCTAAGCATTCCTCCAGCACGCTGGGAAAAGTGACACTTTCAACTGGTATCTTATTTTCAGAATCAGGAAAACCTCGAGGATGCCACCCATCATTTTCTCCCGGAAACTTCGGGTTACCCAAGCTGTCGTGGGATTTGCCTTTCCCGCCCTTCGGGAACCTCGCCGTCATGTGGAGGGGTACATGAGATTGTGCTTGGCACGCACTGATTGGGTGGAACTGGCTCGATTTTGCATTTTCATCCTCCTCACTCCCGCAGTCCACTCCTTCTATCTCTCGCGCTGCATTTGCTTCCGATGTGATACCTAGCATCTGTGTTTGGACATTGCCGAGGCACTACATTTCCGCTCGATCGCCTCTTGCGATAGTGCTCTTGAAGTTCCAAAGCCCAGTTAGAAATCGCAGAATCCACGAAAGCGCTAGTAAGGAATAGTAGCGCTGACCTGTCAGTATGCGCTTGTCGAGGCAAACTCGTAGCTTTCTCTTCGCACTGTGAATCGTCAGCCTGAACATCATTATTCGATACTCTCAATCATGTCGCCTCTTGCTCTGGGAGCAGTGAAAATGCTACCTATCGCGCTCCTCACCGTCACCATTCTATTGCATCAGATAAATTCCGGTGAGTTTTCTGCACGTGCAGCCCAGCACCCACGCGCCTCTAATCAAGCAATAAGCTCAAAACGATCGATCAAACGACGAGACGATGGCAAGCGATAATAGGCAAGAGCTGCAGCCCAGCTACGTCCGATAGTCGTCTCTGATACTCTCAGTCCTAGGTTTAGATCGGACTCTTCAACTTTGGCATCGCGAGTGATTCCTTCCCCATGCAATGTGCAACCTCGTGAACGTTAGACCCAACCACTATCTTCCTGCGCACTACCGTCGCTTGCTTCCCCAGGGCCGGTGTTCCGCGCAGCTGCGGAGTCTGCGGCGCCGTCGCCGTACGAGCGCGAGTTTGCGCAGTATCGCGGACCGGATGGGTTGCTGTCGCTCGACTATCTCAAAGCGCCGCACACGTCGCACAGCGATGGCCGAGGCCGGAAAACTCTCGATCAGATATTTAAAGTCGTGTTTGTGAGTGCGATCCCCGCTTCCGCTGCGACCCCTCTTGCTAATATTCATTTCCGATCTCCTTCCCGCATCTTCCGCTCCCGTCCGCCACTTCTGCGTTTCCGCGCTTCCGAAATCACTCTTTTACCACATAACCCCCTCCAGCTTTTTCCCCCGTTTTCTGTGCACATTCTCTCCCTCAACGCCCTCTTTCGATTGCTTCCCGCACTTTCCCCGTTCCAATCTCCTTTCCTTCCCCGTTTCCTCACCCCCTCCTCCCATCTTCCAATTCCCCCACCCCGCTTTTCCTCTCCCCCGCTTCCCCCTTCCTGACCCCCCCTCCCCCTTGCGCCAGTGCTCCCCGACTCCCGGCCCCGCGGCCCCGCCGACCAGCAACCTCCTAAAGAACCCGCGATTTCAGGAAGGTCTGTCGTCGTGGCAGGCCTTCGGCGAGTCGGCCCTACGCCGCGTGCAGGCCGCGAACTACTCGTACGGCGTGTCGTACGCGCGGCGAGCGGAGTCCGCGGGGCCGGCGCAGATTATACGTAACTTGCCGGCCGCGGTATACGAGCTAGCGATCTGGGTGAAGCTGGGTGCCGCCAGCGGGCCGGCCGCTAAGACGGCCGGCTTGCCTGCCGCCGGCCGGCAGTACGTGAACGCGATGGCGAAGATCGACGGCCAGTACGTGTGCATCGGCGGCGCGAACGCGCGGCCGTCGTGCTGGACGAAGGTGATTGGCGGATTCACGCTGCATCGGACGGCTAGCGAGGTCGCAGTGTATATCCAAGGCGCGACGGTCGGGACGGAGATCTGGGTTACGTCAGCATCGCTGCTGAAGGTTGATACGGCAATGTGGCGACAGCGACAGAATGAGAATATTAAGAAGGTAAGTCAGTAAAAGAGACGTCGGAGGTCCCAGAGTTTACATTTAAGACTGCCTCTGAGCTTCCCCCCGCCCCATTCTCCCCCTTCCTCCCCCCTCGTCCCCTTACTCACATGCAGCACCGTCAACGAGACGTCACTCTCCGAGTGCACGGAGCAGGGGCGGTGTCAGCCCGCGTGCAGATCGACCAAGTGACTTGGGAGTTCCCATTCTGAGAGTCCTGTCCTCCATTCTCCCCCTCCCTCCCTCCCCCCTCGTTCACTTTCCCACAGCACCGCCAACGAGACGTGACATTACGAGTGCACGGAGCAGGGGCGGTGTCAGCCCGCGTGCAGATCGACCAAGTGACTTGGGAGTTCCCATTCTGAGAGTCCTGTCCTCCATTCTCCCCCTCCCTCCCTCCCCCCTCGTTCACTTTCCCACAGCACCGCCAACGAGACGTGACATTACGAGTGCACGGAGCAGGGGCGGTGTCAGCCCGCGTGCAGATCGACCAAGTGACTTGGGAGTTCCCATTCTGAGAGTCCTGTCCTCCATTCTCCCCCTCCCTCCCTCCCCCCTCGTTCACTTTCCCACAGCACCGCCAACGAGACGTGACATTACGAGTGCACGGAGCAGGGGCGGTGTCAGCCCGCGTGCAGATCGACCAAGTGACTTGGGAGTTCCCATTCTGAGAGTCCTGTCCTCCATTCTCCCCCTCCCTCCCTCCCCCCTCGTTCACTTTCCCACAGCACCGCCAACGAGACGTGACATTACGAGTGCACGGAGCAGGGGCGGTGTCAGCACGCGTGCAGATCGACCAAGTGACTTGGGAGTTCCCATTCTGAGAGTCCTGTCCTCCATTCTCCCCCTCCTCTCTCCCCTATTCCCCCTCCCTCCTTCCCCCCTTGGTCCCCTTCCCCCAGCACCGCCAGCGTGACGTCACTCTGCGGGTGCACGGGGCAGGGGCGGTGTCAGCGCGCGTGCAGATCGACCAAGTGACTTCAGAGTTCCCATTTTGAATCCCGTGCCCTCCATTCCCCCCCTCCCCCGCGTCCCCTTCCCCAGTACCGCCAACGGGACGTGACGCTACGAGTGCACGGAGCGGGGGCAGTGTCAGCGCGCGTGCAGATCGACCAGGTGACTTCAGAGTTCCCGTTCGGAGCCAACGTGAACGGCGCTATTCTCTACGACAAAAACTACCAGCGGGTGGGTGTGGGTGGGTGCGGGTGTGGTATGGGGTGAGCACTTTGAAGAGGATGTGTGTCGGCCCGGGATTTTCCGTTTGGAGCCAACGTGAATGGTGCTATCCTCTACGACAAAAACTACCAGCGGGTGGGTGTGGGTGTGGTTGCGTGTGGGTGGGTGCGGGTGCGTGAGTGTGCGGGTGGGTGCGGGTGGGTGAGTGCGCGGTTAGCACTGGGAAGAGGATGCATGTCAGCCCACGTGCAGATCGACCAGGTGACGTCGGAATTCCCGTTTGGAGCCAATGTCGACGGTGCTATCCTCTACGACCATATAGGACTACAGTGTGACCCCACCCATCTCCCCCTTTCTCCCCCCTTCCCCCCCAACACCTGCTCTCTCTCCCTCCCTGTTACGTCTTCTCTCTCCCTCTACAGCGGTTCCTCAGTCGGTTCAACTGGGCAGTGTTCAACAACAAAGCCAATCATTTTTTCAACGAACAGCAGGCGTCCTTACGACCCTTTTCCTACCCCTTTCCTAAACAGATTCAACTGGGCAGCGTTCCACAACGAAGTCAAGCGGCTTTTTCAACGAACAGAGCCAGGGCGCACTAGACTACACTGTAACCCTTTCCCACCCTGCTCTTTCTCTCTGTCTCCCTGACACCTCTCCTCTCTCCCCTTCCAGTGGTTTCTGAGTAGGTTCAACTGGGCGGTGTTCAACAACGAAGCCAAGTGGTATTTCAACGAGCAGAGTCCGGGTGTAATGGACTACAATGTGACGGACGCGCTGGTGCAATGGTTCACTCCTTTCGACCCTCTTTCTGTCCCCTTCCACCCGTCTCCACCCCTTTTCACCCACTCCTATCCCTGTTGCCTCTTCTCTCCCCCTCCACCACACCACAGTGGTTCCTAAACAGGTTCAACTGGGCAGTGTTCAACAACGAAGCCAAGTGGTACTTCAACGAGCAGCAGCAGGGCGTAATGGACTACAATGTGACGGACGCGCTGGTGGAGTGGTTCACCAAAAGGAACATTAAAGTGCGCGGGCACAACGTGTTCTGGGCCGTTGAGAAATTCGTTCAGACGTGGGTCAAGGTGAGTCAACGCTGGTCAAGGTGAGTCAACGCTGGTCAAGGTGAGTCAACGCTGGTCAAGGTGAGTCAACGCTGGTCAAGGTGAGTCAATGCGAGTCAGCGTGGTTCAATGCGGGTGAAGGTGGGTCAACTTGGGTTGCATTGCATGTGATCGAAAACTCCCATTGCTCTCCCCCCCAGTTGCAGGCGCGTTTTGGAAGTTCTCAACACACGCCCATGTGGGAATGTAAGGTCGTATCCCTGGCTAGTGTCAATCTACCGTTGGTGTCAGACGCCAAACGCGCTTGACACTAGGTGGAGCCGCGCTCGCACACGGCTCCAGCCTGGTGTCAATGTTGGGCACATTGGGCGATTTCCCGCGATCAGATTGGTCGGTTTAGCTGACACCAGGAGGACTAGTCCTCCCTGTGTTTTCCGAGTTGGTGTCATGACACTAACCACTCTTGACACTTGCCAGGGATACGACTTAATTCCTCAACAAGTGCCAGGGATTCCCAGTGCACTTTCCTTTCCCCCCACTTTCGTCCCCTCCCCTCCTCCAACAACCAACCATCTGCTTCACCTTCCCCCATTCCTCCAGGACCTCCCTATGGGCGGGCGGCCATGCAGAGACGAATGAACAGTGCAGCCAGCCGCTACTGAGGCAAGGTGCAGCACTGGGATGTCATCAACGAGCCTCATTGCTCTCCATCCCACCCACCCCCCCCACTCCTCCCCTCCTCCAACGGACCCTCTGCCTGTCTCCCTGGTCTCTCCTGGACTGGCAGGGTCTGAACAACACTGCCTTATTTGCAGTTGCAGCTATGCAGAGGCGAATGAACAGTGCAGTGACGCGCTATCAGGGCAAGGTGCAGCACTGGGATGTCATCAACGAGCCTCAATGCCTCATTACCCTCCCACCCACTACCCCCCTCCTCCAACCGACCCTCTTCCCCTCCTGTTGCCATTGCAGGGACTTAACAACACCTCCCTATGGGCGGCCATGCAGAGGCGCATGGCCAGTGCAGTGACCCGGTACCGAGGCAAGGTGCAGCACTGGGATGTCATCAACGAGCCTCTGCATGGCAACTACTACGGGCAGCGGTTGGGCGGCAATGTGCACTCATGGATGTTTAAGGCTGCCCGGGCGATTGACCCTAATGTCAGGTTGTTTCTTAACGAGTACAACACTGTGGAGCAGTGCGACAAGGAGGCTAACCCGGAGATTTACCTCGAGGTGAGCTGGTTTCACCTGGTGCTCTGTTGGATTCACCTGGTGCTCTGTTGAGTTCACCTGGCTCTTTGTTGGATCGACCTGATGCTCTGTGGACAAGGAGGCTAACCCAGAGATATACCTCGAGGTGAGCTGGGGGGAATGTAGGCAAGTGGAACCTGAAAGAGAAGTAGCAGAATGGAGAGTGCAGTGCAGCTGTTTTTAACGAGTACAACACTGTGGAGCAGTGCGATAAGGAGGCTAACCCGGAGATTTACCTCGAGGTAAGCTGGTTTCACTTCACCTGATGCTCTGTTGGATTCACCTGATGCTCCTTTGGATTCACCTGTTGCTTTGTTGGTTTCACCTGCTACTCTGTTGGTTTTACTTGCCTTGTTGTCTGGTTTTCAAAGGAAAGGTTGTTTACCAAAGCGTCCTTGTGTCGCCTACATGATATGGAAGGAAGTCACGATACATCTCTCCAACCGTGTTATGCTATCATAAAACAATCTTCAGACACCCATACAAGCATAACAAAAGCAAAACCGCATGTCACCATCGCCACATCTCTAAATTTCTCAAAATCGCACTCCACAACGCGCCATTAACACCCCTTCCCCCCTCCATCTCAATCCAGTTATCCGCCCATCTTCTCCCCATTCACCTCCCCCGTTTTTTCCCTGCCCCTTCTTTCCTCCCCAAGCAGAAGGTGTGGAATCTGACTTGCAGTGGGGCACCGGTGACAGGCATTGGCATGGAATGTGACTCCCATGCTCCCCTCCCCTCTCCCTTCTCTCCCCTTCCCTTGCCGCCCATCCCCCCTCCAATCCTCCTCTCCTCCCAAGCAGAAGGTGTGGAATCTGACTTCCAGTGGGGCACCGGTGACAGGCATTGGCATGGGAAGTGACGTCCCGTGCTCCCCTCCCCTCACCCTTCTCTTCCCCTTCCCTTGCCGCCCATCCCCCCTCCAATCTTCCTCTCCTCCCCAAGCAGAAGGTGTGGAATCTGACTTCCAGTGGGGCACCAGTGACAGGCATTGGCGTTGAGGCACACTACAGTGGGGAGCCGCAGCTGGTGAGTTGAGTGAGAGAGTGGTGTGAGAGTGGTGTGAGAGTGGTGTGAGAGTGGTGTGAGAGTGGTGTGAGAGTGGTGTGAGAGTGGTGTGAGAGTGGTGTGAGAGTGGTGTGAGAGTGGTGTGAGAGTGGTGTGAGAGTGGTGTGAGAGTGGTGTGAGAGTGGTGTGAGAGTGGTGTTCTGCTGTACCCACTATTTTGCCCTATTCTTGTATCCCAATGCTTATGTCAATAAAGGGCCATTCGTGGCGTGAGAAAGTGGGAAAAGACATACTGTAGCAGAGTGGGGTGACAGGGATAGGTGTGGAGGCACACTTAAGTGGGGAGCCGCAGCTGGTGAGTGGAGAGGGAGAGGGAGTTGCAGAATGGGCGGGTATTGGTGAGGAGGGGAACGCCTTGGCACATCCCTGTAACCCTCTCAACTCCTGCTTTTCCAGCTTTCAGGTCCGCTTGAAGCACGATCCGAATATGCTAGCAGTAGCCGGCATGCCCATCTGGCTGAAACTCGAGTTCAATGAAGTCCAATCCGAGCAGAGAGAGCGGGTTACCTGGAAGCAGTGATGCGGGAGGCGTTTGCACATCCCTTGTGGCTTTCAGCATGCTCTAATAGGGCGGTTGTGCGACTCTTCCCTTACCCTTACCCTCTGTCTTCACCTCCCTTTTTCCCCCACTTCCTCACTTCAGGTCCGTTTGAAGCACGACCTGAACCGGCTGGCAGTAGCCGGGATGCCCATCTGGCTGACCGAACTTGACTTCACCGAAGTCCAATCGGAGCGGCAAAGAGCCGACTATCTGGAGGCGGTGATGCGGGAGGCGTTCGCACATCCCTCGATTGCCGGCATGGTGCTGTGGTCGGCCGGTCGGTCCACGTGCACGTACTATAAAGACATGGATCCGGGCATGTGCAGTGCGTGCGATGCATGCTTGGCAAATGCCATGTTTGTCGACAACTTAGCAGGGCAGAGGTGAGGTGCGGATGTAAAAGTGCAGAAGGGGAGGGCTTGTTAGGGTCATTGTGCTCTCTCTGGTCAGGTCCGCCGCTTGGCCGGTCGGTCCACGTGCACGTACTAGAAGGACATGGATCCAGGCATGTGCAGTGCGTGCGATGCATGCTTGGCGGATGCCGTTGACAACTTGGCAGGACAGAGGTGAGCGCACAGAGGAGGGGGTAGAGGGAGGGACTTTAAGGTCATTGTGCTTTCTCTGGTCAGCCGCCGGCTGGTGGGTCGGTCCACGTGCACGTACTATAAAGACATGGATCCGGGCATGTGGAATCCGTGTGACGCATGCCTTGCAAATGCCATGTTTGTCGACAACCTGGCTGGGCAGAGCCGCAGAGGTGAGCTGTGGGTGTTGAGGTGCAGAGATTGGGATTGGGGTGAGGATTTGTTAGGGTTGTTGTGCTGTGGGCGGCCAGTCGATCCACTTGCACCCACTACAAGGACATGGATCCACCCACTACAAGGACATGGATCCACCCACTACAAGGACATGGATCCACCCACTACAAGGACATGGATCCACCCACTACAAGGACATGGATCCACCCACTACAAGGACATGGATCCACCCACTACAAGGACATGGATCCAGCCACTACAAGGACATGGATCCAGCCACGTGCAGTACATGTGAGGCGTGCTTGGGGGATGCCAGATTTGTGGATAACCCGGCTGGGCAGAGGTGAGCCTGGTAGACAAATGTGTCACCTATTATAAAGACATGGATGGACATGTGCAGTGCGTGCGATGCATGCTTGGCGAATGCCGGTTTCGTGGATAACCTGGCTGGGCGGAGGTGAGCTGCAGCAGTACTAGGTGCGAAGAGGAGTGGGGTTTTGGGAAGGGGGGAATGGGGGGAGGTGTTAGGGTCATTGTGTTCTGGTCGGCTGGGAGATTCACGTGCGTGTATGATGAAGACATGGATCCAGGCATGTGCCAGAAATATCAAGACATCCCTTCTGAGTTGACTCAAAAGTCATCTCGAGATTCATGTGCGTGTATCATGAAGACATGTATACCATGATGAAGACATGGATCCAGGCATGTGCCAGAAAAATCAGACACCCGTCCCTGATTTTCTATCATCTTGTGCACCCTCCTCACGTTATCAGTCCTTTTCCCACAGGCATGTGTGATTGCGGAAAGAGTGGAGCACACAACTAGAAGACAAGTGACTAAGCATGTGGTCACTTGCATTCCTGCATGGATCCTCATTCACCCCTCTTCCACTCCACCCCCTTTTCTGTCCTGTTACCATTACAATTTCCTCCCAGGTATGTGCGCTTGCGGAAGGAGTGGAGCACACATCTAATAAAACAGGTTACGTTTGGAAGCCCGATCAAGTATAGAGGGTTTCATGGCAAGTATCGTGCGCGCATTACAGTTAATGGGAAGCTAATAGAGAGGTACTTTTATGTGCCCAAACAAACGATTGGGCTTAATGTGGATATCAGGATATAGAACTAGGGTAAACAAGGGAATGGTGACTTTCTCGGTTGCCAAACGTTTGTCACTTAGACAAATGCTTCTTGTTTGTGTGCACAGATCCATAGTGGAAATGGAACAGTGAAGGGAATGGAACAGTGTATCCCCCTATTTGGATGCTTTGGTTCACAGCAAATGAACAGGGTTTTATGGGAAAATGAAGATACAAAAATGTACATTACCCTATACAGAGTGTACAAAATGCAGCTACTGCCCACTACTTCCCGTCCCTCTTCCACGTTCCGAACTCCTCCTTTCCTCTCCATACAATCACAGCTCCACGCGAAGCGCGTCGCCAGGCGAAGGATGCGCCACGCGCTCCCGAATCCTCTCCGCCTTCCCCTCCCCCTTCGCTCCCTTCATCCCCATTTTCTCGAACAAGTCCCCGAACTGCGTCTGAATCTGCTCAAACCCTTTCTTCGCCTCTTCGTACCTCCTCCACGCTTCCTTCTTCACAGCTTCAGCCTGATCGCCGCTCTTCGTTTTCGCGGTTTCAGTCGCGTCGTTCGCCGCGTTCCACAGCTCGTGCATGGACGCTTCCGCGCGGTTGTACATATCGCGCAGCACATCTTCCCCCTCTTCTGCTCCGCCAGGCCTCCGCAGCTCCCCGACCTCCCCCGTGGCGAAGCTCAGCGCCTCCTTCGCCGCCTCGTAACGCGAACTGGCCGCTTCCGCAAGCTGATTCAGCCAACCCGCGCTCTTCCCCGAGCCTTTCTCCGCCGCTTCCTGCGCCTTCCGCGCAGCTTCTTCCGCCTCATCCTTCCGCTGCGCCACAAGCCGCAGTGACCATTCCATCATAGCCTTCCCCGCGCGCTGGAAGTCCGCGGGGCCCGGAATAGCCGCCGCAGCGCCAGACACGGTATCATATGCCTTCGACCCCACCGCCTTGGCCTGATCGGCGGCGAATTTACCCGCCCCAGAAACGCCCTCCCCTACGCGGCCCGCTGCGCCAGCCGCGGTGTCGTACACGCCTTTCCCCGCACTATACGCGCCTGCGCCCGCCTGCTTCACCGTCCCCGCAGCGAACTCCCCCGCTTGGCCCACCGTGGCAGCACTCCCCTTCGCCGCTTGGTTTGCCGCCTCGCCAATCCTCGACGCCGTATCGCGCACGCCGCCAGTCACCCCGCCAACCGCCGATCCGACTGTGCCAGTCGCTCGTTCCGCGCCCTCTCCCGCAGCCTCGCGTCCAGCCTCCACCGTTGACGCCACATCAGCGGCGCGTTCGCCTGCCCGTTGCGTGAGGCCTTCAGCAGTTTCCTCCGCGGCCGTTGCGCCGGCCTTTGCGCGATCCCCCGCCTCTGCGCCGGCGGAAGCGGCAGTGTCGCGCGTTTGCCCCACGATGTCCCATCCCACGCCCATGCCCTGCCCCGCGGCTTGCTGAAACCGGTCCGCCACGGACCGCACGCGGTCGTAGACGCCCCAGCCCGCCTTCCCCGCCTCTTCCGCAGCGCGCTGCCCGCCCGCCTTGGTCCCCTCGAGCGTCGCCCCCGCGCCTTCCGCCATAGCGTCCGCGTACTCCTCCGCGCGCCGCTGCGCTTGCGCGCCCGTTTCTCCCGCACGATCCCCCAGCTGCGCGCCAGTCTCCCCCGCACGGCGCTGTGCTTCCGCGCCCGCCTCCCCCAGCTGCTCCGCACCCGCGCGGCCAGCGGAAGCCGCCCCGGTGGCTGCCTCCTTGAGTTTTTCCCACGCGCTTGAAACGACGTCAGATGCGGCGCCAGCTCCGCCCTTGGCGGCGTCAGATGCGGCGCTTGCTCCGGCTTCTGCTTGCTTCTTAGCCGCGTCTCCGCCCTTGGCGGCGGACTGGCCGGCCTTGAATGCCGATTCACCTGCCGCGTCTGCCGCCTCTGACCATTTCTCCTCGGCCTGGGCTTCAGACGACGATCTGTACAGAAAGGATCATGCAGAGCCACGACATGGATTGAAGAAGCAAATGTAAGTATCACAGGAGCATGAGGGAGACAAAATAATTTAGGATACACAACTTACCTCTTTCCCATGCCTGTTACGCCCGACACCCAATCCGTCCAACTCCCCTCGTTCTCCTCCTCACTCCCCTCCTTAGTCGTTCCAACGAGGTGCGACACGCCTGCAGCCACGGTTCGCGGCTCTGGCTCATCCGGATTGGCTGACTGCGAGAGGGGCGGCTCGTCCACGGGAACGCCGCCTACTGGGTCGGTGGCTTTAGAAGACACTCCGAAGACAGAGAAGGCATGCGTGACGCGAGCGACGTGCAGCGCCAGCAGGAAAACCACAAGGAAACGTAGGAACGCCATCGCGAGAACGATACGAAAAGAGAATGTGCTAGCCCGAAGTTACCAGAAACAAATACGACTGCCTCCAGGAACCAGCTTCTGAGGAAAAAGAATGGCAGAAAGGCTGGAAGAAATGCGAGGAGAGCAACCTTTCAGAAACAATGGCAAAAGGAATGCTGGAGCTGAGAATTGGTGCCAGAACAGCAATTCGTTCGGGAAGATTCAAGCAAGGGGCTCGCGAATATGCGACTCCTCTTCATGGTGCACACGTGTCACGGAGCGAGGAGTGTAGCCCCGCTGCTTCCATGCGTTCAAGTCGAGTCATAAGAACGCGGCGCGCCACCCCAAATGCGAGAAATAAACTTTTGCACTACAGGTGAACATCCGTAACCTAGTAGAAATAACCTAAATATGGGCCATGAATGAATGAATGAATACAATAAATTATAGTTACACCCTACGTTCACAAATATTGCTCTACCTTATCAGCTAACTAGAGTGCTGACATATCAGCCAACTGAAGCAACTCCTCCCATGCCCCTTGACACTGAGAAAATCCATCCACGGCTGGTGCACAAGGTTGTCTCCCTTTTGCTCTCCTCCCCTCCACTCCACCGCCGAACCAGCTGCCGAACCTGAGTCTGCTTGATGTTAGTTCGGTTTTTCAAACCTGCGCGGATAAGGAAGAAGCCGCTGTCAAATATACGGCGCTTGCTTTGGTTTTTACGCTGGTTTGGCACATGCTTTATTGGGTTGGCTTGTGACAGTGACTGAAGCAGAGGTTCTTGTAGGTAGAAGCTGTCTACAGTAATGCTGGTGGTACAGTCGCTGGTTCCGCTGTCAGTGCTGCTGCTGCTGTAGAATTCCCTATCTCCATCTCCATCCTCATTACTGCTGTCGCTGTTACTGCTGCTGCATTCCTGCACCTCGCTTCTGTTTTGATCCGCTTCTGTAGTGGATATTTCATTGTCTTTCAGCGCAACACAGTCCCTTGCTGAGTCGCCACAGTTTTCCCGCCCACTTGCGCTCGCTTGGACGCTGTTCAGCCGGCCAATCAGGGTGACCGGACAGGGAGAATTCTCGGAGCAGAACGACGCAACGCGCCGCATGCGCGAATCGGCTGATGCGAAAACATTCGCGGCGGCGGCGGAGGCGGAGGAAGCGGAGGAAGGAAGGCGGAGATTGGGGAAGCGGAGGAAAGGGGGAGCGAGGGGAGGAAGGGGAGGAGTGAGGAGCAGTCGTGCGCGGGGAGGAGGAAGAGATCGGCATCTATGGAGTGGCAGCATTCGACGAGGGAACGCGCGAAGGAGAGAGCTTGACTGGCGGACGGCAGGCGAACGGCCTCGAAGCGAGCCTTCTCTTGAGATCCAATGGCGGCGAGTTTCAGAAGCGCGGATCGCGATTTTTTGTCCCAGTCGCTGAAATGGTCGTCGAGCGGTAATCCTGGGACAATTACGGTGTTTTTCACGACGGCTGTCGCCTTCCCGCTTGGTGTCCTCGTCACTTGTCGCAGCACGTCGCCCACATCGCCGGCGCGGCGCTTGCTTGTGCTACTTTGCGACGAAGACGCAATGTCGCCAATCGTCGTCATCGACGACGACCGGGTGTGGCGACTGGAGCCGCCGGCGATCGCTGCGACGATTCTGTCGTCCGGTTGCTGGCCGTCGCGCAGCCACTGTGCGAATGCGTTGCGACATTCGCGACAGCCGTCCACACCGATGACGACAGTTCGTCCTTCGCCAACACTGTAGATCGGATTTAGGGGCGTGGACACAGCCAGTTTCCGCAAAGCGCTGCGCGCCATTTGCAGCGAATCGGCACCTCTAGCGACTCGGAGGTCACTCGCACGTTACGACAGGTTTTCGTTGGAAAGTCTGCCTTAACCCTTACTTCAACTGACGCACTCCGTCACAGGGGTTTCAGTGTGAAGCAGGTCGAAGCTTTCGGTCGACTATTAGTAGAAGCCGTGCGGTTTTCGTCCTAAAGCTTGTATGTACTATATACGGACGATGCTATTCTCTGATTTTCAGTGGGCAGGAAGACGATCGTGGGAATGAACGTTGCTTCCAAGTTTGGCCTAAAATACGGGGACGAGGTTAACGGCTCTGATAATACCGCATCCTCACTACAATACTGATGTAGAGGACTCTCCTCTACTTTGCAGGAACTGGGAAGTGTTCTAAGCAGTAGAGCACTCTGCTAGCTTTCCAACGAGCCGTAGATCACCTCGATCGCCTAAGTATCGAGCGAGATATCGCCGTTTATGTGCTAGGTAGTGCTCTTAGATTGAAGGATAGGAGCTCTCTGGAATTTGTGTTCGAATATACCTTGTACAAAGAACTCTGAGTTTCACTATGATGGCATGCAATACAAAGAAAACAGATTTATAGCATGCAAACAAGATCGAATCGCACAAGTAACCTCGAACCGCTACACTCGCGAATGTTCGAGTAACATCGAAAGGGTGAAATTCGACTCTCGAATTTCACCGATCCGAATTCTCCTTGGGTCTCGAATGTTCCTGGTGCTGCCATGTGGCACCGAATCGAATGGGTCTTCCGAAGTCAATCCTCAACCCCACGCAAACCTGCAACTCACTCGAAGGTGAGCACAAGTCACACATTCGGTGGGTTGGGGGCATACAAACGCCCCACCACCACCTTGCTTCCAACACACGTAATCTCCAACAAATACGCGACGACTACGATTCGTGTGGAGCGGAACCAACGGAATGATGAGGCGCACAGCACTCGAGTGAGGCGAGTTGAGGAAGGTCGATTGTAACAGTCGTTTTCCAGTCTCGTCTTCATTACACCGTAGTAGACCGCAGTATACCGTGCGAATGCACGCCCGTCTCGGGGTCATCGCGTCCCGGCTGACTCGAATCAGGTCAGGCCGCTGGGTCGCCTCACGCCTGGTTGTAAAAAACGACGTTTTTGTGCGTAAGTAGCGCTACATATGTTTGTCAGCTGACAGCTGTATGCGACGCGGCTACCATCGTTACACCCTCTTTCTCGCCATACTGACGTCCGCTATACTGACTTCCAGAGTGAAAAAGCTCGGTTGAGGTTGGTTGATTTAGGTTTCGGTATGGTTTATTTGGGCAAATCGAATAGGACAAGGCCAGCCTGCCAGTTACGCGCGGGTCAGTGTAGCGAGAAACAGGGTGTACTTACGGCCCGTCCTCCTTCACCCGCGTCCTCCGCTCCTTCGTTGTCTCCTCGTCTTGTCATGTACGCCAAAAACCAAAGTTTGCTTCAACAAGCTCGTGGCTCCTCTCCTCCCTGCTCTTCTGTGCGTACAGTATCACCTCCCCCCTCCTTCCGCTTTCCCCTCGACTATCGTCCATTCCATAGCCGCTTGTGTTTGCTCCCACCCGTCGACTCTCCAGACCAGAGTCCAGACCACGCACACAGACAGCACTGCAAAAATGGTCACAACGCAGCCCTGGTCAATACCAGCGCAGTTGACTGGACAGACGGAAACTGTGACTTGAACGGAGACGGAGTGTTCATGACTCACAGTCGAGTGGCCTAGGGACAATGCCCTCGGCGTGGTCACCCCTCCGCGAAGCCTACTGACTGGCACTCGGCAAATCCCCCCTTTCCCTTTCGGTTGCGCAAGGGGACGGGGTCCGGGGATGCTTGCGCCAAACTTGCGGGGAGCCATGCAGCGAGACAATTGCCTGGATGGCAGCCGCCATCATCACCATGGATCCACCACCACCATACCACCCAACGCTGCAAGATTTCCATGTCTGCTTCAACTTTTGTCGCTTGCATGCGTGTGGTTACTCATGGGGAAAAAAGAATCTCGCGAATCAGTGCGTGATGTTGCACTGTAACCACTACAGTCGCTTTCGTTAGAACGCATCGAAGGGTCACGAGTCTGCGAGGATGGTGATTGCTGGAAAGTTTTTTCGCTGAGGAATGCATGAACCTTTGTGACACCTGCGCTGCGAGGTTAGTCGATTTCGCGAGCGAGTTACCACGTGGCCTGGACTGAAAAGTGTAAACAGTAACTACAACGTGCGCAAACAAACAACGTCGGAAGCAGAAACAACCGTCGCAGGGAAGGAGTCAGGTCAGGAGGAGCCTCGGGGGGGAGATTCCGTGACGTGTCACGTCGGTGGATAGCAGAACCACGCCCGTATTAAAATGCCAGATAACTCGATAATGCGCACTGAGTTTTAACACATAAGATCATGCTAGGTACCATTTGAAGGCCTAAAATTCGTTGTCCAACTGCCTTTACACAAAAAACGAGCAACTACTCAGACCTTTACATCTCAGGGAATTAGCCGAACTGGAGCTCACCCCGACGGTCAGTCAGCTGCTCGAGGCCACAAAAAAACTAAACCCCATCGGGATAACTCAATACACCTTGAGCCTCCGGAAAACTCAACCCTAAACACCTTGCCGCATGGTGTTTAGGGTTGATCCCGACTGGATGGGGTTTAGTTTAATTTTGTCCGGACTTCGATCAACGTGCCCCGTCGGTCCCATGAGATCTGGGGACTCCCATGATGCATACAGAGCGGAATCAAAAGGGCGTTCTCTGGCGTTTCTTAGGGGGGCCTTTCTTCATCATGATGCCGACTAGTTCGGCCAAATAGCCGTCTTCTGTCCACCAATCAGGCTCCTTTCCTGGAAGCACCTCTTGAGAGCACAATGTGAAGTTGGCACGTAGTAACCCCTACATGACAAAGACCAACAGGCACAGTACGAGGGCAATGAGATGAGACGATTGTATGCGTACATGCACATAAAACCAGAGTGTATATCAGCAGAGGGGCTGGCCATAGATACATGCACATGCATGCACATACATGCACATGCATGCACATACATGCACATACATCAGAGGACTAAATACTTTTGCATGAACTCAGAGAAGGTATTGCAGGAGACCAGGTGTTAAGTGTTTTATCTGGAAACCCCAGAAAAAAGAGGAGTAGAGCAGACCTGGAAGTGGTTCAGGTAGGCCACATCAGGGGTCAAATGCACGCCGCCCTCCAGTGGTTCTATGGGGCGATGCACCTTCAGGGAGGGCAGATGGGAGACATGGGGAGGCAGGCAGATGGGGGGCATGGGTACCGCTTGTGATGATTCACCAATGCACGCCGCCCTCCAGTGGTTCTATGGGGCGATGCACCTGCGGGGCGGGCACATGGGAGACATGGGGAGAAGGCATGGGGCAGAGACATGGGGAGGAGACACAGATAGCATTTCAAGCAGCAACCCAGAACATGCACAGCAGATGGGGACATGGGGAGGCTGATGGGGGCATGGGAGTCACTCTAGAGAATTACTGAATTATCGCCACCCTCCAGTGAGTGGTTCAATGGGGCGATGCACCTTCAGGGAGACAGTTCGGGGCCACAGGGAGAACTCGTGGGTTGAATGAGGGTGCGGGGAGAAGCTAGTGCCAGGCATTGGGTTTGGGACGAGTGCCCCATCACCCCCCTACCTGTGCTTGTATGTATTAACTGACCACATGTGAAGCTGTCTCACCTGCACCAGTCTCATCTGCACGACCCACACTTGTCATGGGTCCACAAGGAACATACATGCGATGACCGTAGAAGTTGAGGCAGTGGGTTGGAGTATATCCCATGTCCTTCTCCCCCTGTGCTCAACTCACATTGTTCAATACATCAAAAGTAACGCTGTCTCACCTGCACGACCCACACTTGTCATGGGTCCCCAAGGAACATGCGATGACCGTAGAAGTTGAGGCAGCGGGAAAGACAGTACCCCGTGACCCAGCCCATCCCCACCGCATCTCCCCCTTACCGGTGAGGCTGTGCGCATGTCACTAGTATTTATTCAGCACACGTGAAAGTGTCTCACCTGCACTGCACGGCCCACACTTGTCGTGGATCAACCAGGAACTTGCGATGACCGTAGAAGTTGAGGCAGTGTGTCGGTGAATACGCCATGTCCTTATCTCGCAACAGAACACATGCGGCCAATGGAACCGCATCCGCTGAATCGGGAGCGCGAGAGAGCGAAAGAGCAGGAGAGCGGGAGAGAAGAAGGCATTGCCTGCCCCAGTCTCACCTGCACAGCCCACACTTGTCGTGGGTCCACCAGGAACTTGCGATGACCGTAGAAGTTGAGCCAGTGATTCGGTGTATACCCCATGTCCTTCTCCCCCACACAGTACACATGTGGCCAATGAAACCGCATCCGCTGAATCGGCAGCGCGAGAGCGAAAGAGCGAGACAGCGAGAGAGCGGGAGAGAGGGAGATAGGACCTAAACCAGTCTCACCTGCACAGTGCACCAGGCCCACTCACCTGCACGGCCCACACTTGTCGTGGGTCCACCAGGAACTTGCGATGACCATAGAAGTTGAGGCAGTGATTCGGCGAGTACCCCATGTCCTTCTCTCCCACACAATACACATGTGGCCAATGAAACCGCATCCGCTGAATCGGGAGCGAGAGAGCGGGAGTGGGCGGCCGACAGTACTCCACAGACCACCACACACTCCCGAACGTGATAAAAGCCGACCCGTTATGCTGCATAAGGAGGTTGTGCAGGGACCCTGCAGCTATGTCCACCGGTTTCGGCTTGGCGTGCCTTTTCCGTTTTTTCCTCCGCTTGCGGCCGGACGGCGTGTAATCGCCCTCTTCGTCTGCTTCTGGCTCGGGCGGCGGGGCGGGCGGCGGGGCGATGTACAGTAGCTCGTCGAAGTCCATGAATAGTACCCAGCGGGCGGCGGAGCGGAGGCGGTACATGCAGTCATTTAGGGTTAGCACGTTCTGTTTGTTCTCGAATGCGTATGCGCCGCGAATGTCGACTATTTCCATTATGTTGGCATCTACAAACGGGGATAGAACCTGGGGATGGAATGAGAAAATAGAGAAGAGAATAGAGTGGGTTCGGACTGAAGGAAGGAGGATAATACAAGTTGAATCAAAAAAATAATCCTCAACGCCGTACATTAAAACAGAAACTAACGGCCTTGAATCTAAAACAGAACTCAAGGGCTACGCAGCCCACTATATTGGTGCGACTTTTGAGAATTCTCAAAAGTCTCAAGGGCTACGCAGCCCACCCTGTCCCCACCTTAGCCTTTCAGACGGCTCAGAAACTCAACGGTGGGATTTCAGAAGCACCAGCTCACATTTCTTATAATCCATAACAGTCGCGTCTAATGGTCGCCTTCATAACACGGCCGTCCACAGAGCCGATATTTGAGTCGACTAAGAAAACGCACACCTAAAAAAACGCTCAAAAAAAAAAAAAAAAAAAAAAAAAACGCTCACCTCTGTAATAAAACACCCACCTTCATTATAGTGTTGTCCACAGAACCCCCATCGCTGAGCACGAAGTAGTCCACATTGAGGTAATGATAGGCCACCTGGGGTGTCGAGGGGTGAAAGGAAGAAGCAAGCGCATGGAGAGGAGTGAGAGTTGAGACGTGCCACGTGTAGAGAGAGTGTTTTTGAGACGTCTCAAAAACACCCTCTCTACAAGAAGCAAGCGCATGGAGAGGAGTGAGAGGTGATACGTCTGCAAACACACAGAGCTCCCATCGCTGGGCACGAAGTAGTCCACTTTGATGGGAACTTTTGAGTCCTCTCAAAGTGGACAGGTAGTGATAGGCCACCTGAGGAGAATAGTGATAGGGAGGGACAGGAGGAGTTGGGTGGTTTATGATCAAAGGATCACCCCATCGCTGGGCACGGAATAGTCCACCTTGAGGTAGTGATAGGAAGGAATAGAGACAGGGATAGGGTTGAGAGGGACGGAATAGGCACCAGCAAGGTTATACCATTGCTGAGCAACTGCTGAGCAAGGTTATATGTGAGAGGGAGGAATGGTCAAACGATCATCCCATTGCTGGGCACGAAATAGTCCACCTTGAGGTAGTGATATGCCACCTGAGGAGCGGGGTGAGAGGGGGGAGAATGGGCGCAAGCAAGGTTAGTGATATATGCCCAATGGATGGAGGATGGAGAGCAAACGGGCAAGAGGAAGAGAGACCACACGTGCAGCCACACATGCAGCGTGGAAGGATTGAGATCGCGGCACATGGGGAAGGAGCAGAACCCCAACTCGTACTCAAACTGGCCCTCCCCCTCCCTTCCGCACCCCTACCTCCCTCCATTCCTCTCCTACCCATGCCCATGCCATACAAACCTGCAGCCACACATGCAGGTTGAGATCGCGGTACATGGGGAAGGAGCAGAACGCCAACTCGTACTCAAACCGGTGGCCCGCTGCCCCCTGTTCCCTGCCCCTATGCCCATACACCACACCCATACCCCACACCCACACACCTGCAGCCACACGTGCAGTGTGGAGGGGTTGAGATCGCGGTACATGGGGAAGGAGCAGAAGGGGGGAAGGGGGAGAGAGGGAGAGGGGATGGAAGGAGGAGGATGCAGGGCAGACGAGCAAGAGGAAGAGAGAGCGCACCTGCAGCCACACTTGCAGTGTTGAGGGGTTGAGGTCGCGGTACATGGGGAAGGAGCAGAAGGGAGGAAGGGGGAGAGAGGGAGAGGGGATGGAAGGAGGAGGATGCAGGGCAGACGAGCAAGAGGAAGAGAGAGCGCACCTGCAGCCACACTTGTAGCGTGGAGGGGTTGAGGTCGCGGTACATGGGGAAGGAGCAGAAGGGGGGACGGGGGAGAGAGGGAGAGGGGATGGAAGGAGGAGGATGCAGGGCAGACGAGCAAGAGGAAGAGAGAGCGCACCTGCAGCCACACTTGTAGCGTGGAGGGGTTGAGGTCGCGGTACATGGGGAAGGAGCAGAAGGGGGGACGGGGGAGAGAGGGAGAGGGGATGGAAGGAGGAGGATGCAGGGCAGACGAGCAAGAGGAAGAGAGAGCGCACCTGCAGCCACACTTGTAGCGTGGAGGGGTTGAGGTCGCGGTACATGGGGAAGGAGCAGAAGGGGGGACGGGGGAGAGAGAGAGAGGGGATGGAAGGAGGAGGATGCAGGGCAGACGAGCAAGAGGAAGAGAGAGCGCACCTGCAGCCACACTTGTAGCGTGGAGGGGTTGAGGTCGCGGTACATGGGGAAGGAGCAGAAGGGGGGAAGGGGGAGAGAGGGAGAGGGGATGGAAGGAGGAGGATGCAGGGCAGACGAGCAAGAGGAAGAGAGAGCGCACCTGCAGCCACACTTGTAGCGTGGAGGGGTTGAGGTCGCGGTACATGGGGAAGGAGCAGAAGGGGGGAAGGGGGAGAGAGGGAGAGGGGATGGAAGGAGGAGGATGCAGGGCAGACGAGCAAGAGGAAGAGAGAGCGCACCTGCAGCCACACTTGTAGCGTGGAGGGGTTGAGGTCGCGGTACATGGGGAAGGAGCAGAAGGGGGGAAGGGGGAGAGAGGGAGAGGGGATGGAAGGAGGAGGATGCAGGGCAGACGAGCAAGAGGAAGAGAGAGCGCACCTGCAGCCACACTTGCAGTGTTGAGGGGTTGAGGTCACGGTACATGGGGAAGGAGCAGAACGCCAGCTCGTACTCAGACCGTGGCCCGCCTTTACCGCCCCAATGCTGCGAGCCGTAGCCTTGTCTGTGCGACTGGGTGGCGTTGTTTGGACTGGAGTGCGGAAGAGACGAGTGTGTCTGGGCGGGTGAGTGGGCTGAAGTGCTCGCATGTGTAGCGGCGTGTGTGGTGTGGTGTGCTTGCGAGTGGGAGTGTGTGGGGAGGAGGGACGAGAGGGCTGATGCTGGTGCGGGTGGCTCGCTGTAGATGGGCACATCTGTGCGGTCTGTGTGGGTGGGGCGGGGAGGGGAGGGTTGGAGGAAAGGGTATAGGAAGTGAGACAGGAGAAGCTGATTGTATTGTTGAGGTGCCTTGCAAGGAGGGCTGATGCCGGTGCGGGAGGCTCGCTGTAGATGGGATGGGTACATCTGTGCGGTCTGTAAGTGGGAGGGTGCGAGGGGAGGGGTGGAAGAGAGGGGAAGAGGGTGAAGGGAGAGGGACTGAAAAGGTTGATTGATTGCATGGTTGAGGTGCATCGAAACGAGTGCGAGCTGAAGTGCACGTGGGTGCCGCCGCCATCCACGTGCTTTCCGCTGCTAGTGGTACACTGCAGTGGGACACCACTGCAGAGACACTACCGTCTCTCATACCATACACCAACAAATGGTGCTCTGCAGTGTAGCACAGTGCACAGTGCACTCCCCCGCTCGTCCATTACAGTGCTATTACCGAGACGATTTTTTCGGCTCCTCAAAAAGCATTCATCCATTACAGCACAGTGCTATTCCCTCCCAAGTGCAGCATGTACCGGGCGGCACAGTGCCCTGCACTAAGCGGGTGCACCCTACCCCAGATCTCTTTTGAGTCGACTCAAAAGCAGGTGCACCCTACCCCAGATCTCTTCTGATCCAGCCAAGTGGCGCTCGTACCGAGCTGAACCGTGACTGTGCCGCCGCTATCCCCCGTGCTTTCGACTGCGGTACACTGCCGTCTCGTACATCAATGCATGGTGCTCTGCACTGTGGCACAGTGCGCAGTGCACTCACCCCCGCGCATGACTTTTGAGTCGACTCAAAAGTCAGCTCTGCACTGTGGCACTGTGCACAGTGCACTCACCCCCGCGCATCCATTACAGTGCTATTACCAAGTGCATCACATCACATACCTAGTTGAACCATGACTGTGCCGCCGCCATTCCCCGTGCTTTCCACTGCAAGTTTGCAGTGGTATATTGCCGTCTCATACATCAATAAATGGTGCTCTCCAGGGTAAATTCCCCTCAGCCTGCCCGTCAAATGCCGCCCGTCCCGCCCGACCCAGTAGCAGTGGCCCAGCTGACGTGGACCAATGGGAATGCAGGGAAACGTGGGGAAAGAGGAGAAAGGAAGGGGCGAGAAGAGGCAGATACGGGAACGAAAGCAGTCAGTCCTCCCCCTCGCACTCACCCACTCTCCATTCACTCACCCACTCACCCACTCACCCTCCCTCATTTTTCCCCTGACACACTCACCCTGTCATCTGCAATCTCCCTCATCACACGCAGGCTCATCCCGATCGCCGAGAATTCACCTGCTAACACCTTCTTTTGAACCTCTCTTTTCTATTACATCGATCACTTATTCCCTCCCACCCACTCACTCACCCTTGCCGTCAGCAATCTCCCTCACCACTCGCAGGCTCATCCCGATCGCTGACGAATATTTGACTGACAGCTGTCTCCGCTGAGGGTACCAGGACCCTCTTTATGCTCTCTCCGTTGCATCAATCGCCCACTCATCAATCCCTTCCCACCCACTCGCCCCATCCTCAGCGGGTCTCTCTCTCTCATCACGCGAAGGCTCGTCTTGATCGCTGCTGCAAGCAAACCCAATGGCCAGCACCCACCCGCTACCCCTTTTATGCTCTCTCTACGTTGCATCAATCCCTTTTCACAGCACACACTCACCCCATATTCAGCAATCTCCCTCATCACGTGTATGAAGAAGGGTTTTGAGACGTCTCAAATCCCTTTTCACAGCACACACTCACCCCATCCTCAGCGATCTCCCTCATCACTCGCAGGCTCATCCCGATTGCTGCGAATTCATTGGCCGACAGCCGGTATCCGCTGCGCTGGACGAATCGCGGCTGCCCGAGCTCGGCGAGTGCGCCAGGTGGCGCCTCCTGATACGCGCGCTGCAGCAGCGAGTGACGTGTCAAGCAGGGGTTGGTGATGGAGTTGTTGTGGTCGATGTTGGCACCCTCCACGTCAGCATCTGATTGGGATTGAAGGTAAAGGATGGGAGATTAATCTACAGGCACTTAAGCCTGTGGTCGATGCTGGCCCACCCTCCACGTCAGCATCTGTTGACAGAGTTAACAGAGGGGATTCAAGGTGAAAGAGAAGGGAAATAAATAAGGAGTATCTATGTGATTAGTCCGCGCAGTGATTAAGATACATTCAAAGGCCACAACGCGTTTTCCCCTTCCCCTCCCCCTCCCCACCCACTTCTGCTCCCCCATTCCCTCCCTCTTACCTGTACGCAGTCTAGTCCGCGCTGTACTAAGGTCCATCTTAAAGCCCTTCGCCACGGCCCCCCCAATCACCGCCGACTCAACGTCGATGTTCCACCGCACTCCCCGCAGATCCCCCCCCGCCCCCGCGCCTGCGCCCCAAGCGGCCCCCCGGCGCTCCTCCTCCGCGCCTCCCCACACCTCCGCTTCGACCGTACGCCAGTTCCCCGGACTGCGCCGGCTCGTTATAAGCAAGAACACTACAGCGGGGATGAAGATTAGTAACAGCAGGCGCGACGTCGAACACCATTGCCGAGTCGCGCGTCCCTTAGACGGCACTGATTTCTGCGGCGCCGCCATGGGACCGCCATTCGCGCCGCGACCGTACCCCGCGCCGCGGCGATACGGCGGCTCGTCCGACATGTAACCGTGAAACGACCCGTCCGATCCGTACCCATCTTCCCCACCGCGCGCTGCGCGGGCGTACGGCGGAGGGCCCGGGCCAGCGGAAGGTGGGTAACTAGGCCCGTAAAACCCGGCTCCGGCGGGGGGAGGGCCGTTGGCATAGGGCGGGAAAGGAGGCGGTCCGTGGGAGTATGGCGGGCCTTGCGGATACGGCGGGCCTTGGAGGTACGGCGGGCCTTGGGGGTACGGCGGGCCTTGCGGATAAGGCGGGCCTTGCGGGTAAGGGGGATTCGGGTACGGTGGCTGGCCCGTGTGGTGCGGAGGAGGGTGCTGACGTGGCAGTGCGTGTTGGTGAAGAGACGGGTGCTGAGAAAGGTCTGGCTGGGAAAGGGGGCGCGACGGCGGGTTGCTCGGGCGGGACTGCCGCGCGGCAGCGCTGCTGTTGCTGCCGCGCGTGCTGCTGCTGATGCTTGTTTTGCGCTTTGGCGGCGACATGACCGTTGAACAACCACAGCTCAAGGTGGGGTGTGCTCGGGACGTCGTTAAACACTACATATAATGTTTTTGAGGTCCTGAGGACATGTCGATGTAGTATAATGGTCAGTATCTCCGCCTGTCACGCGGAAGATCCGGGTTCGATCCCCGGCACCGGCGTCTGCTATTTTTCTCTGGCTGTGTCCCTTTGTTGCCCAAGCCAGCTGCGAGTACTCACCACCACTTTCCCCTGCATTTGCTGGCTGGATATTTTGTTTTCCATGTTCATCCTAACCCCTTTTTTCTGCATCAAGTAGACTCTTCCCTGAGTTTTTGCACTGAGAGCCATGCAACCATGCACTGACAGCCATGCAACCATGCACTGACAGCCATGCAACCATGCACTGACAGCCATGCAACCATGCACTGACAGCCATGCAACCATGCACTGACAGACATGAAACCATGCACCGGCAACCGCACCCATGCACCTATACACTGACAACCTGGTGGGCCGGACCATGGCAATGCCAAGAAGTGAGTAGTTGCTGGTAAATGGAAGAGCCGCCCTAGGTGTCCTTTGGAAGATGGTAATGCACCGTACGCTCTATGCGTCCTCAAAATACCATGACCGTGGACCATGCACGCATTGCACGCGTTGTTGCTGTACCTTCTGTTGTATAATGAATCATGATTCAGATTATAGCATAAGATATGCCAGTACAACTCTACATGTAGCTAGTTGCTACATTCCCTAGGTTATCTGCTACAACTAATGATGCCTTTAGGCATCCTGAAAAGCCCATCTATGACCACCAGGGCTTAGCAGCCAGATGGTAGGAATACCACACCCTTCTAAAGCCACAGAGAATGTATATCTCTCCAACACCAGCAGCAGCAGCAGCAGCACCAGTGGCTTACAGCTGGATACTAATCTGCGCCACGCCTTGTGCATTCGGCACGTGGAAAGTTTTTTCGACGGTCTGCCCGTTGACCTGGAAGCGGGCGCGGTAGGTGCCGTGGAAGCCCTTGAACGCGAGCGGCTGCCCGGGAGAGATCTTGGCGTTGAGGTGTGTGCTCCATTCCTTGCGCAGACGCACATACCTGCGTGAGTGAGAAAGAGGTAATTGGAGGAAGAGGAATGAGAGGAGATTGGAATGTATGCCGAGGCGGCTCGGAACTTGCCTTGGTGATGAGCGAGATACGAGGGAGAAGGAAGATGGGTGAGGAGAGGAGTGTGCGTGTCGGAACAAGAATGCTGGAGATCAGAGAGTCTTAGAGCTTCTGGTTCTCACCTCTTCCCCAGCTCGTTATCGACGTAGTTAAAATCCGAGAAGCACGCCTCGCACGGCTTGCACATGCCGGGGTCCACGTCCTTGTACTTGTCGCACGAGGCGCGCCCCGCGGACCAGTTCACGATGCCGTGCACGGCGGGGTGCGCGAACGCCTCACGCATGACCGACTCGAAGTAGTCCGCGCGGATCGCGTCGTCGGGCACCTTGTTAAAGTCCAATTCCGTTAGCCAGATCGGGATTCCTGCTACCGCGAGTTGATTCAAGTCGTGGCGGAGGCGGGCCTGTTGGGAGCAGAGGGAGTAAGGGAACGGCGGAGCGAGGGAGGGGGGAGAGGGGATCGGGAAAAAGGCAGGAGGAGAGAGGGTTGGTTAGTTGCTGGATGGGTTGCCGTGCACGGCGGGGTGCGCGAACGCCTCGCGCATGACCGACTCGAAGTAGTCCGCGCGGATCGCATCGTCGGGCACCTTGTTGAAATCGAGCTCCGTCAGCCAGATGGGAATACCCGCCACTGCGAGCTGGTTCAGATCGTGACGCAGACGAGCCTGTAGGGGAGGCGAGGGGGCGAGGGAGGGGAGCGGGGATTGGGAAGCACAGCACACAGCGTAGCGCGGATTGAGTGCTGATTGACTCACTGACGTTCCACTTCCTTCTCTCACTCACATTCCACATTGTTCCCAGTCCAAGAGCTATTATGCAGATTCTTCCCAGTCTAAGTGAAATAGCAACTCACCGGCTGGGGTTCCTTGCTGTAGTGCGACTCGACGCCGATCCCGGTCACCGGCGAGCCACGGGTCGTCATCTGCCAGACTTTCGCGAGATAATACTCGGGATGCGACACGCCGTCGCACTCCTCGACGGTATTATAATCGTTAATGCAGCTGCGCCTGGTTGTCGATTGCTGACGTGGCCTTGTACATCCACTCGTGCACCTGCGGCCCGAGGCGGTCCGCGAAGTAATTGCCGTGAAGCGGCTCGTTGAGAACGTCCCAGTGCTGCACCTGCCCCTTGTAACGGGTTACCGCATGGTTCAGTCTTCGCTGCATCGCCGCCCACAGATCCTCGTCGTTGAGGTTCTGGAAGGCGGAAGCAAGTGGGGGGGGCAGCAGGGGAGGAAGAGGGCGTGGGGGGAAGAGGGAAGGGGAAGGGCTGAGGAAGGGGGAGGGGGTTGCGAAGTCCAGGCGGAACGGGGTGAGGAAGGGCGGGGAAACGAGACGGACGTGGGGAAGCGGAAGGCTTGAGGCGGGTGGAGAGGCAGAAACGGGAGGGGAAGAGCCAGGAAGCGGGGCCTTGTAAAGGGTATAAAGTGTAGCAATGCTCACCTTGACCCACGGCTGCACGAAATTCTCGACTGCCCAGAACAGGTTGTGCGCGCGAACGTTGATGTTTCGCTGGCGAAACCAGTTGGTCATCGCGTCTGTTACGGTGTAGTTCTCTTCACCCTGCCGATACCCCTCGTTAAAGTACCACTTGCCTTCGTTATTGAACACAGCCCAGTTGAATCGATCTTTGAACCACTGTAGGGAAGGGAAAAGAAAAGAAGACCAAGAGTGGAGGGAGAGGGGGAGATGTTGTGGTTTCTGCAACTGTTCGCGAAGAAAGGGAAGACAAGCATCACGAAGCTCATGCGTTACCCTCTACCAATATCGGCTACCAGTCGGAACTCATCGATTTTTTGTTTAAAAAAACGAGCCGGTGCTCGCCGCGCAACTTCCCAACATCCCTTATCTGTTCCACTTAGCATACCTTCTGGTAGTTCGTGTCGTAAAGGATCGCGCCGTTCACGTTCTCGCCAAACGGAAAATCCGACTGAACCTGGTTAATCACCACGTCCACAGGCTGCCCGCTATTTCCCGTCACCGTCAACGACACGTCGCGCATGCGATGCTTCTCGATGCTCGCCCGCTGCTGAGCCAACCATTCGTCCTTATCGACCTTCCGCAACGAAGCCTGAGCGATCCAAATCTCCGTACCGGGACTCGCGCCCTGGATATAAATACTGGCTTTATCCAATGGGTCGTGTAACGTGAATCCGCCCATGAGTTTCGTCCAGCAGTTCGACTTGGCGATCGCGCCGCCGATGCAGACGTACTGGCCGTTAATTGACGTTCGCGTTCACATACTGCCGGTCGCCGGTGTTCAGCCGGACCCAGACGATCATCTCATACGACGCGGCCGGCAGGTTAGAAACACTTTGCATCGGCCCGGAGTAGGCTTCGGAGCGATTTGTGCAGACGCCGTAGTTCAAGCGGGTGTCTTTTACCGTGTACACGGACGACCAGCCGAAACCCTGCCACGGGTCGATGCCTTGCGAGAACTCGCCGTTCTGGAAAAGGTTGTTTGGGAGCACTTGCTTCGATGGTAGAGCAGAGCACTGCGGGGCGCAGCGGGAGGGAGGAAGCTTTTGAGTCGACTCAAAAGTCACCTCGCAGCGGGAGGGAGGAAGCTTTTGAGTCGACTCAAAAGTCACCTCGCAGCGGGAGGGAGGAAGCTTTTGAGTCGACTCAAAAGTCACCTCGCAGCGGGAGGGAGGAAGCTTTTGAGTCGACTCAAAAGCCACCTCGCAGCGGGAGGGAGGAAGCTTTTGAGTCGACTCAAAAGTCACCTCGCAGCGGGAGGGAGGAAGCTTTTGAGTCGACTCAAAAGTCACCTCGCAGCGGGAGGGAGGAAGCTTTTGAGTCGACTCAAAAGTCACCTCGCAGCGGGAGGGAGGAAGCTTTTGAGTCGACTCAAAAGTCACCTCGCAGCGGGAGGGAGGAAGCTTTTGAGTCGACTCAAAAGCCACCTCGCAGCGGGAGGGAGGAAGCTTTTGAGTCGACTCAAAAGTCACCTCGCAGCGGGAGGGAGGAAGCTTTTGAGTCGACTCAAAAGTCACCTCGCAGCGGGAGGGAGGAAGCTTTTGAGTCGACTCAAAAGTCACCGCCGTGGCCTCCATGGCCTTCCGTCCTCTGATCTTGTCGCCATCACCGCCTTCCTTCAGGTAGTCGAGCGATAGTAGCCCGTCAGGTTGCCGGTACTTGGCCCATTCGTGCTCGTACTTCGATGTCGGTAACCCGAGAAAATCCTCTGCGCCAACCAGAACGACCGATGCGAAAACTAGAAACAATAGCGCAGGGAGCGCCGAGAGCCGAACTGGACCCATCTCTACTACAGAATGGAGAGGTCCCGAGGTGCGAAAGCGGCTAGATCGAGGAGAGGGTGATGCGCTGATAAGAGGCAAACCAGATGGAGATCGATGAGGTGCGGTGTAACAGGAGTTTCCTCTCCAAGGTCTAGCTAGAAAGGGGCTTCGAGCATGTCGACTGATTTGTGGATGGGCGAATGTTGTGAATTTCAATGTGGGAATTGAAGGGGGACAATGCGACATTTGGAATGTGTGGCATCGGCGGCTCGATAATTCTTGACGACGCGACTTGACGAAGGGGTACGGAAACTAACTTGCGAAAGTAATCAAGAAAGGGGGGCTTCGCGAGAGGTGGTCGGCGATTGGTGTGTGAGGTTGCGAATAGTCGAGCGAATCGCTCAAACTCGCACTCAAGGTCTGCGATTCGCAATGAATTCCGGATATGCAAAATGACCCACCACTTATTGCAACAATTCAGATAACTAACAATAAGGGTTCAAACTGAAATTAACGCCACCCAGACTGCAGCAGCTCCAGCCAGAAACGTGGCAATGTATGCTAGCATGACAACAGTGGTTTCCGCCATCCCCGAAAGCTCCAAGTGGTGGTGGAAAGGCGACATGCGGAAAAGTCTCAACCCGGTGCCCGTGATCCGCTTGGTGAGCTTGAAGAATGAAACCTGTGATGCGAAACAGGTTCAAGGGGGTAAAAATGTACAGCGCGAGGAGTGAGTAAGCCATTTGAAATATTTTTTACTCCGTGCCAGTACTAGAAGCTGTTATCCGGTTTACGGACAGGCAAACCCGGTTGCTGCAGTAGCAATGCCAACAGCAACCGGATTTGCCTGTAGCATGACCGAGACTGTTTCGAGGAAGAAAGCAGCAGACACAATAAGGAGCGGGAAGAAGAGGCCGCCCCGAGAGCCAAGGAGCCCGTGTCTCCGATAAACACGTCCGCCTTGTGCTGGTCGTAGTGATGGCAGCTGTAGCGATCGCAGCTGTAGCGGTCGCAGCTGTAGCGATCGCAGCTGTAGCGATCGCAGCTGTAGCGATCGCAGCTGTATGTGGCTGTTTACCTGTATCAATGGCGGCTGCACCTATCTGTACCTATCTGTACCGAAGCCAGCAGCAAACGGTTTATCTGTAGCATGACCGAAACTGTTTCGAGGAAGAAAACAGCGGACGCAATGAGGAGCGGGAAGAAGAGGCCGGTGATGGCAGCCCTGAGAGCCAAGGAGCCCGTGTCCCCCATGAAGACTGCTTCCTTGTGGCGGTTGTGCGCTAGGGCAGCGAGTGGTATCGAGTGGTGGAGAGTAGTAGAGAGTGGGAGAGAGCGGTAGTGAGGGGGCTTACCTGTAGCATGACCGAGACGGCCTCGAGGAAGAAAACAGCCGAGGCGATGAGGAGGGGGAAGAAGAGGCCAGTGGTGGCAGCCATTGCAGCGAGTGCCGCCCCGAGAGCCAGGGAGCCCGTGTCCCCCATGAAGACCGCCGCCTTGTGCCGGTTGTGCGCTAGAAACCCCATGCACGCCCCCGCCATCGCTGCCCCGAACGCTCCCATGGCTGGTGGGGAGGGAAGGGGAGGGCATGAGAGTGGTGGAGAGGGGTGGAGAGTGGTAGTCAGGCCCGCCCCGAGAGCCAGGGAGCCCGTGTCCCCCATGAACACCGCCGCCTTGTGTCGGTTGTGCGCTAGGAACCCCATGCACGCCCCCGCCATCGCTGCTCCAAACGCTCCCATGGCTGGCGAGAGGGATAAGAATGGGGATGGAGAATGGAGGTGGGAGATGCGGATGGAACGGAAGGTTCTGTGACCCCAAGGCATGAGCAACAGGTCGACTCGACCCGACCCGACCCGACCCGACCGACCCGACCCGACCCGACCCGACCCGACCCGACCCGACCCGACCCGACCCGACCCGACCCGATGACCACGTGGAACATGTACTGGGGTCTACTCATGAGGTGCAAATGCTTTCCCAAGGTGCAAATGCGTTCCCAAGGTGCAAATGCGTTCCCGAAGGGGGGACTTACCAGGGTAGATGGGAAGGCATGCGATGGCCATGGCGATGAATGCAATGGCAGTGGTGCCGGCTGCTAGCCCATCCAGACCATCCGTGAGGTTGACAGAGTTGCTCATTGCTGCCACGCAGAAAACTGTTACCGGCACGTACCACCTGGACGGTATCATAAGGAAAATGGAGGCGGGGGGGAGATTATGACGGATATGAAACTAGAGTGAGGTTGACAGCATTGCTCATTGCTGCCGCGCAGAAAACTGTTACCGGCACGTACCACCTGGATGGGGTTATTTGGAAGATAAGGAGCGGACTTATAAAGGGTATGAAACAAACTTGTGTGAGGTTGACAGAGTTGCTCATTGCTGCCACGCAGAAAACTGTTACCGGCACGTACCACCTGGATGTGAGGAGTTGAAGGAAATAGAGAGGTTGGACTTATAAAGGGTATGAAACAAACTTGTGTGAGGTTGACAGCATTGCTCATTGCTGCCACGCAGAACACCGTTACCGGCACGTACCACCTGGATGGGAGGAGAAACGTTACAGGGTGTAAAAAGAGTGATACAAGAACGATGTGAGGTTGGCAGATTTGCTCATTGCTGCCATGCAGACTGTTATAGAGAGTTAAGGGTTATTCTTATAAGGGGCACAAACCTGTTTACATGCGTGGTCATACCATCACCAGATGACACTGGTGAAACAGAAATGGTCGGGGAAAAGATATAAGACTACAGGTGACTTTTGAGTCAACTCAAAAGTCACCTCATACCACCACCAGATGACACTGGTGAAACAGAAATGGTCGGGGAAAAGATATAAGACTACAGGTGACTTTTGAGTCGACTCAAAAGTCACCTCATACCACCACCAGATGACACTGGTGAAACAGAAATGGTCGGGGAAAAGATATAAGACTACAGGCGACTTTTGAGTCGACTCAAAAGTCACCTCATACCACCACCAGATGATACTGGTGAAACAGAAATGGTCGGGGAAAAGATATAAGACTACAGGTGACTTTTGAGTCGACTCAAAAGTCACCTCATACCACCACCAGATGATACTGGTGAAACAGAAATGGTCGGGGAAAAGATATAAGACTACAGGTGACTTTTGAGTCGACTCAAAAGTCACCTCATACCACCACCAGATGATACTGGTGAAACAGAAATGGTCGGGGAAAAGATATAAGACTACAGGCGACTTTTGAGTCGACTCAAAAGTCACCTCATACCACCACCAGATGATACTGGTGAAACAGAAATGGTCGGGGAAAAGATATAAGACTACAGGGACACTGTAGTGATGTGATGCAATTACTAACTCTAAGAAACTCTGAAAGAATCATGATCCTATTGGAGCAGCCTCAGGTAGAGTTTCTGAAAGCGACAAGCAACATGGGTAGGTGGGTGGTGGCTTGTGCAATGAGTGAAGTGCACAGATTGGCATCTCGAGGCTACGACCTGTCTCGATTGATGCAATCGCTCGCGTCGGTCGTTTTTTAGAAAAAAAAGAAGAAGAAAAAAAGCGATATCGAGGCTACGACTACTTTTGAGGTGCCTCAAAAGTAGAATTCTCAAAAACCATCTCGAGGCTACGACCTGTCTCACTTGACTCGACACAGTCGCTAGCGTCGCAGTGAGTGAAAGAACTGAGACAGGTCGTAGCCTCTGGGAGAGACAACGAATGAACTTCTTTGCATTTTGAGGCGCCTCAACAATTTGTAAGGAGGCATACCTGCCAAAGTACCAGAGACCGATTTTTAGGCGAATGAAAAATAGCCTCTGCTTTAGAGGCGCCTCAAAAATAGCCTCTGGGAGAGACAATGAATGAACATATTTGTAAGAAAGCATACCTGCCAAAGTACCAGAGACCGATTGGCTGTGGAAAAGGCACTAAATTCTTCCTGAAACGCATGACATCCAGTCAGAAAGGTGGATGGAGGGCGAATAGGGAGATTGGGGGGATGCGGGAAAACGCATGAGAGTAAAATACAGAAAGTAAGGCTGGAGAAGCAGAAAACACGTGGTATGCACATATGATGGTTAGAAACGTAGGCCACTCCCGCTCTCTCACACACAGAAAGATTACAATTATCGCAAACAATGCAGGAATTCAGAGAGCCAGGTAACACAGCCACGTGCTAAAGTGCTTGAATAAAGAAAAGGCAAGCCATACATGGAATAGGGCGATTGCAGGTTTGCCCCGTGCAACCAGTAGCTGAGTGCCAGGCCTATTGCTACCTGGAAGAAAGGAAGGGGGTGGGAGGAAAAGAATAGGAGTGACTTGAAGCAGGACTGTGTGGAAGGCAGCAGCAAGCAGCAGCACCACCACCATCATCGCCACTGTCACCGTGCATGTATCCACTGACCTGTAGCCCACGCTTCCCCAATGTGGGGACTCCCAGTCGACACACCTCACCACCACCACCCCATCATGGCCACCACCACCACCACCATCGCCACCACTCATCGCCACTGCCGCCGTGCATGTATCTACTGACCTGTAGCCCAAGCTTCCCCGTTGGGGTGAGGCCCCGTAGTTATGCTTCGTAGCAAGAGACAACCCATCATCCACTGCCCCCCCTACCAACATCATTTCTTTGTTTCCCTGAACTGACCTGTAAGCCAAGCTTCCCCATCGGGGTGAGGCCGTAGTTATGCTTTTCACCAGCGACAACCCTAAACCCTAAACCACCGGCATCGCCACCGTTGCCGCCACCACACCTCTCCCTCCCTCCTATATATGTGCTGTGCATGTATCTACTAACCTGTAGCCCAAGCTTCCCCATCGGGGTGAGGCCGTAGTTATGCCTCTTCGCCAGCGACAACCCATCATCCACTGCTCCCACCGCCATCACCACCACTGTCGCTGCTGTCACTCCCCTCCATCCTCCCCTCTATCCCCCTTATCTGTGTGCTTCCTTACCTGCAGGCCAAGCTTGCCCATCGGGGTAAGCCCGTAGTCATGCTTCTTAGCCAGAGACAACCCATCGTCCACCGCTCCCACCCGCCACCATCGCCACCACAACCCTTCTCTTCTCCCTCCCTCCTACACTTGCTCTTTCTTACCTGTAGCCCAAGCTTCGCCATCGGCGTGAGGCCATAGTTATGCTTCTTAGCCAGAGACAGCCCATCGTCCACCGCCCCCACCAGCAGCATCGCCCCCGTTGCCGCTGTCACCCCTGCCAGCTCAGGCGGACTCCCAGTCGCCACCCTCGCTACAAGCACACCCAGCGGCACGAAGAACAGGCCCCCCATAGTGGGCGTCCCCGCTTTAGTCACATGCGTGGCCGGGCCCTCCTCTCGCACCACCTGCTGGGCTTTAAGCGAGCGGAGAAACGGGATGGCGATGGCGCCGGCGTATGCTGACGTGGCGGCGGCAGCGAGGAAGGGGATGGTGAGGAAGAAGGCGGCGAGGGGGCGGCGGATGAGGCGCCAGATGAAGGAATCGACGAGGAGGAGCGTTGAGAGGAGGGCGACGAATAACAAAACTGAGATGATGCGGCCATGTGATATTCTGTGGATGGGAGGGAAGCAAGGGGGCAAGAGGGAGCGGGGCCGGGGAAAAACAAAGGGAAGGGGGAGCAGAGGGGAGCGGGAAGCAGAGGGAAGGGGGAGGGGGGGAGCAGAAGGGGTCAGAACGCGGGTATGGGGTGAGGATGAGGAGATCAGACGTTCTTCTTAGTTTCTCTTTACGAATCTCCTCACCTCATCTTTCGTTTCGTCTCTTCCTCGCTCTCCACTGCTCTCTCCGTCTCCTGCGCTTTAAGCGCCGCCGACCCCACCGCCTCTACCCCCTTCTCAACCTCCTTAGCCGCCGACCCGGCTGCCTCAAGAAGCTCCGACGAAGCTTCCTCCGAGCCGCCCACTTTGAACTTTAATCGCCGCCCGTTCACGCCGAACCGCTCCTCCGGGCCGCCGTTACGCTCGTCCAATGCGTCCACGAGTGACACGTCAGCAGTCGCCGCGGCCGAGCCGAACACGCGGTGAAGCGCGCCGTTGCCGGAAGAGCAGAAGGCGCTCGTGTCCACGTCATCACTGTCGTCGCCGTCGCATGCCTGATGGGAGGAACGACGGGTGAGCGACAGGGTGAGCGACGGCGTGAGCGACAGGGTGAGCGACGGGATGAGCGACAGCGTGCCCACCTTAACGTCGAGACGCGGCGTCGCCGTGGTTGACGGTCCCCTGATCTGGAATCGCAGCATCGCCGACCTTTCGCACCCGGCAGTCGCACGGCGTCGCACAATTGGCTCTGCAAGAAATCGTCGCGTCGCTCGGCCGTATGCGAAAGCATCCAAGCCGCTGCCGCTGTCACACAGCCGTAGCCTCGCGCGATTTGCTGTCTGACACGACGCTACGTTTGTCGCCATCGTCGGTCTTTCTGTCGTCCGCAAGTCAGCGCATCTCCGTACAGTGCACACTGTTGAACTCGCCAGAGCCGTCGATTGCCCATTTTGCGCTCTACAGGAGGTGATCGCCGTCGAAGCCCCAGTGAAGCCCCCCGCTACTGCCACCTCAGCGGGCATCGCCGTGTGTGGGATGATTTGGTCAAGAGGAAAAGGGGGCAGTAGACGAGAACCTGGTAACCTAATCAGCTGCGCCAATGCCTACTGCTGACGTTCTAAAAGTACTAAATCGTCGTTTTGCCTTCAAGAGCTTTTGCCTTCAAGAGTTTTTGTAAAGCCCTGACGAGATTACTTAAAAAAGTCCACTTAAACGTAATATGTTAGGTCACTAGTGCTCCTTGGTGCTTCCTGTCCCTACGCCTCATCGTCGGTCAACTTGAGCGAGAATCTGTGACAATCACTACGTTATTTTTTATTCCGCCTCCTTGACACGCGTTCGAGCCGACTTACTTGCGAACTCGAGGAACGCGCACGGATGCCCGCTTTTATTGCTTTAGTAGTATCTTGCGCGAATGGGAACCACGGTTGTCACGAACAGCAGCTCGCAACAGAAGCAGCGCCACTGCCGTGAAGGATTATGCGGCTGTTGTAAAAAAGGATTATGCTACTGGAGAGAAATCCGTTGCTTCAAAAGTGAGAAATGCAATGGGATGGTGATCTCCTCCTTACACACGAGGCGCACGATCGGGGTCCCACCCAGCGACCTATATCGCCGGTTCAGGGGCTGGCTGGATGGGGCTGCTTGACACGCAAATCTGCAGTCGGCTGTTTCTGAAAAGCCGCCATGGATTGGTTGGGAAGAGAGAAAACAAGGTACCGAAGTTAGATTATGTCAGACCGTTTTGCAACCATGATTATCGCAGTAAAACGTTGTCCACCATGGAAACGAAACAAACGCATTTTCTGTTGCCACGAAATCTAAGCCAGAGCGAGAATGCATGAAGCAAGCCAGCCAGGTTTTCCCTAGCACATAATCTTGAAAGTTGGGCAATTACCTCCGCGGTAACACTCATTGAGCTCGATCGCACGCGAGGTAAGCCACGTGTCCAGATCGTAACAAAGATATCTTCTCATCACCAGTGTGGTAACCATTTTGCCTAGATGGTCAACATTATTGCCTGAATGGTAATGAACAGTGCATCCGGAATTCCTGGCTGGTAACTTCGTGTTCCAACCAATTTGTACACCGTACAAGTAGGTATTGACTCAGCGAAACGAAACTGACTGTCCACGTGCACTCCAAGAAATGCGCATTTCTGTTTATAGTAGCGGCGTTTATAATCCCAAACGACAACACCTCGCTATGCTAGCTCGTAATCTGAAGCATTAAAGCCAGCAGCTAAAATAGTGACCCCCCCCTTCTAGTTGGGCCCAACTTGGAAACTCAAGTCACTTGGAAAGTTTTTGAAAGGTTGGAAGTGCTTTGTGTTTTTTCTTTCGAGGTTGGTAGGTGTGTGAACTGTGAAAGACTGGATCCTATGTCTCAAATCTGGTTGGTAAGAAACTTCTCGCATACACATGTGCGAATTTGGCACAAGGTTGCGTCATGTGCAATCCCAATCACTGGAAGTACCTCCCCAAAATTCGTAGAGCAACAGCACAAGCACTTTCTGAAGGACACACACATGCAACAAGAGCATGCATGATGTGCAGAGAGCTAGTCGAGCTGAGAAACCAGTGTTGCCTTAGACTTGGGGCCTGCGAGAGGTGAAATATCGGGTAGTGGAGAGAAATGAACGAGGGGAAAACTGATGATGGATGCGACGAATTTGTGAGCATACTAAGGAATCAGTAGAGAACAAAGGCCGGCGAACGGAGCCGGGTATTAAACAAACGCCACAAAAAAATAACACACACAATGTCAAACCGCAAAGCTATCCTATTGATAAATATTGTGAAACAAATTATTTTACTCTACCAGAATTCTTCTTATGAATCTTAAGAATTGGAGCTAGATCAAGTTACGATAATTTTAAAACCAATTTAAACAAAAATAACTTTTCATATTACAGACAATGAAAGTTGCATGGAAAATCAAACTATTTATTTGTACATTAAATAATAAAATTAATGCATGATTTAAACAATATGAACATGTAAAAAATAGTTTTCTGCATATTTGTTTATTCATTATATTAACTTGTACTTCATTTTTTACAATTACATGATATGTAGCGATTTCATTAATATACGTGACAAATATAACCGATCCTATGAAAAGTCTGTATTTTGTTTTACAGAGTGTCTGTAAGATGCTTGCAATAATTGTATCGCATACGTATATGTAATGCTTTGCGCTTGTAAACGTTCGTACACTAAACAGAATTGCGCATTCTGTGGGTGCCAACGGGGACAAACAGTTTCGTTTCGCTGAGTCAAACCCTACTTGTACGGTGTACAGCTTGGTTGGAACGCAAAGTTACCAGCCAGGAATTTCGGATGCACTGTTCATTACCATTCAGGCAATAATATTGACCATGTAGGCATAATGGTTACCACAGTGGCGAGGACAAGATACCTTTGTTACGATCTGGACACGTAGCTTACCTCTGCGCGATCGAGCTCCAAGTGTGTTACCGCTAAGATAAATGCCCTTGAATGTTTACCATGGGTCCCTTCCACGTGGCACGTGCCATCCTCTTGCCACAACGTCATGCTGCCATCGTGCGGCGGCGGCAGCATGGTGCCGCGAGAGCGTGCCACCACCACCAACTGAAATTTCAATTTGCTGGTAAACCGAACCAAAACGAACCGAAACAAACCAAACCGAACTAAAACAGCCCTAAGCTTTCAAAAGCAGCCGCGGTGTGGTGGTGGAATCTTAAACGGAGCGCGGGCAGGGAGTAAACATCGCGACGGGGGAAGGATGCATAATGAGAGGTTGAAGTGATCGGATAGTGACATGTGACTCACAAAAAACAACAGTTTGACCAATGATGCAAAAGGGAATATTCTCGGTGCGTGCGGTGTGCTTTTCCCGCTGATCCAAGGAAAAATAAAAATATGCCTTAGAGGAGGATCCACTGCACCGTAGAGCATCAACTGCGATGTAGGCGCTATGTTCTTCAAGATACGGACTAGGCTATGCTTGCAATGCACTTCAGCCCACTCACCAGTTTACAGTCTGGTAGCTCAATAGAGAGTTATCATCGCAGAGACATAATTGCAGTACTACAAACTTTTTTCAAAGAGCATGGTCCAAACATTAAGTGCACTGCACCCTAATCGCTGAATCAAACCAGATGTCAACACTTAAAATGACGATAATGCCTTCAGCTCTCAAGCTTCTTAGCAAAAAGCTTTCTGAAGGCAGCATTAGAATCAAGTGGAACATCACCACCATCTCCTCCTGCCCCCCCATTCTCCTCTCCCCCTCCACCACTCCCCTTACCCTCTCCTTTCTCCCCTCCACCCATCCCCTCCCCTCTTGTCCCCCCTTCCCCCTGCTGTCCTCTCCCCATACCACCCCGCCCCCCTGCTCTCCCCCCTCCTCTCCCCCCTGCCCTCCCAGCCACACCTCTCCCTAGAGCTTGTCCCACCGCACGAGGCATGGCGAAGGTGGGAGAGCCAATCAGCTGCAGCTGACCCCCCCGCCTGGCACTAGCTGACAAAGGCTGCAAGCCGCGGCCTCCCCGCCCTCCTCTGCCGCCCCGAGTGGACGGATGATAGGCTGCAAGGAGGGGAGTGCGGGGAGTTTGGGGGAGGGGGGGGTGGGGGGGGTGGGGGGGAGTGGAGGGGTGAGGGAAAGAGGATAAGGACAGGAAAGGGAGTGGGCAATTGGGTGGGAGGGCATAAGAGGGAGCTAGATCTGATATATCCCCCACTCTAACCTAAGAAATGTAGAACGTGACAAGTAAAACGAGCCATGAAATCGCCAACTCATAGCTCAAGAAACAGCACCAAGCCAGCAGAAAGGGTAACAAGAAACAGCTGCCCTCACCTTCCTCCTCCGCTTCATCATGCCCCTCCCTTCCACCACCCCTCCCTCTCCCCCCTCCTCCTCCCCCTCCGCCCCAACCCCTTCCTCTCCCCCTGCCCCTGTCCCTGTGCCCCGAACCATGGCTGGGGTCCGATTTCTTGATGGACACCTGGCGCCCTCTCATTGGCGTCCTGTTGAGCTTCTCTGCTGCTGCCACCGCCTCTGCACTAGCCAGCTCCACGTAGGCGAAACCCTGAACAGGAGGGAGAGAGGGACGGGGAAGAGGGAGAGCAGGCAGATATAGCGGTCAACGCACAGCCACACGCCACCGCCTCTGCACTACCCAGCTCCACGTAGGCAGAGCTCTGAGAGAGAGCAGGAGGGAAAAAGGAAGAGGGGGGCGAGAATAGTAAGGTATTGCCCAGCCTCTGCACTACCCAGCTCCACGTAGGCAAAGCCCTGACAGAGGACAGACGGAGAGTGTAGGTGAGGTTAGGCGATTTGAGTTTGAGGGAGGAACGGGGTGGAGACATGCATAATGCATTACTAACTACCAGTAGCTCCCCCCTGCCACCCACTAGATGAGTTTTGAGTCGACTCAGAACTCGCCTGGTGAGACGTTTTGACGTGTCTAGCTGACTTTCCATCACAGTTGAGATGTGGCACTTGACTGGCTGGGCCCCACGCTAACAGCCACGTGGCACTGCCAGGTGTCACTCCCCTCAACCACGTGTGACTCACCCGGAACTGGCCAGTGGAGTGGTTGAACACCACAGCAGCCACGTGGTACTCACCCTGACTGCCACCTGGCACTCCCCTTACCAGCCACGTGGCACACTCACCCTGAACTGCCCAGTGGAGTGGTTGAACACCATCCGCACATCTTGTATCTCGCCACATTCCTTCAGCAGCTCCCTGATCTCGGCTTGAGTCGTCTGGTGGGAGGAATAAGAGAGAAGACACAAGAGAGAGAGACGCAAGTCAGAACGAGTGTCAACTTGCTGCGATCGAACCTGTGTCTCGCCACATTCCTTCAGCAGCTCCCGGATCTCGTTTTGAGTCGTCTGGTTAGAGGAAACGGCCGAAGGCACAAGAGAGAGGAGAGATAGAATTGAGACGGATTAAGTTTCGACATGCTGCGATCGAACCTGTGTCTCACCACAATCCTTCAGCAGCTCCCTGATCTCGGTTTGAGTCGTCTGGCAAGAGAGGGATAGGAGAGAATTTGAGGCAAGGCGGAAATTGAGGCAAGGCGGAATTTGAGGCAAGGCGGAATTTGAGGCAAGGCGGAATTTGAGGCAAGGCGGAATTTGAGGCAAGGCGGAATTTGAGGCAAGGCGGAATTTGAGGCAAGGCGGAATTTGAGGCAAGGCGGAAATTGAGGCAAGGCGGAAATTGAGGCAAGGCGGAAATTGAGGCAAGGCGGAAATTGAGGCAAGGCGGAAATTGAGGCAGTCATTCTCGGTGCGATCAAGCCCATATCTTGCCACAATCCTTCGGGCTCCCGGATCTCGTATATGAAAAAAAAAAAAAAGGAATTTTAATGTATCTAAAAAAAAAGAAGCAAGTTGTAACAAAAGCGACAGAAGCAACGCAGAAATCGGTGTAAGCCACTGGGGCGCCCCAAGAACAAGGATATAACACATCAGCAGCTCCCGGATCTCGTCTTGAGTCGTATGGCCGTGAGAGGCAAAGACAGAAGACGAAGCAAGAGACATGGGATAGGCGGCACTTGAGACGCAGTCTCTCTCAGATTGGCTTGCTGCAATCAAACCCGTTCCCAGCCACAATCCTTTAGCAGCTCCAGAGGAAGAGACAGAAGCAATAGAACCACCAAGGGAAGAAACTACCAGTGCATACCAGGAGCACTGAGGGAGTTAGGCATAGTGTTAGGCTACTCAGTGTGAGTAAGTTGGGCTACAACTCACGCTGAGTTCCAGGTTCGAGAGGAACACTGTATTCTTGTCCGTGAAAAAACGCCCCTGCTGCTGCCCCTGCTGCCCTTGCTGTCCCTTCTGCCCCTGCTCTCCTCCATCCTTCCTCTCTGCCTCCTTCTCCTCCTCTTGCTGCTTCTCCCCTCCCTGCTCCTGTCCCTCCCCTCCATCGTCCTTCTTCCTTTCCCCATCTTCCGCCTTCTTCCCCTCCTTTCCTTTCTCACCCACGGTCTCTTTCCCTTCTTCTGCCGAACCATCGCCTGCCGAACCTGCCTCCTTGCCTAACCCCTCCTTTCCTCGCCCCTGCCTCTTGTCAAACCCTAATCCCGGACGCTGCCTCTTGCCTCGGTCTCTTCCCCCACCCTCCCCCCCTCGCTCCCCACCTCCTCCTCCACCTTCTCCCCCTCCTCCTGCTCCCCCTCCTCTCCCCTTCTCGCCCCTCCCTCCTCCTCCTCGTGCGTCCCCTCCTTCTGCTTTGCGCTTTTGCCCACGCCCTTGCTCCACCTGCTGCTTCTGCTGCTGCTGCTGCCGGTGCTGTTGGTACAGCTGCGCTTGATCCTCCTGGCCGTGGTGGTATGCTGCTACTTCAGCCAAGCGAGGAGCAACCTGAGGGGAGGAGAGAGTAGAAAGAGCAGGACGGGAGGGAAAAGAGTGAGCGCTGTTGGTACAGCTGCGCTTGATCCTCCTGGCCGTGGTGGTATGCTGCTACTTCAGCCAAGCGAGGAGCAACCTGAGGGGAGGAGAGAGTAGAAAGAGCAGGACGGGAGGGAAAAGAGTGAGCGCTGTTGGTACAGCTGCGCTTGATCCTCCTGGGCGTGGTGGTATGCTGCTACTTCAGCCAAGCGAGGAGCAACCTGAGGGGAGGAGAGAGTAGAAAGAGCAGGACGGGAGGGAAAAGAGTGAGCGCTGTTGGTACAGCTGCGCTTGATCCTCCTGGGCGTGGTGGTATGCTGCTACTTCAGCCAAGCGCGGGGCAACCTGAGGGAAGGTTCAAAGAGGAACAGAAGAAGAGGGTAGAAACAACTACGCTAGAATAACTTTAGAGAATTCTCACAAGTAGAAAAAGCAGGAAGGGAAGGGGGTGCTCCTAAAGAGGACGTTATCCTACTAGGCACGACCTCCTTATAAGCATTCCCTCTTCGAGGCGAGATTCTTAGCTGATCAGGTAGGTGCCATACCTTGTCTGATGCCAGGTCGAGGTCACTGAGTGTTCCCCACTCCCTCTCGAACCGTATCCAGGCAGAACACACCTCCTGCATGCATTGAGACACAAGGAGGGAGAAACACGCACTCAGGCACAGTTGAAATTTGAGTCGACTTGAAGGTCACCTACCAGCGTTCCCCACTTCCTCTCGAACCGTATCCAGGCAGAACACACCTCCTGCATGCATTGAGACACAGGGAGGGAGGAAACACACACATTCAGACACATGCAGAAACACACATACAAACACAAAACAGTGCAGACGCACATACATATAGACGAAAGAACACACATATATGAGAGCGAGTCAAATTTCCAGCTGTAGCAATGGCGGATATAGAATCTACAAGGCACCTAAAATGAAAACTCTATACCTCTGTGCCTGAGGGTGATTAAAAAATTCCGGCTGTAGCAATGGCAGAAACAATATCTATAAGGCACCTAAAACAGAACACCCAATAAATTTGTGCCTGTGGGTGAGTCAAATCTCCGGCTGTAGCAGCAGCAAAGATAATGTTTGTAAGGCGCCTGAAGGGAACTCCATACCTCTGTGCCTGAGGGTGAGTCGAACTTCCGGCTGTAGCAGCGGCGGAAGACTGACCGAGCCTGGTTGTAGCACCCCCTCTCAGTCTCAAAGTGAGTGAAGCCCAGCCACGCCTGGTGGGAGGAGCCGCTGATGTGGGGAGGGGCAGGAGAGCAGGAGACGAGGGTACCAGGAGCGCAATGAGAGAGGGTTTGTGTGTTAAGACGACTGCCTGGTTGTAGCACCCGCTCTCGGTCTCAAACTGAGTGAAGCCCAGCCACGCCTGGTGGGAGGAGCCGCTGTTGGGATAGGGGAGGGAGGGGGCAGAGGAGGGGACAAGCGAGGACGTGTTACGGACGATTGAATGGTGAAGGACGAGCCGCTGCTGGTTAAGGAAACCCCCCTCGGTGGCGAAACGAGCCAAGGCCAGCAAGGCCTGGTGAGATGAAAATCACTTGTGAGAGTTCTCAAAAGGAAACCCCACTTAGTGGAGAGATGAGCCTTTTTTTGAGTCGACTCAAAAATTGAAAATCACTTGTGAGAGTTCTCAAAAGGAAACCCCACTTAGTGGAGAGATGAGCCAAGGCCAGCAACGCCTGGTGTAATGACCTGCTGGTGGGGTGCGGAGAGCGGAGAAGAGGAAGAGAGGAGAGCAGGAGAGAAGGAAGAGAGGAGAGCAGGAGAGAAGGAAGAGAGGAGAGCAGGAGAGAAGGAAGAGAGGAGAGCAGGAGAGAAGGAAGAGAGGAGAGCAGGAGAGAAGGAAGAGAGGAGAGCAGGAGAGAAGGAAGAGAGGAGAGCAGGAGAGAAGGAAGAGAGGAGAGCAGGAGAGAAGGAAGAGAGGAGAGCAGGAGAGAAGGAAGAGAGGAGAGCAGGAGAGCACTGCTGAAACGCGACTCAGATTTAACTGGCAATCTATATGCAGCAGCAACCATGATATACTCAAAAGGAAACCCCAGGCCTGGTGTAATCACCTGCTGGTGGGGTGCGGAGAGCGGAGAGAAGGAAGAGAGGAGAGCAGGAGAGCACTGCTGAAACGCGACTCAGACACAGCCGGCATAATAGATGCAGCAGCAACCATGATATACTCACTGCTTTCTCACAAATTGCTCCCAGATGGCCCTTCCAGCAGCTTCCCCTGCCGCTCCAGTCGCACCTCCCCCAGATGCACCCTCCCCTGCTCTCTCCAGCTGGCATTCTATATGCGCCTGGTACCCCGCCAGGTGCAGCTGGGCTTGCTGGTGGTCGGGGAAATACGAGGCCATGAACTCAGCTGCGCGCTGTTGGGAGGAATAGGGTGGGAAAAGTGGGAAAGGTAGAGAGGGGGACACAGGGGGAGAGAGGCACACTCTATGTGCGCCTGGTACCCCGCCAGGTGCAGTGCAGCTGGGCTTGCTGGTGGTCGGGGAAGTAGGAAGCCATGAACTCAGCTGCACGCTGCAAGAAAGAATGGGCAGGGTGGGAAGCAGGAATCAAGGGGGGGAGACAAGGTGGGGTGACTTTCAATGTAAGTGTGGTACCCCGCCAGGTGCAGCTGTGCTTGCTTTGCTGGTGGTCGGGGAAGTAGGAAGCCATGAACTCAGCTGCGCGCTGCAAGGAAGAGGTGGAGAAGGGAATCAGGGAGGGAGGGGGTATGAGGTGGGTCTGGTGGAGAACCAACCAGGTGGTGGGGTGGGGTGGGGTGGGTGGGTGCCTTTTACAATAAATGTCTCGATGTTCGCCTGCTTAGAGTACAGCTGTAGCCTGTACCCTAAGCAGTATAGCCGGGCCTCATTTTCTTTAGGCCCCTTAGAAAATAGACTTGATGTTCGCCTGCCACACTATGCGTGATTAGTTATAGCTGGGCTTGCTGGTGGTGGGGGGGGACTTTTGAGTCGACTCAAAAGTCACCTTAGACTTGATGTTCGCCTGCCACACTATGCGTGATTAGTTATGGCTGGGCTTGCTGGTGGTGGGGGGGGAAGTATGAATGAGGCCATATGAGCTCAGCTGCAGGCTGGAAGGACTGGTAACGTGGGTACTTCAACCTTTCAATCACACGGCGTGTTTTTGAGTCGACTAAAAAACAGGCCATATGAGCTCTCAGCTTTAGGTTGAAAGGACGGGTAACGTGGGTATTTCAATCACACGGCGTACCTCAAAGGTTGCTCGCATGGCTGCTACCAACTTCGACTTCTCATCCTCGCTAAGAGCAGCCCCTTTAGCAGCGCCTTTGGAGGACTCAGGAGGAGGCATGCGGCGGCGCCTCAAGCCGTCCAGGCGGGTGAGGAAAATGTCAAAGTACTGTCATGTCATGGCGATGAGGGGACAGAGCGAGAGAAGGGACAGGAAAGATACAGCGAGGAAAATGGTCAAAGTATTGTCGGAGCAATGGAGGGACAGGGCGGGAGAAGGGAGAGGTAAGCTGCGGTGATTCTTGAGAGTGCAGGGAGGAAAATGTCAAAGCACTGTCGTGGCAATGGGGGGACAGGACGGGAGGCAGAAGCAGCAAACAGCTGGACTTTTTCAAATTCTTGAAACCGGGCAAAAGCAGTGAACGTGGTGAGAAGTGAGGAAAATGGCAGAATACTGGTGGTGGTGGGAGGATCAACGAGGTTAGGGAAGGGAGGACTGACCTCCTCTGCAGACTGAACTCCAGACACAAGGGCCTTCTCAAAGACCTGCACAGCCCAGAGAAGAGTAAGGGGAACCAGATGAGAATTTGTAGACAGAGGGAGGGAGAACGCAATAGATAGAAAGTTTTTTTTTTTTTTAAGAGGAAAAACATGTATACATACTACATGTACATATATACTTAAAACAAAAAGAAAAACATCCACCCTGACGACAAGGCCTACCTCTGCCACGTCAGCATCAGCAGTCCCCAATCGCTCAAGCGCAAGCAGATAGCGCGTCCAAAGCGTGCCCACCCATGGGCAGTTTCGGGCTGCCCGGGAATAAACTGAGCGCACAACCGAAGGCACCTGGAGAAAATGTGCAATCATGAGAGAGAGAAAACGGCAAGAAGATCAAGGTGCCTTAAAGCTCGCGGCCCAAATTGCAGATCGCGGCCATCAACATTACTATTCTTGACGGAGTGCTGTTTTGACACTGTGCAAAGCAAGTGTGGTTACAAACTGTGCGAAGGGATGTGATTGGCCAGAGCAAGGGAACCTTGATTGTCGTATGTGAGTAGCGGGAGAAAACAAGGTTCAGATCGCTGTGCAATATGGGACTTTCCAACCCAACTCGGGGTTGCCCCTGGGTTTTGCTGAGTCGGCGAAAACCCAGAGGGTGTCGCGAGAAGCTGCGCGAAATCAAGCAGCCGAGACTCGCACCACCTTGACTTCATTGTTCACTCGCCCACCACCCAACGTCAACCTTAGTAAGGTTGTACAGTTTGGGCCGCGAGCTTTAATCTAAATAAATTCAGAAATGTGTCTTCAACATAAACGGTTGCTTACGGTATTAGTTTGATTGTTCCTGTTGAAGATAGAACACGTAAAAGGCCAAACCACGGAAAGCAAGCTTCCAACTTGGGTACAAGGAGGTCAATGCATTTTAGCGCACCTTTAGCCTGAGGTCAACCGAATCAAAGTCTCTTATTGCACGCATCGTGAGTTTGTGGTCAACCGGGTTAATCCCTACCTTGGGTCTGTGATGCTGTGGTCAACCAAGGAAATGTTTTCTATTCCACACACACGCACCTTGAGCCTATGGTCAACAAGGTCAATGTATTTCAACCACACGTCAAACACCACAGGCAGACCCGTGACCGCCCTCTCATGCATGGCCTGCTGACGTGGCATGTCGCCACTGGCTGCCTCCAACGCCAGATACTCCTGGGAGATGGCGTGGCAAGAAGGCGTGGCGAATGGGAGGGGTGGACGAAGATAGGAGACCGGGGAGGGGGGTTGGGTTGGGTTGGATTGGGTTGGGATAGGTTCGTGGGGTTTGGAGAGCAAAAAGGGTGGGGTACGGCCCGTACCGTACCGTACGGGGGCACCATTGGTTTCCATATTATAAATGAGAGGATGATGAAGGTCATCGTAAATGGACTGTCTCCACTCCATACCATGGACATGGCCATAGAGTACCATGTACGCCCGCATCAGCTCAGGTAGAATGCTCTTTGTGAATTCTGATTTTGAGGGGGAGAGGGGCCTCAAAATCATACCGTGTATGTGCGCCTGCATCAGCTCAGGCAGGCAGGATGCCTCTTAAGAATTTCTACAACAAGACAGGCGGGGCGCGAAGCAGTCTACGTTGTCATACCACGTAACGTACGTAGGGAGGGAGGAGCACATGCCCAGCCCGAATTTTTGCTTATCCGTCATACCATGCACGCACATCAACATACCGTGTATGCCTGCATGAGCTCATCCGTCTTCTCAAACGTAGCAACAGCACCACCTTCCCCTTCCTTCCCTTTTCCCCCTCCCCCTCCTCCCCCTCCCCCTGCGGCTGCAGCACCACCCCCCTCCTCCTCCACTCGTCTCTTCTCCCCTTCCAGCCTCTCCACCCTCTCCTCCACCCCCCTCCTCTCCCCCACCATCCTTTCCGCTTTCAAATATGCCGCCTTGACGCTTCCCGGAAGCTTCTCGACATCAGGAGACGACTCGGAGGAGGGTGTAGGAAGCTTCTCGCCGCCTTCCTCCTCCTCCCAGGCCAGGTACGCTGCCAGCGTGGCAGGCAGCTGCAAATGAGGCACCGCCAGCTGGCGGTGGAAAAGCGCCCGCACCCGGGCGGCCTGCTTCGTCTTTTCCTCCTCCCCCTCCGTTTTCCGCAGAACCTCCATCTCGAATCCCCTGAAAGTCCCCCAGACAGATGCGCCCTCCCCCAAGTGCAGCCCGACCTGGGAGAGCGCTTGCTCAGCTGTGGTCCGGAAGAGCTTGAGACCGTCGGGGGTGTGTGTGGTGATGGCGGGGTGGTGGGCTGCTAGGAAGGCGAGATAGGCCTGCCAGAGAGGAGGTGACTGCGGGTGGAAAAGGGTGGAGAGGGGTGGAGAGGGGTGGGAAGGGGGTTTTGGGGGGGGGTAGAAAGGGGGTGGGAAAGAGGTCGGCGGAAGTGAGACTGGTCATGTGCTCAGCTGTCGCTCTGAAGAGCTTGAGGCCATCAGGGGTGTGAGTGGTGATGGCGGGGTGGTGGGCTGCTAGGAAGGCGAGATAGGCCTGCCAGAGAGACACGGACTAGGGGTCCAGAGGGGTGGAGAGGGGTGAAAAGAGGTGTTTTAGACGGAGGAGCTACAGGCCGTTGGGGGTGTGTGTAGTGATGGCGGGGTGGTGGGCGATGAGGAAGGCGAGATAGGCCTGCCAGAGAGGAGGTGACTGGGGAGTTACGGAGGGGAAAGAGGGGACGGCAAGGCAGGGGAGGAGTGGACGTGGAAGGCAGAGGAAATGAGGGCACGAGCGAGGATGAGGGGGGAGAGAAGGAGGAGGAGGAAAGAGAAGGGGCCGGAGGTGAAAGGGGGGAGAGAGACTCACCACGTACTCCTCCACTCCACGCTTGTATAACAGGAGGAGAGCGAGGAGGAGGAGAGGGAGGAGGAAGCAGAGACGGAGTGGAGGCAGAGGGGGGGTTGGGGAGAGAGACTCACCACGTACTCCTCCACTCCACGCTTGAAAAGAGCTTCCACCTTTGCCACGTCAGCATCTCTGCGGGTTTCAGCGCACAATGAGAAACAGATGGGATTCCAAAGAAAATCACAAACTGGAATGATGAGACTGAAAATGAGATGTGGAACAGAGCCAGGGAGAAACATAGACGGGCGCAGGTCCCGTAACACCGGGTGGCTCAGAAATGGTTCTGTTGGAGTTCTCTGTGTGCGGACTCCGGACTAGGTGTGAGTACAGCGGGAAGAGCGCGTTCATCAGCCTGGTTACAGTGCACTGGGCAGCAGGGAGCAGGCAGGCAGGCAGGCAGGCAGGCTGAAGGGGCACACTCACGAGGCAATGAGGCGGGTCTCGTCGTGAGCCCACTGCTGCCACATGGCGGGCGATAACGGGAAGAGCGCATTCATCGCCTCTCGTGCAGCCCTTAACTCCTCCAGCATGCTGCTGCGCCGCAGAAGGGATATCAGCTGAGACATGGGTGCAAATAAGGGGGAAGGAGGGGAAGAAGGAGCGGGGAAGAGGGTTGAGAAGTCGGGACTCTCCGAGCCCACTGGTGCCACATGGCGGGTGAGAGCGGGACAAGTGCGCTCGTTGCCTTGCCTCTCGTGCAGCCCTTAACTCCTCCAGCATGCTGCTGCGCCGGAGAAGAAACATCAGCTGACCGACGGGAGGGTGCGCGACATGCGGGGAGAAGGGGGATGGAAGAAAAGGGGAAGGGGAGAAGGAGGAGTTGGTTGAAATGAGATGTCTTGACTCTCAGCGCACACATCCGGATCAGCACTCGTGAAACAGAGCTGACGATCAGCCATGACTTTGCGTTTGCATTGCCTCAAAATCTGAAGACTAACCATGACATAAGGTTTGGCGTGGCGGTAACCTAATCTGGCGGACATTTGTCAGTGGCCAGCCATTACGATCCACCTGCATTCTCAACTCTCAGCTGCTATAGTTGACAGTTTAGTGCAAAGACGCCTTAGGTCTGCCTTGGTTTCCTAAAACAGCTGGAACCCGTAACGAAAGCGAGGGAAATTCCTGGACCGGCTAAAAGCGAGAACGCACCTGAACGTGAGCCTGATAGTCGTACGGATTCGATGCGATGCGGGCTTTGACTTGGTCAATCATAGCTTTTCGCTCCGCCTCCTCCGCTGCCTCTTTCTCATCTTCGCTATCGTCATCCTCGCTATCATCGCCATCGCTGTCCCCGTCCGAATCCTCCTTTTTCGAGTCGTTGGTCGCATTCTTGCCGTTACCGCCTTCGTCTAACCCTGAATCTGATTTTTCCGAATCTGGCTCTTCTGCCATATCAACGTCACCATCACCTGCCTTCTCAACGGCTTTATCGTCGTCACCAGCCATGGCGCGACGCCTGATGGACAAAGAAAGAATGCGTCAGAATGCAACACATTGAGCTTTGAATGCCAACAAGATTGTGTGGCTTTCTTCGCTATTGCAGAATCCATTAGATGAACTGTTTCAGTAAAAACATTGTCATTGGAAATCAGATATCTAAGTAGATATACAATCTATATAGCAGCATGCTTCCAAACAAACACCGTACTGAGATTATGGATTGTATGAAATTTATTTTATTGATAGTTTCATAAATAAGAAGATACACTTCATCAGCAACAAACATACCGTTGGACTAGGATTATGAAATTTTAAATACTTATATGCTACAGAAACTAAATCCATGTAAAACATTGGTTTGGAATATTTATGAAATATGGCCGAGTGTAAATCTTTATGAAGTCTCTGCCTAATAGTTACGATAAAGTGTAACACCTCCGCATCTTATCTTTTCGCTGTCGGTAATACCTGGGTTGGAGGGTTGTGGATCTGGGCTTTGTTAGGTAGGGTTTGTCACTGACATTTGGGGTTTGGATCTCAGGGTTTCGTCGCTGTAGCTGATGTTAGACATTTTGCTCAGCCATTGGCGTTTTAGCAGTCCCGCAAATTGCGGGTGTGCTGCCCGCGCTTTACCTTGACGAAATAATAAATCGTTCGAGCGATAATAAATCGTTCTTTACCGTTTTTATGTCTGAAGAAAGTTAAGCGCGTAGAGACGTCAGGCCTTGAGTTTGTCGGACGAGCTTATCGGCATTTACTGCAGAAAAATATATTATAAACTTTCAGCGGAGAGGAAAATAAAATAGGTTCACGCTCTTATGCTTCAGATTTTCTTCGCTCTCAGGATTTTTTATTACGTCATTTCCATAGCTCGAGCGCGTGGCTGACTTAGTATCTGCAATTGAGTGTGAAAACACAGAAAGCGAGTACGACGTGCTTTCAGGAGCATTACCAACGCGAGGGAAGTTCAAAGCGGCGGAACTCGGGTCTGCAGAAGCGGATAGAACGATAGGTCGTGCGGTCAATAAGCCTCTGAATTGTGTGAAGGCAGTTTGTCAAGGCACGGAAGAAACTCTTGCGTTCATAAAAGGGACAATCGAGGGGGGGGGGAGGGGGGGGATTCTGTGGAGGAAAAATCCCAAAGCGAGGTCCCCTTAATAGCAGACCCGAAATTGATGGAGTCCGAGGAGAAGCCGCTGCAGGATGTGATTAAAGCGAACGTAGACGGTGCTGCTGATGAGTGTGGAAAGCAGGGTGACAATGACGAGGGTACGCGAACGGGAGAAGATAGTCCCAAGAAGGGTAAGGTTGAAGCGGAGGGGCAAGGAGCACGAAAGGAAAACGGGGAAGGCGAGAAGGAGCTTGGGGAAGGCGCGGAGGGGACGGACGGTTCGGAAGGGAAGGTGGTACGTGAGGAAGGTCACGTCTTGCAAAAGGATGGGCCAGTGAAAGCTGAGGCTGAAGCGGGGAGACGAGGGGATGATGGTGCTGCGACTGCAATGGAGGTGGATGCTGAAACGAGGGTGACTGAAGCAGGAATGACTGAAGCAGGAGTGGCTGATGGAGGGTTGACTGAAGCAGAAGTGTCTGAAGTAGAAGTGACTGAAGCGGAGGGTGTAGGGAAGGAACAGGGTTTGGGGTCAGGAGGGGCAGGGGAGGGCGAGAATAATACGAGAGATAAAATTAGGGGGCAAGAAGGTGTTGGGGAAGCAGATGGGCTGGACGAAGTGGACGTGGGGGGAGAGGGGTGTGGGAATGGGGAGGAGGAAGGGAAGGGTGACAAGGAGAGGAGAGGAAATGATGAGATGGGGGGAGATGAAGGCAGGAAAGGGGATGGGGACATGAAAGGTGAGGAGAAGGTTGTGAAGAAGGGTGAAGGGAAGGGTGAGGAGAAGGTCGAAGGTTGCTGTGACTCTGGCAAGGAGGGGTGGAACGAGGGTCCGGAGGGTACCGTAGACGTGACTATGACGAATGGGTCAGTCGAGGATGGAAAGGAGAGAGGGACGAAGGGTGAAGGGGAGAAAGGGAGTCGCGATACGGCCAAGGATACGGAGGGGGAAGGAGCAGGAAGGCAGGTGGAACCTCTGGAGAAGGGGGGTGGGGGAGTAGAGAAGCAGGAGCAGGGGGGAGGGAAGATGGAGGAGGATGAGGAGGGAGGGAGAAAGGGGGAGGAGGAGAGAGCAGGGGGGGGGAGTGAGGAGGAGCGTATTAAGGAACAGGAGAGATCAAACTCAGAGTTGGAAGGAGTAGAGGGAGGAAAGAAAGTGGAAGGAGAAGGAAGTAAGGTGGAAGAGCGGGAGGATCAAAGGGAGCAGCAGCATGTTTCACCAGAGTCGGCACAGCTAACCACTAACACGGATTCTGTTGTAACTTCAGGCACTGGTGCTAGTGCTGCTGCTACAGATGCCAAAGCCTCAAGTGCCAATGCTACAGGTGTTACTGCTACAGACGCTAATGCTACAGGTACTAACGCAACAGTTGCTCACGCTACCACAGATGCCATTGATTCAGATGCTAATCCCGCAACTGCTAACCCCACTGTCCCTGAGACAACAGATCTTACTGCTACAGAAGCTGCTGCTGCTACAGACATTAACACTGCAGACGGCTCTGCTGACTGTGGCCCTCCTGGTGCACTCCCATTGCCAGCAGAGCAGGAGCAGCAGGGGATGGAGGCACAGCCGCCCGTGGCAGCAGAGCAGCAGCTGATGGACCTGCGCCTGCTGGCGCTGCAGAACGCCGTGCTGCCCGCGCATGGGGAGGGGGAGGGCGCTGAGGAGGAGACGACTCAGAATGCAGCAGTGCCAACCGGACCAGAGGCACCAGCGGAGGAGCAGCAGGTGCTGCAGGAGCAGCGGCATGAGGGCATGGAGACAGAGTTCCCATCAGCAGCAGAGCAGCAGCAGCAGCAGCAGCAGCAGCAGCAGCAGCAGCAGCAGCAGCAGCAGCAGCAGCAGCAGCAGCAGCAGCAGCAGCAGCAGCAGCATGAGGATATGGGAGCGGAGGTCCCAGCAGCAGCAGAAGCAACAGAAGCAGCAGAGCAGCAGCAGCAGCAGCAGCAGCAGCACGAGGTGATGGACATGCGTCTGTTGGCAATGCAGAACGTGGTGCTGGTGCAGGCAGCGAACGAGGAGGAGGAGATCGACGTGCTAGAGGTTGATGAGGAGGAGGAGGAGCAGCTCAAGAAGCAGATGGGCGTGGGGGAGGGCGGACCTGTGGAATACATGGTGCTGGGGGAAGCGGGGGAAGGCTCAGAAGGGGGAGTTGGGGGGGTGTTAGGGGCAGCAGGGGCAGGAGGGGCGGGAGGTGAAGGTGGGTTAATGGAGGGTGGAGCTGCAGTTCCTGAGGTTGTAGGTGCGCTGGTGCCGGAACACTTGACTGACGCTGCTACGGGTGGTGCTTCAGGTGCTGCAGGGTTAGGTGCGGTGATGGGAGGTGTAACAGGTGTGGAGTCGGGTGGGGGGGCAGTTGCAGTGGTTCCAGGTGGTGGTGGTGGTGGTGGTGGTGGTGGTGGTGGTGGTGGTGGGGAAAGTGGTGCGGATGTAGCAAGATCAGCAGGTGTGGGATCAACTGGGTCACGAGATGATGACATGGTGGCTTCAACCATTCTCGGCCTCCTGCCCTCTCTCTGCCCCTCCACCCCTGCCGCTGCTGTCTCTGCTGCAACTGGTGCTGCCGGTCTCTCTGCTCCTGTTGCTGCTGCTGCCGCCGCTGCTGCGAGCGTGGCTGCTGCGGGTGCTGCTGTTGCAGGTGGTGCCAGTGTTGCCACAGCCAGTGGTGAGATGGAGAGCAGCAGGCAAGAGCAGCAGCAGCAGCAGCAGCAGCAGCAGCAGCAACGGCAAAGGGGGGAGGAGAGGGCACTCGGAGCTCTAGCCACTTCCTCGCCTGAAGGGCGGACGGGAAAGAAAGAAACGGATTTTGAGAGGGAGCAGCAGCAGGCAGGGGGGGTGGGAACGCGGAAGCGGAAGCAGCAGCAGCAGGGGGAGAGGGCGGATGGGGATGGCGTTCCGTCCCCTGTATACGAGCCCTTCGACCCTGCCTGTAAGCTCGCTCCGTTCGCCCAGTTCCCCCACCCCTCCAGCGCTCCAGGGCATCACCTGGCACACGTGTCATCGCACAACCCGCCCTGCTCCCCCCTCTGTCACCCCCTCGCCCCCAACCCTTTGCCCCCTCCCTCTGCTGCTTTCCTTCATTTCCCATTCATCTCTTCCCATCTCTCCCCTTCTCTCTCTTCCCACTCTTCCCCCCATCCCCATCCCCCACCCCCTCTCCCCTTTTCCCCCATCCCCCCCCTCCAGCTCGCCAGGGCGTCACTTGGCACACGCGCCATCGCACCACCCGCACTCCGCTTCAGTGTCTCAGTACCCTCCACTCTCCCACCCACACTGACCCCCTGTTAACCCCTCCGCCCCCCCACTTTCTCCAGCTCTCCAGGGCGTCACTCGGCGCACGCGCCATCGCACCACCTGCCCTCTAGTTCTGTGTCTCAGTATCCTCCACCCTCCCACCTTTCCCTCCCACCCCCATGCCCCTCCCCCTACCCCAGCTCTTCAGGGTGTCACCCGCCGCACGCGCCATCGCACCACACGCCCCGCCTCCCGCCTGCCCCTCATGGCCCTGGACGGCCAATCGGCCCTGCTCTCCCCCCACCACGCCACCCTGCGCACCCAATCCCAATCCCAAGCCCAAACCACGAGCCAGAGCCACGAGCAGCAGCAGCAGCAGCAGCTGCGGCAGCAGCATGCATCGTCACCCGTTTCCTCTCCTGCCGCTGCTGCTGCTGTGCCTACCGCACTTCCGCCGGTGGCATCTCCTGCTGGTGTGACGGACAGCAAGGACGGCGTGCTTGGGAGAGGAAGACGAGGTACGGCTGGTTGGGGGATATGAGTGGGATATTTTCGCTGCTCTTCCTCCTTTTGCTTCTCCTGCTGTTGTGACGGACAGCAAGGACGGCGTGCTTGGGAGAGGAAGGTGAGGTACGGCTGGGGGAGGTATGGCTGGAGGAGGTATGGCTGGAGGAGGTATGGCTGGAGGAGGTATGACTGACTGGGATAGGAGTGGGCTTTTCTTGCCGCTCTTCCGCCGGTGGCATCTCCTGCTGGTGTGACGGACAGCAAGGACGGCGTGCTTGAGAGAGGCCGGCGAGGTATGAATGGGGAGCTGTGACTGGGGGAGGTGTGTCTGGGGAATGTGTGGCTGGGGGAGGTATGACTGGGGGAGGTGAAACAGGTGGGCGTACAGTCTGTGCTGTGCGGCATGTCACCGCACTGCATCGAACTGCATCTCCGTTTTGCCTGTCCCTCATCCAGTTTGGTTCGTCTGTCCCTCGTTCAATTCCCGACCCCATCCATCTCTCTCTCTCTCTCCCCCAGCGTCCACAGGCTCTGTACCTGAAGCACCACTGGAGGCTTCACCTCTCAACGGGCCCCCCTCTGGAGCAGCGGAGGCAGGGGAGGGCGTTGAGGGGGCAGGGTAGCCGTCTGCCCCTTATGGAACTCCCAACCCGTCCCTCCCTTTTGTCCCTCCCAGCCTCCACAGGCTCTGTACCCGAAGCACCACTGGACCCCTCACCTCTCAGCGGGTCTGCCTCGGGACCAGGCGAGGGCTCTGGAGCAGCAGAGGCAGGGGAGGGCGCGGCGCGGGGGCAGGGGGAGGAGAGACAGTAGGCGCTGCTGGGAAGATATGGAGAAGGGGAGGCGCCGTTTTGTCCCTTATCCGACTTCGTCTGTTCCTCATTCAATTCCCGACCCTTTGTTCCTTCTCTCCCTCCCAGCATCTACAGGCTCTGTGCCCGAAGGTCCACTGGAGGCGTCACCTCTCAACGGACCTGCCAGGGGACCAGGCGAGGGCGCTGGAGCAGCAGAGGCAGGGGAGGGCGCGGGAGCATTGGGAGGAGCGGGGGCAGGGGGGGCAGGGGAGGTAGGGGGCGCAGGGGTAGCAGGAGAGGGTGGTGGCCCGGCCCCTGCTTCTACACCTGTGCTGCAGGCTTACCACCGGAGACGGCAGGAGCAACCACTGAGTGAGTATAAGGGTGGCGAAGGGTGGCAGGGGAGGTAGGAGCATAAGGGAAGTGAAGGGAGCGTAAGGGAACACAAGGGTGGCAGGGGCGGAAGGGGGGACATGGGGGGTAGGGGAGTTGGGTGGAGCAGGGGAGGGCGATACCCCGGCCGCTGCGTCTGTGCCGGAGCTTGCATTGGCAAGCTCCTCACAGCCTCTCCTTCCCCTCATCACAGCTTGTTTTGACTCGACTAGAAAACCGTCTCCCCTTGTGTCTCCTCCCTTTGCCTTTCTGCTTCTACACCTGTGCTGCAATCATCTGCAGTCTGCTTCTCCGAAAAGAGCCTGTCAGTGCAGTCAAAGCCACTCTCTTCTCTCCCTTTAGTCCCTTCCATTCTACCCTCCCCAATTCCCTCCCCCTCTCCCCTTCCTCCCCCGCTCTGCAGTCCGCTTCTCCATAAAGAGCCTGTCAATGCCGGAGCTCTCGGTGTGCCTACCAGAGACAGCATCTGTTGGTGCACTCAAGGTGCGTCTCTTGAGACCCATTATAAGACTGCCTTCCAATCCAAGGTGCGTCTCTTGAGACCCACTATAAGACTGCCTTCCAATCCAAGGTGCGAGGTGACTTTTGAGTCGACTCAAAAGTCACTCAAGGTGCGTCTCATGAGACCCACTATAAGACTGCCTTCCAATCCAAGGTGCGCTGTTGGTGGTGCACTTAAGTTGAAGCTGGCCTAGAAAAAAAGGTGTACTTGATTTCTTCTCTGAAAGATATCTTCAGAAATTCGTACTTGCGGCAGGGTAACCGTGTCACGCACAACCACGGCTCCCTCCTTCCTATTCTCACTTCCACCCTTGCTCCCTCCCTCCCGTCATCCATCACTCCCTCCCTCCCTCCCTCCCTCCCTCCCTCCCTCCCTCCCTCCCTCCCTCCCTCCCTCCCTCCCCCCCTCCCTCCCTCCCTCCCTCCCTCTCACCCTCCCTCTCCACTGTCCTGCCCCATCCCAGCAAGCTGTAGTCAAGGCCTCCCTCAGTCCCTCCCTTCCTTCCTTCATGGTCTGCATCTGCGCATGGTGTTACTTGGGAACCGCTGCACGTACGACCAACCTCAACCTCCTTCCCTCCCTGACTCCCTCCCTTCCTCCCGCCCTCCCCACTCCCCCTGCCCCATCCCATCCCAGCAAGCGGTGGTCGAGGCAGCCCTAGCCTCCTTCGGAAACGGCCTCCGACTGCGCATGGTGTTACAGGGTAACCGCTGCACGCACGACCAGGCCTCGCTAGCGGACGTGGGTCTCTCCCACGCGGCGCTCCACCAGCAGCAGCAGCAGAAGCAGGCAGCCGCCGCCTCCCTCAGCTTCATGCTCGACCCAGACCCCGTTCTCCTCCCCCCACCCCCTCCTACTCCTCCTCCTGCTGGCGCTACAACCGCTGCTACAGCCGCTGCCACAGCTGCTGCGAAACAGGCGGCAGCAGCGGCGGCGGCGGCGGCGGCTGATCCGGACCCGCTGCTGCTGCTGTCGCCGCTGGCGCATCCGGGGGATCCCTCGCTTGCTGCTGCTGTGGCGGCGGCAGCGGCGGCTGATGGTCCACTCGTGTCTGCTGCATCGTGAGTCTGCTGCTTTCCCTTTGCTTTCTCCTTACTTCGTGCCGCACCGCCACTTCTGTGCTGCTGCTGTCGCCCCTGGCCCATCCCGGGGATCCCTCTGTTGCTGCTGCTGTGGCTGCGGCGACGGCGGCGGCTGATGGGAGAAATAGAGATGCTCCTCTCGTTTCTGCTGCATCGTGAGTTTGCTTTTGAGTCGACTCAAAGAGATGACTTTTGACTTTTGAGTCGACTCAAAAGTCAAATAGAGATGCTCCTCTCGTTTCTGCTGCGTCGTGAGTTTGCTGCCTTTCAGCCCATCCCACGCCCACCCCTCCCACGTCACCGAATCAAGCATTCCAGGCGCTGCCTCCGTGTTTGGTAACCCCCCTCGTCTCTTCTTCTTCCTTCATTTCTTCCCCACCCCTCCCCTTCCCACTGCTCCCTTCCCCTCCCTCATGCCCCCCACTCCCATTCAGCCCATCACACTCGCACCCCTCCCTCACAGTGTCTCTCTTTTTTCTTCCCCTTGTTTCTTCCCCCTTCACTTCTTCTGTTTCCCTCCCTTCTCCTCCCTCCCTTCTTCCCTTCCTCTTCCCTCCTTTCCCATCTTCTCCTTCCCCCCCTCCAGCCCATCCCACTCGCACCCCTCCCACAACACTCGATCAAGCATCGCAGCCGCTGCCGCCGCCGCCGCCGCAGCCGCCGCAGCAGCAGCAGCGGCAGCGGCAGCAGCAACACCAGGCAGCTCCCGCAGACACTCTAACCCCGCCACTCCCCTCCACCCATCCTACCTCTCCCCGTCACACCTTTACGCTGCCACCTCTGGCCCTCACACTCCCGCATCTGCCCCTTCTGCCGCTACCACCACCACGCCTACCACTAGACAAGCAGCAGCGCAAGCGTTGGCAGCGATACGAGCACAGACAGAGCATGAGCCTTTGGATGGGGCGGGCGGAGGGAGAAGCAGGAGGAGGCGGAGGAACGACGACGAGGATTACCAGGAAGGGGAGGAAGGAGAGGAGGAGGAAGAGGAGGAGGAAGAGGAGGAGGATGAGGAGTATGAAGACGAAGACGGGTATCATTCGCCGTTTGGGCGGTATTCTAGTAGCGGGTATGCTTCTAAAGGAGCGCATTCGGGCGCTCTGATTCTCCACCCATCCGTCTCAGGGAGAGGCAGAGGGAGAGTCCGAGGAGGAGGAGGAGGAGGAGGAGGGGCGTTGGCATACCCGGGAAGAGTAGGAGGAGCGGGAGAGAGTGGGGCACTGGTGTTGCATCCGCACCAGCAGCACTTGCAGAGGGGGGGTGTGGGGGTGGGGGGAGGGGCGATGATGGTGCATCCGAGGGCGAGGGGAGCGGCGGGGCTACAACTGATAGAGCAGAGGAGGAGGATCAGGCGGCCGTTCACTGTGGGCGAGGTGGCATCGCTTGTGGATGCTGTAGAAGTGCTGGGCACTGGCAGGTGGGTGGGTGGGTGGGTGGGTGGGTGGGTGGGTGGGTGGGTGGGTGGGTGGGTGGGTGGGTGGGTGGGTGGGTGGGTGGGTGGGTGGGTGGGTGGGTGGGTGGGTGAGGAGGGTGTGCGTGGGGGGGAAGGGTGGGTGTGGGAAGGGGGGGGATGCTGGTTCTGACTGTTGGTTGAGTCAACATAAAAGCACTGATGGCCTGAACTGAACGAGGTGGCCTCACTGATGGACGCTGTTGTTGAAGTGCTGGGCACTGGCAGGGCAGGTGGGTGGGGGTTGGGGGGGGGGGGGGGAGGGGGAGGGGGAGTCCCTGACACTGCCTGCTGGTTGAGTCGACTGAAGTGGCGCCTGGGCGAGGTGGCCTCACTGATGGGCGCTGTTGAAGTGCAGGGCACTGGCAGGTGGGTGGGGGGGAGCAGGGAGGGGGTAGGGGTATGAGTGGGAGAGTCTCTAGCACTGCCTGTTGGTTGAGTCAATAAGCAGACAGGTGTATGAAGAAGTGTTTTGAGACGTCTCAAAACACTTCTTCATACAAATTACACTGCCCTGTTGGTGCCACTGCAGGTGGAGGGACGTGAAGCTGAGGGCATTTACCACATCAAAGGGAGGTGTAAAACTCCCCCCCATATCGAACCAGAAAAAACAAAACTTGTTCGACTTCCCCCTATTTGGACCCCACTGCCCCGGTGCTGCACTGCAGGTGGAGGGACGTGAAGCTGAGGGCATTTGCCACATCAAAGCACCGCACCTATGTGGATCTCAAGGTCAGTCCCACTTTCACTCAACAAATATCCCTCATACCACATGACGATCCCCTCTTGATACAGTCACAACAACTTGCTTGGTGCTTATTCTACACGTTCTTTCACACTTGTGCTTCTCTTTCTTCCTTTCTTCCTTTCTCCTTTCTTTGTCTTTTTCTAATTCTGACCTGTTTTCACAACCCCGGAACCCTAAACTCTCAGGACAAGTGGAAGACTCTTGTGCATACGGCTCAGATCGCGCCACATCAGCGCAGGGGGGAGCCGGTGCCGCAGGACCTGTTGGATCGAGTGGTGCAGGCGCATAGCTACTGGCAAGAGCAGCTGAGAATCCAACGCGAGGAACGAGACTCCTAACCACCGCTGATACTATCATAGTAATTTAGTTTAATCCTGGCAAATGAGTGTTTTGTTACAATAACCGTGAATAATTAGAGAAGGCAAAAAGCTGTTTTTGCTTCATGTATGGGTTTTAAACAACAAAAGTGTCTATCAGAGCAGCTGGCTGTAAGGGCCTTGTTGATCCTGGTCGTGTGCAACCAATTGATAATCTATGCTGAATTTGCACTTGTTATCTTTGTGACGTGTTGTAAGCTTCTATATCGCACCGAGACTTGGCTCACCGTACTCGATATAAAGTTTACAGTCAACGCAACACCCCAAGTCAGCTAAAGTCAATAAAAGCGTGCTCCGCCGACAATTAGCTTACAGTACACTACCTCCCAAGCCGCGCCGCACTCGGCGGGAGCAGTAAAACTTCCGGAATGCCTAGCAGATCACCTTTATTTTGCTCAGAGCGTTCTCGAGTCCTCCTTGATTTTGATCGACAGAAGTACCGCCGCTCTCAGATACTAGCAAATACGTGTGCTGACGACTCTTCTAGGTCAAATACGCGTGACCTCCGACTAGGAGACTCCTCGCCGGGGAGGTTAGTAACGCGTATTCCGATTGATACTCCCCGTCTCCGAGTCCGCGACGCGACTCTGCTGATGGCGCGAAAGCATAGATTCGCCACGTCAGCCTTTCCTCCATCCGTCATGTCGACCCTCCCTAGTACACGCCCTTCACCCATCCTAACGGCCCTATCGTTCCTCCTACTGCTCGTCGCGGCGTCAGCACAACCAGACGTCTACTACCGGGTAGTGGAATACCCCCACTGCCCTATTACCGGAGAGCGCCCCGAGGACATCAATGCGGCTTATATCAAGGCGGCTCGTATCGGGGCGGCTAGTAACGGGGCGGCCGTGTGGCAGCGCCGGTGCGCGATGGAGGACAACACGACGTGCTGCGGGCTGTGCGGAGGCGAGGAGCTCGCGCTTCGATACATCCGATCCAACGTCTCTCTTGTTATACAAGCCCTGGGTGACAATGCTACTGCTGCTGCTGCGGAGCTCATTGACACCTCCAACCCTCCCACTGTGAGTCTTGGGGCTGTGCTGCGGGCTGTGCGGAGGCGAGGAGCTCCAACGTCACCGACAACTTGTGAGGGTGAGGAGCTGGCGCTGCGATACATCCGATCCAACGTCTCTCTCGCGATAGTGGCACTAGGCGCCAACGCCACCGCTGCTGCTGCGAAACTCATCGACCTCTCCAACCCGCCCTCTGTGAGTGTGGCTCTGCGCGCTGGTCAAAGCTGTGCGAAGGCGAGGAGCTCGCGCTGCGATACATCCGGCAACGTCTCTCTTGTGATAGAAGCCCTGGGCGCCAACGCTACTGCTGCTGCTGCCAAACTCATCGACCTATCCAACCCACCCTCTGTGAGTCTGCGGGTGAGCTGGGGCGAGGAGCTGCGGGCAGCAACACTACCGCTGAGATACATCCAGCAACGTCTCTCTTGTGATACAAGCCCTGGGCGCCAACGCTACTGCTGCTGCTCTTAACCTCATCGACCTGTCCCACCCTCCCTCTGTGAGGACGCGTCCCCTACCCGCGATCGATCGTGCGTAGGATCGATCCCCGGCGTCTACAGTGCAACTGTAGCTTCGCAGTCAACGGGACTACCCTATTTCGGCAACGTTAGCGAATATACAGGAACATGTGCCAGACGAGCCTGTCACCTCCGTTTTTGGCGATCATCTGCCTCTGATTCTCTGCCTCTCTGCCTCTCTGCCTCTCTGCCTCTGCCTCTCATCATCTGCCTCTCATCCTCTGCCTCTCATCCTCTGCCTCTCATCCTCTGCCTCTCATCCTCTGATTCTCATCCTCTATCTCTTCATCCTCTGCCTCTCTCCTCCCCCCCACCAGGCATGTGAGGCCTTGCAGGGCTATCCGCTCTGCGCACATCTGCTCGAAATGGTCATGTGCGCTGCCGTCTGTGATGCAGGTACGTCCTCTCCCTCTGTTCCCTCTTCTCCCTCTGTTCCCTCTTCTCCCTCTGTTCCCTCTTCTCCCTCTGTTCCCTCTTCTCCCTCTGTTCCCTCTTCTCCCTCTGTTCCCTCTTCTCCCTCTGTTCCCTCTTCTCCCTCTGTTCCCTCTTCTCCCTCTGTTCCCTCTTCTCCCTCTGTTCCCTCTTCTCCCTCTGTTCCCTCTTCTCCCTCCTCCCCTTCCTCTCCCTCCCATCTCTCTTACCCACATCTGCTCGAAATGGGCATGTGCACTGCCGTCTGTGATGCAGGTACGTCCACCTTTCCTACCACTCCCTCCCTCCTTTCACCTGCTTTTGTCACTCACAGTGTTGCCTTTTCTGCTTCTGTCCCTTCTGGTTTTTTCCCTTCTCGTTTTGACGCTTCTGCTCTGGTCTCACACATACACATACACGGAATTCGTGGTGGAAGCACATATGAGCTTGAGCCTGCACATATGAGCTTGAGCCTGCACATATGAGCTTGAGCCTGCACATATGAGCTTGAAACATACGTGTCATATGGCTCAAGCTCATATGTGCTTCCACCACGAATGACACATATGACACATATGGGCACACAATCACCATCTGTGACGGGCTTGCAGACAGGCTCAAGGCGGAATGCGCGGGAACGCTATGACTGGGCACACAATCACCATATGGGCTTGCAGAGAGGCGCAAAGCATAACGTCACTCAAAGAGACAGAACTATCGAAACAGCAACACCTGCAACACCTGATTTTGTTCCTTCTGGTTTTTCCACGCCCTGTTTGCCACATCCTTGTGGTTTTTGTCACACGCAGACACAGAATTCGTGGTGGCAGCTGGTCCCACAATCACCATCTGTGACGGGCTTGCAGAGAGGCTCAAGGCGGAATGTGCGGGAACGCTCTGTGAGTGGGTGCTTGTGAGTGGGTGCTTGTCAGTGGGTGACTGCTGTGAGTGAGCCAATCACTTAGGGGGATGGGCGGCCCAAAATCACCATTTGTGAGGACCCTAAGCGAGATGACCTTTGCGTCAACTCAAAAGTCAAATCACCATTTGTGAGGACCGTAAGCGAGATGACCTTTGCGTCAACTCAAAAGTCAAATCACCATTTGTGAGGACCCTAAGCGAGATGACCTTTGCGTCAACTCAAAAGTCAAATCACCATTTGTGAGGACCCTAAGCGAGATGACCTTTGCGTCAACTCAAAAGTCAAATCACCATTTGTGAGGACCCTAAGCGAGATGACCTTTGCGTCAACTCAAAAGTCAAATCACCATTTGTAAGGACCCTAAGTGGCTGCTGCACTGGTGCTGTTTTTGAGTCGACTCAAAAATAAGCGGCCCAAAATCACCATTTGTAAGGACCCTATGTGAATTCTGTATTGGAACCCTATGGGAACCCTACACTGGAACGTGTTTTTAGCCGACTCAAACACACCCTACACTGGAACGTGTTTTTAGCCGACTCAAAACACACCCTACACTGGAACGTGTTTTTAGCCGACTCAAAACACACCCTACACTGGAACGTGTTTTTAGCTGACTCAAAACACACCCTACACTGGAACGTGTTTTTAGCCGACTCAAAACACACCCTACACTGGAACGTGTTTTTAGCCGACTCAAAACACGACCCTATGTGAATGCTGCACTGGAACCCTGTGGAAACCCTACATTGGAACCCTTATGAGAGAACCCATCAGTTGGTCGCATCACCACCACCATGATTCACACTCCTTCACCACCCACCTTGTTACAGCCATCTGCCTTCCTGCCAATACTGCTTGCCTCTCCTCCCTCTCCTGCCTTCTCCTCCCTCTCCTACCTCCCCATCTCCCGCCTCTCCTCCCACTCCCGCTTCTCCCCTGATTCCATTCCACCCATCAGTTGGCCGCATCGCCATCACCATGGATGCATATTCCTTCACCACCCAGCTTGTCACAGCGATAGGAAGAAAGAGCTATCATCTGCCTTTCCTGCCTTTCCTCCTCCCGCCACTCCCCTGTTTCCATCCCACCCATCAGTTGGCCGCATCGCCATCACCATGGATGCACATTCCTTCACAACCCAGCTGCTCACAGCGATGGGCAGAAACCTCTACGGTATCCCGACCTTCTCGGCTGTCATCTCGTTTTCAGGGGGGGTGAGTCACAACCTTGCGTTCTTTCCAACTGCGTGTTCGAGCTGCATTCCTCGCTTCACAACTCTCATCTCTTCGTCAGGGGTGCATTACATCCTTCCTTCCTGTAGCGTTAGGAACAACGATCTACGGCATCCCTCGCTTCATGGATGTCATCCGGGGTGCCACCTTGCGCTGCTACAACCCTCCTAAAGCAGCCTTCCTGCTACGACCTTACTATAGCAACCTTCCTGCTACAACCCACCAGGCGTGTCAGTTAATGTTTCTCCCCTCCATTCCCTCCCCTCCCCTGCAATCCGCAGTGCCTCTCCGGCCCACCAACAGACGACGCCTTCCCCCCCACAACCATCTGCTGCGATCCCTTCACCCTGCAGCCCTCCCAGTGCCCGTCAAGCTCTCTTCCCAACCCCCAAACCGAGCCACACCCATCGTCACCACTCTCACCCCCACCACCAACCGACCTTAACCGCTCTAGCTCTAACACTTCAAGTCTCGACACTTACATCGAGTATCTGAACCGTGATATCAATGTGTCTCAGTGTATGGCTGCTGAGCCTTATGCCTACCCTCCTTTGCCTTTTCCACCTACCTCTGAGTCTAAGCCTCATGTGCCGCCCGGCCCCTGCTCCAGCAAGCATCTCATGACACTCGATTTTTTCGAACCTTGCCCACATTTGACACATACCATCCTTTGTTTAGTCACTGCAGGGATCCTTTGCTGGGTTCTCATTCGCTGCACTATCCACTTTCGTAATCCCTTGGATAAAGCAGCCATTTTGGATCCTAAAACGTTCTGATAATGCTCTGGTGGGTCTGTATGAGGGTTCTTCTGTGGCTGTATGTATAGTTATACACCTCCAATAGGAAAAAGGAGAATACAGTACACCAACAATCTAATAAGATGGTCCAGACCAGTTCCATTACTCCCATCCAGTCAACTCAAGCCCCAGTGAAGTCCCATTGCTGTGAGGAATGCTCCCACATATATTCTTTCCCCCCTTGCTACCGTACTAAACAACACACCTTTCTAGGCGCCTCAAAAGTTGGTAACAATACCACCACCCATGCCATCCTGCAGTGGGGCCACACTGCCACCACCTAATTGACATTGTTGAGGGATAGTACGGTAGGTGATCAAATCAATGATGAATATAGGCATGCCCATTTACCGTAGTTGTCCCCACTTGCGTGAACTCATACTACACCATGTAGCTTCTCTTCTCTTGGTTGCCACTATAGTTGCTTATTTAACAACTAGTAAAATCATTCCTGGAAGAAAGAAATGCCAAGACGCGGCGGTGGGTGGGACCCGTCTATTGGTTGCCAATGGCCAGAGCTGTGCAGAGAAGGCCGAACACCAGGAAGGGCTGTGCGCTAGCCTGCATGTTGTCAGTCGGTGGGGGGGAGGACAGATGGGAGGAGAAAATGGAGGGTAGTTTAGTGAACACGATGTGCCCCAGGCTCTGGTTGGTTGCCAACATCCAGAGCTGTGCACAGAAGGCCGAACACCAGGAAGGGCTGTGCGCTAGCCTGCATGTGGGCAGTTGGTGGGGGAGGGGAGAAAGCAAGCGAAGTGGAACGGAGAAATGGAGATGAGATGAGACAACACATCATGCTCAGTCGATAGGGGCGAGGAGAATCGGAGAGGAGAAGTGGAGAGAGCGAGCTGATTCATTGCGTTACTTGAGCCAATTAAAAAATTCACAGGCCCGGAAGGAGACAGACCTATGGTTATTGGCTTTAAGTAGACACACTACAAAAGCCTTAAAGCCCAAAACCTGAATTACAAAAAACGAAGGCAAACTGTGCACAGTTTGCCTCCCGCAGCCCACAGTTTTGCCCCGTGTTGACTTGCGTTGAGCAACTCAGGTCTTGGGCTTTAAAGGGGACTTACCTGGAAGTAAAAGTATTCTGCTGCTCGAGCTTTCTGTTAGTTCAGCTACTTGAAGTTTTCTGTTGCTTGACCCGCCACATTACCTGCTTCGCCACGCTACCTGCTTCGCCACGTTACCTGCTTCGCCACGTTACCTGCTTCGCCACGTTACCTGCTTCGCCACGTTACCTGCTTTGCCACGTTACCTGCTCTGCCACGTTACCTGGTACTTGACGTCGTTCTTCATGGGATCAGGCAGGAAGAGGGAGAACTGCAGATGCAACACCGCAACCATGCGACATCATCCCAACCATGCGATCACAAAGGGGGGCTTACCTGGTACTTGACGTCGTTCTTCATCGGGTCGGGCAGGAAGAGGGAGAACTGCAGATGCACCATCGCAACAATGCAACAAGACACGCAATGTGACAAGCAGTGTGGGAGAGAGTAGACATAGAGGATTTAGGCCATGATTCTGAGTCGACTGAATGAGAGAGTGAGATGCGGATGCAACATCCACGCACGGCATCACAAGAGCAGCATGAAAAAATATGAGAGCACGCGTTTAAAGCGCCCCAATACGGCAGGCAAACTAGCCAGTGAGAAGAAGAGATTGATAATCTGGCGGAGAACTGCGGGGGCTCCACAAACTGAAGACCATAGGACTGAAGAAATGTCTAGGCACCTCTACAATCATCTTAAAAGAGAGAAAAGCTGAGTGACAGAAAGTTTGGGAGAGAGAGACCTGGAAGAAGATTTGGGGAGCAATGAGGCCGAGAAGCACAAGCCCATAAACGGTCTTGCCAGTGGCGAGGAGATAACCTGCACGGGCACAGGGGGGGAGGGGACAGGGGGAACAGGTGAAGGGGTGAAGGAGTGAACTCAGGAGTGGGGAGCAATGAGGCAGAGAAGCACAAGCCCATAGACGGTCTTGCCGGTGGCGAGGAGATAACCTGTGAGGGAGATGGAGCAGGGAGGCAGAGAGGAGAAGATAGATGGCTCGGGAAACACGAGAAGGGGTGAGTCCAGGTGTGAGGGAGCAATGAGGCCGAGAAGCACAAGCCCATAAGCAGGAGATAGCTTGCTGGGGCGGGCAATGTGGGGGAGGAGGAGAAGGGAGGGGCAGAAAGAGATGACAGAGGGAACAGTGGAGGAGTGAAGTGAGCCTAGGAGTGGGGAGCAATGAGAGCGAGAAGCACGAGTTCACGCAATAAACAAGTCACGGCATTTCAGCGTGTTCCCCGCGCCTCGTCTGCTGCAACAGTTTGCTGAGGACTGTCAATGCTGACCACAAGTTAACAGTTAACGACTACTTGCAGTTTATCTAACCGCCCCGCCCCTCACCCGCGACAGATAGCTGAGTGACGTCAATGCTGGCAACGCAGATCCACTTGGCGGTTTCCACTCCAAACGCCACTGGGAGGGACTGGAGCAAACAAGCGTTGGGAGGGGGGGGAAGAGGGAGAGGACGGAGGTGGAGGGGATATAAGAATGATGCTGGCAACGCAGATCCACTTGGCGGTTTCTACACCGAAGGCCACTGGGAGAGACTGGAGCACGGGATATTGGGGATGAACGAGAGAGGACAGGCAGAAGATATTAACTGGAGGGGATGCAAACACATGTGCCACAACCCTCCTGCCCCACCACCCACCTGCCCCACCACCCACCTGCCCCCGGCACCCACCTGCAGCCCCATCTTGCGGTCGCCCTCAATGCTCTTGAAGTCGTTCACAATAGCGATGCCCAGCTGTTGGGGGAAACGGTGGGGCGCGTGGGGAAGATGGGAAGGGAGGGGGGTTGGGAGGAGGAGGGCCACTTCTAAGACAAATTGTCACTTACAATGGCAATGCACAGCTGCCAGAATAAACGGCGGGGAGAGCGGGTAAGGAGAGAATGAGCACCATGGATCTGAAGGTCAGAAGCGCACTTGGTGCAATTATGACTGATGAAAACATGGCACGGTTCTGGGAAAATCACCACCCCAATGCTGTTTTGAAGTGAGAGGTATAGCACCCCTGGCAGGCTGACGCGTCGCAAAAAAAAAAACATTCTCAGAACTTGGCAGCTTACCCCAGCGATACTGTAGAGGAGAGTGAGCACCACGACGTCAAAGGTAAGGGTGCCAAAGAGAGCTTGGCCCGCCCACCTGCCAGGTTCCCACACGCAGGAGGGCGCGTAGGAGGGATAATGACACGTGACAGGGAGGAAGTGAGTGATAGGCACAGCGACTTAGAAGCAGTGTGGCACAGAGGCAGATGCAGAGGCAGCGCGACTCCTGCCAATACACGCTCTGTTTTGTGAAGCTCCTATTTTTAGAAACTAACACCCGTGGGGCAGGGAGACTCACCAGGGAAGCGAGATGTAGCTGGAGCCCAGGGCGTAGTTGCCAATCCAACCGCTCTGCATGGGATGTTTTGTGAAGCTCCTTCTTGAGAAACGAACAGGTGTGAGGGAGGAAGACTCACCAGGGAAGCGAGATGTAGCTGGAGCCCAGGGCGTAGTTGCCAATCCAGCCGCTCTGCTTGAGATATTTTGTGAAATTTCTTGGAAAATAAAAGAAAGAACACAGGTGCGTACGGAGGGATGGAACTCACCAGGGAAGAGAGATGTAGCTGGAGCCCAAGGCATACTTGCCGATCCAACCACTCTGCTTGAGCTGAAAAAAAAAACATCTGTGGAAGAGAGACTCACCAGGGAAGCGAGATGTAGCTGGAGCCCAGTGCGTAGTTGCCAATCCAGCCGCTCTGCTTGAGCTGCAGATGGTGCGAAGGGGAGGAAGGGATGTGGACAGTAGAGACTGAGATGCAGTGCATTCTTTGTGGTAAGGATCTTGTTCATGAGGCGCTTGAAAAAGGGAGACTCTGGAGAAGAGATGCAATGCAATGAGGCGCTTCTTAACAAGTTTTGAAGAAATCTTAGGGGGTGGTGCAGTGCAGTGCACGGGAGGCTTACCTTGAGAGGAGGAGCGGAGTAGATGTATGAGACGAGAGAACCTCCAGCGGAGAGAGCAAGCAGGATAGGGAAGTCGTGACCGGCCTGATAGATGTGCATGGGAGAATGGGAGGCGGGTGGCGAAGAGGGACAAGCGTCAAAAAGGAGGCACGGTAGAGAGGATTAGAAGTTATTACAGGCGGAGAGGGCGAGCAGGACGGGGAAGGTATGGCCTGGCGGATGGATTTAATGGGAGAAGGGGACAGACACGGCAGTAAAGAATGCAGACGACAGGCCCACGGAGGTGACACAATCACAGCCACTGTGCATGCGCATAGATTGTGAGGAATAAAGTAGATTTTTTAGGCGCCTCAAATGTTTTTTAGATTTTTGAGGCGCCTTTTTTAAGGCGCCTAAAAAATCACAGCCACTGTGCATGTGTATAGAATGTGAGGAATAAGGTAGATACATTGGATCTGTACACATGTATGGAATGTGATTGAGGAAACAGTCTACTTCACGCTGCTTGAATAGTTTTTCGACCAATACTGCATGCACACTCACCCAGACCAGTTGTTTGAAAGCGCCTAGGCGCTACTCCATACAATCGCGCCTCTTCATAAGAGAATCACTGGAAACCCACCCACTCCATAAGAGAG